TGTCATTTTAAAGAGAACTGTGTATGTCCACTGTACAGACAAGCTGCCCTGAGGTTACTGTTGGGATCATGTCATGTTATCACCTTGTGACATTAACAGTGATGGATGTGGTGTTGTTCTCTACGATGAGGAAATATGATATTGCTTTAAATAATCAATCCATGTCTAGGATTGCTAAAATGCATTCAAATATCAGAGAGTTATATGATACTGAAATCATTCTGTTGGTTTCAGTCAAAGAGACAGGTTGTGATGTATTGGTATGAGAGAGATAAGAAGATGAGCATTTATTATAATTTGCTGAAGAAGCGAGTCAAGTGTACACAACTGCTAGTGTTTGATTTGTTTCTATGGAGACATGTCACGTAACCATCAACAATGTGAGATTCCCACTGTCCTCGATCACTCCAGTTACAGTATTGACTGTGTACCTGGTCACACTGAAATACACTTGCACAATTTATTGCAAGGCTATGCATGATTTCATCGATGTACGTCCCAGGAGTAATAAAACAACTTGGATGGTTTCATATGACAATGGTAGACTGGGATACAAGTGCGGACGCATGGATGGCTGGGGTTGGTTGGTTTGTTGTTTAATGCCGCACTCAGGAACATTCCAGCTATGATATTGTAAATAATCAAGTCCGCACCACACAATCTAGTGATCAACAGTCCGAGCATCGATCTGAAGCACCTTAAATAACAGGGCCCATTTCCAGACAAGTAATACGATGGACATGGTCAAGAGGTGAAAATATGTCTTCCCGTCCTAACCAGGGATTGTGCTATAATGTGGGGAAGAATGGATTTAGATTGAATATTTTCAGGAAAAAATAACAGTTGCTGAAAAGGCATCTTTGGGCAGCTTGGGTAATTTGGCAGGAGCTAAGCATTGTTCTAAAAGTGAATTCTATTAGGCATGCAACTATACGAAGCTCTCTATAAATGATGGACCAGACATACTTAATGCCACATGATGAATCAGAATGTTAAACATTGTCTGAAATTGAGGCAATTAGTGACTGCCAGATTGATATACCAAATATTGGAGCTAGAAGATGACAAAAGTGGTGTGTGAATGACTTCAATTAAACCTGCAAGGATTGTCCGTTTGCCCAAGCCTTGTGCCCCTTTGATGTGTATGTTAACTCTTAGGTCAATCTCCGCCCCCTGTGAATTATCTGGAATTGGTCTTCAGCAACCAAACTTGTTATGAAAGGCAACTGAAGGATTGTGTGGTCAGACTTGCTGACCTGGTTCATGCATGTCATCATATCCTGCTCAGACTGTCAGGTCCAGACTTGATTATACTGGCAGCCATGGTACAGATGGTATATTGCTGAGTGTGGCATATTATAAGAAACAAACTGATCTGAATCCTAGGAACCTATATAGCTGCCCTAGCAAATTTGATTCATATTAGACCTAAACCTGACTGAGAACAAAGGTATACTGCTCAAAAGAACTTAGGGATCACCTAGATCTTTCGTAACGAGTCATGCCAGAGTCATGCCACGGCAGATGAAAGGATCAATGTTCATCAACTTCTTTTGAGTAGCATAAATCAGCCCAAGACTGAATTATGACCCTAATTACACAGACAATATCCAAGTTGGACACAAATCACTCATTAAAGTATCTGGACCTTTGTTGCTACAGGGGCGGTGGGGTAGCCTAGTGGTTAAAGCGGTCGCTCGTCACGCTGAAGGCCCGGGTTCGATTCCCCACATGGGTACAATTTGTGAAGCCCATTTCTGGTGTCCCCAGCCGTGATATTGCTGGAATATTGCTTAAAACCGGCGTAAAACCATACTCAGTCAGTCAGTTGTTGCTGCAGATCACCTTGGATAGTGTCGTGTTAAGGACGTATATTAATGACTTAATTGCTGAATCCCTGGCTCCGTGATATGGGGAGGAGATCAGTAGTCTGAATCAGTCTAGTGCTTGTTGAGAACAGGTTCATTCATGTCAAGGATGTATCGATAGCATGCACTATCCGATATGATAGCTGACGATAAAGGGAGATATGTGGTCAGCTGTCTTGCCCAAAGTGAAAGGTTACATGATCACGCATGTAACTGAACTCATGTTTATAATAGGATCTCATCAACTGTCCACCGAGCTTTACCGAAATTTGTTTCCAGGCAGTAACATGCATATCTCTAGATTGTACAGAACAGAAGGAACCGGGCAACAAGATCACTTCCACTTAGCAGCAGTAGTTCTGTCAGATTATACCGCTTGACATTCTACAAGGGAATGCATACCTATATCAGGACAGACAGACAGACAGACTTTGGTTTCATGTGAAAATTGCAAATGAACCATGCATTCACACTGTTTTAACACACACCCACTATCCAACACAACCAACCCACCATCCCAACCTACATACCCGACCACCTATTCCACTATCCCCCCTACCAACTTACTTTCCCACCCCACCCGCTATCCCCTATCCCACACAACCAACCCACCATCCCAACCTACATACCCAACCAGCTATTCCACTATCCCACCCTACCAACTTACTTTCCCATCTCACCCGCTATCCCCTATCCCACACAACCAACCCACCATCCCAACCTACATACCCGACCACCTATTCCACTATCCCCCTACCAACTTACTTTCCCATCCCACCCCACTTCCCATCCCACACAACCAACCCACCATCCCAACCTACATACCCAACCAGCTGTCTATTCCACTATCCCACCCTACCAACTCACTTTCCCATCCACCCGCTATCCCCTATCCCACACAACCAACCCACCATCCCAACCTACATACCCAACCAGCTGTCTATTCCACTATCCCACCCTACCAACTTATTTCTCCCACTCTCGCTTATCCCTATCCCACACAACCAACCCACCATCCCAACCTACATACCCGACCACCTATTCCACTATCCCCCCTACCAACTTACTTTCCCATCCCACCTGCTATCCCCTATCCCACACAACCAACCCACCATCCCAACCTACATACCCAACCAGCTATTCCACTATCCCACCCTACCAACTTACTTTTCCCATCACCCGCTATCCCGCCCAACCTATCCCCTATCCCACACAACCAAACCCACCATCCCAACCTACATACCCGAAGCTATCTACATTATCCCCCTACCAACTTACTTTCCCATCCCACCTGCTATCCCTATCCCACACAATTCCACTATCCCACCCTACCAACTCAGACCACTTTCCCTATCCCAACCTTCCCAGACCAGCTGTCTATTCCATTATCCCACCCCACCCCACCCAACCAAATCCATGGAGGTGGAACTTGTACACAATTATCACCTTACCATATTATACAACCCCTGTACTTCGCTATTTTGTATGTAGTAAATACAGAGTCTGTGACATAAGCAGCTATGGAAGCATGTACTACTTGTCTCATGCTGAAGCAGTGGTAAAATATTCATATCATTATTACAGACGTCCTCCATGGTGTAGTGGATGGAGCACCTGCCAGAGGTTGGTTGTTTGATCCCCACCTGTGTCATACTAATAGACACTAAAAGATGGTACTTTCTGTTACCTTGCCTGCTGCTCAGTATTAGGAGATAAACAGAGTCTTGAGTTGGGTATCCATTACTGCATGGTATGTCAGGGGACTAGTGTTATACCAGGCATTAGTCCAGACTAGGAGAAGCAACCCGTCTCTCGTACATGTTGCAATAATCTTGAACTTGCCACTAAACCCAATTTACCACACCTCAAATGATCATTTGTTGAGCTAGGACTGTTCTATCCAATAGATCAATAACTGGTGTACCTCTTGAAGGTTTACATGGGCTGTAAAGGATGCTTGCTGTATATACAACTGGTAGTTCAGACAACTGTCAGAGACACAAGTTGGCTTCTAGTTGTGTAATGTGTGTTTGTAGGTCCAGAGTACGGTGTACAATCAATAGGAGCTTTAACAGGGAGGCACAGCTGGTGGTTAGTTAGGTGTGGGCATAAACACTGGAGAAGGTCACAGATGGCTGCACACTGCACGTGATGAACACTGTAGCAACTGCTGCTACACAGACCCTTGTCATATGGGGGGCCATTGTGCATAGACCCTCTTCATGCCTTCATGCAGGGAAGCTCAGGCGTCAATGTTACGGCCAATTCAACAATATTTGAGACTTTTGCAAAATTTGTTGAAGTAGGTTGTTATTGATTGGTGTGTTGTAAAGAGCCAAGCATTACCCTGACTGGCTGGCTGTCAGGTTTATAATAGCATGTGTTTGTGTAACATTTATGGATATTTTTTTATGGTGAGGTAATAAAGACTGGGGTTTATGTTGTGTTAACTTTTGTTGGGGATGTAAACTGAGTAGCTTTAATGGTGCCATAAAGGTTGTTTTGTGACAGGGTCTTTCTGGAAATGAAATAGAAGAAACTTGAAAATGAATGAAAAATAACAAAGTTCAGTTTTTGACTGGACTGGGCTGGCGTAGTGGGGAATGTGTTGACACCCATCAGTTGTGCTGGGTTTGATTCCATACATACACTGGTTAGGTCAAGCATAAGGTTTCCCTATCATGATTTGCAGTAATGGTGCCAGCCAAGTGGTTAGAGTATTCACAATATGGATGCAATGTGTCCTCTGCTGTGATATTGCTAAAATTGATGAAAACCTCACTAACTCACTCACTCACTTACTCACATACTCCCTCACTCATCTGGTGTGTTAATGTCAGAGGCTTGCGTCAAATTGAGATTCATTCCAAATATCAAACATTTTATCATTCACTGATTCCAGTCTATCACTCCTCCATCCCTAGTGTCCTATGTTTGTAAAGTTGATTGGGTTGTTAGGCTAGGCTATTTAGTGTATTGCACATCATCACTCACTCACTCAAGCAGGCATGCACACACTCATGCACTCACTCACGCACTCACTCACTCACTCACACTCACTCATGACATGGTGAACATTCAGGTTTGGATAACTTGATCATGTATATTGACCTTCTGTCTCTTCCTTCCCAGGTCCCCGACATCCTCAGTGATGAACTGATGTTTGGTGTGGAGAAGTATTCTGAGAACGATGACATAGCCCGGGCCATGAACTTCATACAGAAATCAGTAAGTCTGTCCCGGACACAGCACTCACACTCCTGCAGCTCACACTCCTGCAGCTCACAGTCCTGCAGCTCACAGATGTGACCTTGTGGAGAAACCGCTGTCCACATTTCACTCGCAGGAATTGGGGCGGTGGGGTAGTCTAATGGGTAATGCGTTCACTTGTCATGCAGATGTCTTGGGTTTGATTCCTCACATGAGTACAATGTGTGGAGTCCCTCGCCGTGATGTTGCTGGAATATTGCTAAAAGCGAAGTAAGCCTTCCTCACACTCACACACTCCCTGCAGGAATTCTGGTCTCCTTGACACAGGACAATTGGGCAGTGTTAACACCTTGTTACCTGGGAAATTATGTGTCTAGTATGGATTGGTGCTTGTACTATCGACAATAAGTCTCAATATGATTCCTCTATTCAATCAAGATATAGCTGGAATATTGCTGACTGTCATAATACACTGGCCATTCTGGTGAACAAATTCATATCAACTGTGACATTGTAAGCATTATTTAGGTATGCTCCCTATGTTTGGGAATTAGGTTTGTTTGGCTGATAATTTGCTTTATTCAGCCTGCTTCTGTCCGGAAAAGTGCCACTTCATGCACTGTTATTTTTATGAGATATTTTTACAGTAGAGTTATCGGAGGCCTCTTCTATTCATATGTGGTATTCTCTGCAGTTCAAATGTTGCGGCTTCAAGACATTTGAGGACTACATAAATTACAACAAAGACTTCGCCTGTGATTCGCCTAAACCCATGGCATGTGGCGTACCCTATACCTGCTGTAAAGTAAGGGAGGTAAGTCAAGTGCAACTTAAGTTTAGCGGTAGAGTGCTGACTCCTTTTATAGCTTGGTGTTTTTTCCAAGGTGATATCATTTTATAGATCAGGAAGAATTCTTCATACCCTTATGGTCCTTACCACATCTAGTTACTGGGGATGCAAACCTGCTTCAGTGAAACAGTCAAACTATTACAACTTTATGGTTGTGGAATTTAAATAATTTGATTTTGTAGATTTGTAGCTGCATCTTTTAACTAATCCATCCAAATGGAGCGGTCAGACAAATAGAAATAAACTGAATCTATGTCCATTTAGTGGTCATAGCTTTTTACCTTTGTCAAATGCATGAAATGAAAAAATCACCAAGTATATTCTTTATGTGAAAAAAATAGTGGAACTCTTTGTTTCATCTCCCACATACAATAAATACCAAACATGATGCTAATGTCCTCGTTGTTTCCTGCCTTATGCCACTTCTCTGCTTCTGTGGTCTTGTGACAGGGGGAGAGCAGGTCAGAGGTTTGAACCCAGTCTTTATCATAGGAATCTCTGTTACATGACGGTACTTCTTGTTACCCTGACTGCCACTCAGCATTAATAGATACAACAAGGACGTGTCAGGATTAGTTGGTACACTGTGTCTGACTGGACTATCCATGTTAAACAAGGCATAGTATCTTAGTTGGCTTGCTCTGTAAAAGTCCAAACTAATGGCATATACTTTGATGTGCATGTATGTCACTATAGAACATAAAACCATGGGTCCATGTGCAATGGCATCCCAGCACGAAGGCATGGAAAGGGTCCATGTACAATGGTATCCAAGCATGTTTCACCTTGACTGTTACGATGACTTATATGTGTGTATCTTCTTCAGAATGTCGCTCTACCCAAGACCTGTGGCTACGGAGTCATGGGGAATGCTACAGTAAGTATAGGAGTCCATATCAACCATGTCACTTTATGGAACCAGGCACATTATCTGGGTTTTCTTATGAATATTTATATTATGTATACCATTCTTGTGTCTGATGTCTGACAGTCATGTGAAAATTGTAAACCCTTAACACTTATTTACAATCCACAATAAGTGGTGCATGTATAAGATCAGATAATATAGGCCTCTAACAAAGTCTGTCATACATACCCTGAAACAGATATATCCAGTACTCCCCTTGCAAGTTACTGCAGTTTCAGTTTTTATTACATTCATTAAGATAATTTAGGAACTAATTTTTCTGTAAAATATGTTAATTTAGCTTGATACAGCATGTTATCCTACAGTGATAACGTCTTTGTTTGTGTGAAAATTGTTAGTTTAGCAACTGTATTAGTTGTTTGTCAATATGAAGAGATGCCAACCTTGTGTTCCAGCTGAGTGACGTCATCTACACAGAGGGCTGTACTGATGCCTTCCTCAACTGGCTGGCCAGTCACCTGGACTACGTGGGTGCCACAGCCCTGGGATGTGCCATCCCTCAGGTGGGTGTCTGCCATTACTGGAAGCTTAAATCACTGCTAGGGCTGGCTCATTTGAGAATGTAACTCAGAGTATTGTCCTAAGAAGAACTAGAAAGTTTGTTTGTATTACACAAACATGTATTTCTCAAGATTTTCAGTATTCATCCATCCTCCCAATCAAACCTACCAACAAATCTTTCACCCATCCATTGTTGCTTCAAAGCATCATCAATCTTAGCAAGCCATCTTGCCTTTCATTAAATGTCCACCATCCAATGAATGGTCAGTATCCACCAAACCAAGCTGTCACCTACTGGCCTATCAAAACAACCTATTGACCAATTAAACCAACAAGTCATCTAGTGGCCCATCAAACCAACCATCTATTGACTCATCAAACCAACCCACCATGTACTGGCCCATCAAACTGTTGCTCTGTTGACCCATGAAACCAACCATCCCTCCCTCTACTTACAAGTGAAACCAACCATCCTACCATTGTTCCATCACACAAACCGTCCCTCTGTTGACCCATGTAACCAACCATCCATTTACTGGCCCATCAAACCAACCATCCTACCATTGTTCCATCACACAAACCGTCCCTCTGTTGACCCATGAAACCAACCATCCATCTACTGGCCATCAAACCAACCATCAAACCAAAACCATCCTACCATTGTTCCATCACACAAACCGTCCCTCTGTTGACCCATGAAACCAACCATCCATCTACTGGCCCATCAAACCAACCATCCTACCATTGTTCCATCACACAAACCATCCCCTCTGTTGACCCATGAAACCAACCATCCATCTACTGGCCAAAGCAAACCAACCATCCTACCATTGTTCCATCACACAAACCATCCCTCTGTTGACCCATGAAACCAACCATCCATCTACTGGCCCATCAAACCAACCATCCTACCATTGTTCCATCACACAAACCGTCCCTCTGTTGACCCATCAAACCAACCATCCATCTACTGGCCCATCAAACCAACCATCCTACCATTGTTCCATCACACAAACCGTCCCTCTGTTGACCCATCAAACCAACCATCCATCTACTGGCCCATCAAACCAACCATCCTACCATTGTTCCATCACACAAACCATCCCTCTGTTGACACATGAAACCAACCATCCATCTACTGGCCAAGCAAACCAACCATCCTACCATTGTTCCATCACACAAACCATCCCTCTGTTGACCCATCAAACCATCCATTGATACATCCTTCTGTGGAGCTCTTTCACTGAAGCCTGAGTTTGTTTCCTGTTCACAGATTTTCGGGATGCTGTTGGCCTACTTCTTCATCCGCCGCGTCAGCGTCAGCGACCTGAGAGTGTGGTATCGGGTGGACAACTTCCGCTCCGGCTAAGCCTAATCCAGCCCCACGTTCAGCTCTAGTCAGCACAGCATCCACACTGATGTGCCCATGTACCTTCACGAATAAGCCATAATCTCATTCTGTCATGCTCGAGTTGCACACACGAGCTTCTGCCCTCTGGTGAGGCGTATCACGTAGTTGTGAGATGTTAATGTATCAGGGTACATGTGGTACAGATTGTGTATCAGAGAGTCATCATGGAGATCCTCCATCAGAGACCCGTGGCATCGTTCCTCAAAGCGATCTTAGTGCTATGTCAGTGGTAAATGAAGGGAGTAATGATCATCTTATTGTGGAGATTATGTGGTGGAATTGATTAGGTACAAATATAACTCATAGTTGAGATTAACATAAATAATACAAACAGATATAGTTTTTCAGGATTACAGAAACTCGCTTTACAGTTTCACTTTTTGACTGACTAAGTACGTCAGCTCTCATCTCAAATCAGTTTCTATACAAATCGCGATAAGAAAGTAAAACGGGAAGACACAGCTAATTCAGTACTCTCCGGAATTCCCATTCCCGAATTGTTAAGCCAGCGATTTGGGTTAGAATGTATTTTGATCGACTTTGCATTGTTGTCATGCTGATCTTGATATGGTGAACATATCGCTAGGGTATACTGTCACATAATTTAAAGGTTGTCGGAAAAATGCAACTATTTTGTTTTTACACATTGCTTAATGTACATTTGTAGATGATATCGGTTACAAATATGTGTATATTTTGAAAATAAATATCCAGAAATATACAAGAAATATTGATGAAAAGTTTATTCAATAAATTATTTTGTAAAAATAATGAGTAATATTTTTGCAAATAAAGTAGGAATTTATTCATAACCTGTACATTTGCCCTGTATATGGACACTCATCCAGTACGTGGTAATATTTCTGTCTTATGTTATGCAATACTCAATATAGTTGTTAAGGATAATTCATCACTGTCAGGAAGACCTCACATCAAGTATATAAGTTAATGTCAGAAAATACCAACAGTGTATACAATGTGCTTGGACACGACGTCACCTTTCTTTACACCATGTATTTTGTCATGACATGTTTCATACTGTTATCAATCCATTCAGATATTTGAATGTTTTTTATCATGCCTACAATATACAGATTCATGTCTTATGAACACTTCATAATGGTTTCTCAAGACCGGTTTGATGTGTAAAACAATACTCTTGACGGACAACCATCACATTCAGAGATGTACGACATTCAACTGTGCTCGTATCAGTCAGTCTATTTAATTTACCTAACCTACTAAGTGATTTAGATTGTGTATTTTAGTAAAGCCAGTATCAGGCAAGCTAGTACAAGAATGAGATTATTTATTTCACAGAAGCTACTATGAGTATCAATTAGATTGTTTGTTTTTCTGAAGCTACTACGAGTATCAATTATATTATTTGTTTTTCTGAAGCTACTACGAGTATTGATTAGATTATTTATTTCACATAAGCTACTATGAGTATCAATTATATTACAGTCAAATCCCGATGAGTCGAATCGCTGGGGACCAAGTAATAAAATTGTTTTGTCTGAAGCCAGTCCTAATTCCTCCGCCTACCATATCACTATTAGGGGCACCTTATCAGTTCATTGATTAGATTATTTATTTCACATTTGCTACACCAATCAACTTCTCATTGACTGACTTGTATCAATTAGATTGTTTGTTTTCTGAAGCTACTCATGAGTATCAATTAGGTTATTTGTTTTACTATAACATGAGGGATGAAGCTACTTGAGACATCCGGCATTCGAATAAGATTATTTGTTTTACTGAAGCTACTATGAGTATCAATTAGGTTATTTGTTTTACTGAAGCTACTATGAGTATCAATTAGATTATTTGTTTTACTGAAGCTACTATGAGTATCAGACTGACTATCAGTTTCTTAAAGTAAGTACATCGCTCACAAATTATCTGATGAATAAAAGCACCCAAGCTGTGCAGGTCAGTTAACTTATATTTTTTTCATAAAGATCAATGATTTTTGGTCTTTTCTAATATAATTTTTTATGAACGTCAAGATTATCAATATTTTAAGAAAAGAGGCATGTTTCTTTGCGAAGGCAATACTATCTTGGTTGGTGATCAGTTCGAATTAGAAAATGTTGGCTTGTGGTTTAGGAATCAGATCTGAGTTGAGCCTGCTGATACGTTTACCACCAACAGCACAATGACTGTGAAATGGCTATATCTTCAGAAGTACTCCCAGTATAGAATCTCTCACTCCGCAGTAGTATGCAACCCGATCTCACCTGTCCAGTCTCTCACATCCATCCATCGGTCCATCTGTCCGTCCACATGCCTTTACACATTTTGGCCATCTATCTCAAGCATTAAATGTTTTGGGCGTACATTCTCAATGTTACAAATCTGCTTGTGGTCAAATCTCAATGGACGCTTGAAGTTTCGGTGTGCAGTATGCGGCTTCCAGTGAATTCGTTTGTGAGAAAAGTAAATACTCAAAGTGGCATTTTACCTGTTTGTTTATTCATTGACAGCATTTAATTCAAGATATTATTTAATGTGATAAGAAACCAAATTAAAACTTATCAGTGATCAAGGAGAGAACTTGAATTTATCACAGACATTTGTACTTCACACAGTGTGTGTAATCAATAGTTTTGTGTTTTCTTTTTTGATTAAAGTCAATTTATAGTGTTCCCTGCCATGACATTGCTGGAATATTGCTACAAGCGGTGTAAAACCATACTCACTCACTCACTTATATTACTGTGACATACTTCACAGAATTAGGGTTCAAAGAGGACATAGTTCTGTCTATATCACTAAGAAAATGTCACATGTACGACATGTGCTTAAATCTCTCATTACCATGACAACGAACCCGTAAAAGTTCAAAACATTTCGACATTTGTGACATATTAGACACATCCTGTTTACTAGACATATAATGACAAAATGTGTTGTTTTATCTGTAATAACAGATTTTTTTTCAGTTTTTTTATGAATCCTGTTCAGCATTTGCCAAATTGTGTTGTGAAAATATTTGTGTGCATAATATTTCAACTTTTAGATAAAACCTTATTATAATATTTTTTACTTATGGTTTTACCATTGATATTTTGTATGTGTTTTGTCGTCCTTCACAGCCTGTGAAACAACAGCAAATAGATCTGTCTTTTTATGTTAACTGCTTCCATTTTGATTGCCATAATATTTACAATTTATTTTTGTGTGATTTCTGTTTATTTTTAGCTCACCTGGCTGGAGGTCAAGTGAATGAAATTGGTTGTCGTGGAAATGTTTCTCCACTCAGTCAACAAAATATGCTAAAAGTAGAGACTTCCTGTTTGTCACATTGTCCGATGGGTCTGTAGATGTATCAGCCATAGTTAATGCTAGGATTATCAAAGTCCTTAACACCGACTGATGGTTGTACTACAAAGATATGTCAGTTGATAGAGCTGCCATAAACTAGAGAACTATGCTTATAGGTTTTGTTTAACATAAGACACACCATGTGGTATAGTAGAAATAAAAAAAATTCTTTTGTTAAAAGATGAAAGAAATATATTCTGAACTGTAGCTATTCATCTGGTAGAATGTTTTCTTCTCATGTCCAAATGATCCTTATGGCCACCAATACACCTTGAGCCAAAAATAATTAAAATTCAATCATTATGTGCATTCAGCAATGTTAAGTTGCAGAGACAAACAAGAAACAAAAGTTATCCAACCCAAAGATAATTTTGATAAAGATAAATTTGCAGGCTCAAGCATTTCATTATTTTGGTTTATGACTCGCTTAAACCATTATGGTAGATTGTTTGGAACAGTATATACACTGTTAGTTTGACAACAGGGTTATAGTACTGGACACTTTGTAGGCCTTTGGTTTTGCATTCTACATTCCTAGCAAAGGAAATATATGTTTAAGTACAGCTTTGTAACCAATAACATAATTCTGTTTGATTACAGTCATGCTTATTTATGTATTGCCATATATTACATATTATATTTTTATATTTTGTTTGGCCCTTTAGTTGTGGTAAGCCATTCCTCTCTTCTGTGAGTTACGCACAAACCAGATGACAGTAGACATGCTTAGAAGACACAGGCTTTTGATGGGACTTCCCAACCAGGAATCTTGTCCTTATTAACATACCTACAGGACAGCAACTAAATATGTTCCAGATGACAGTAGACATGCTTAGAAGACACAGGCTTTTGATGGGACTTACCAACCAGGAATCTTGACCATATTAACATACCTACAGGACAGCAACTAAATATGTTCTCAGTTTCATTTAGTGAATTTTAGAAGTCAACTCAGCAGTCACTTTTGAAGATATAAAATGTGCTTGTGTATAATTTGCCTTATAAACAACAGGATTTCAAAATGAATTATTATTTTAGAATAGTATTCCATTATTAATCATCTTGTAAAATCTAATACAACTGTGTTTGATAAGTAAACATTGGATTAATAACTTTCTGAATTTAAATGATGGGTTGAAATTGATTTTTAAAATTTATATTCTATTTTCACTGATGAAGTACTATGTTGTTTCACAATGGACACAGTTTAGTCTTCATGATGAACAGGTCTTCTTGTGAATAATCTTTGGCTAAAAATAATGTACAGTGTGAAATTAAATACTGCACTAATTTCATTATATTAGGAGCATATGGTTTTAGAATAACAACAGTGTATCTAATAGACCCTGTCAAGTCTTCTTCATCCACATTTCTCCATACTGTTCTTAATGTACATATGTGTATCATCATAAGCATATACTAGGTATTTACCTTCAGCTTGCCTTGTGCAATATTGCTTTAGGGTAGTGAAGTGACTTTCCAAGTGAGACATGATTATTGTTGAAGTTAGGTTGACGATGTTGTGAAGTTAGCCATTCAGGGATGTGGCTGTAGCTGTTGTCATGGTCTCTGTTGTACTATATGTTCTCTGTTCTTTTTTCTTATATAAACTTCTGTTAGACTAAACAGTTTTTGTCATCTTTGAACCTTGTGGGGGCGGTGGGGTAGCCTAGTGGTTAAAGCGTTTTACGCCGCTTTTAGCAATATTCCAGCAACATCATGGCTGGGGACACCAGAAATGGGCTTCACACGTTGTACCCATGTGGGGATTCGAACCCGGGTCTTCGGCGTGACGAGCCAACCCTTTAACCACTGGACTACCCACCGCCCCCTTAAGTAGGAGCAGGACAGAACATTTTGGTGAAACACTGGAGCACAGTTTGGTGCTGACACAACTTCCACTGGCGGAACCATCACAATCAGTGGATGCCACTCAGCACAGCATACTGCGGCATCTAATACCACAGGGACCCATGCTTGTTGTAAGAGGCGACTAATGGGATCGGATGGTCAGACTTGCCTACTATGTTGACACATGTCATCGTATCCCAATTGTGAAGATTGATGCTCATGCTGTTGATCACTGGATTGTCTGGTCCAGACTCAATTACTTTCAGACCACCACCATATACCGGTAGCTGGAATATTGCCGTTACACAACCAACCACATTACCCATTCCATCACAATCAGTGGATAAGGCTAAGGGATGCAACATCACATCAAACTGTAGCACCTTATATACTACACTACTCATTGGTTTCGCCTGAACATGACAAAGAAGAAGAACAAATGACCTACAACTGTGTAGTTGTTTTATTAGCATGCTATTATGCATGAAGACAATACAGAGACAACTGAGAGACATATGATCCTAGAAACTGTACAGACTCTGTACAGGGGAACTGTGAGTGGCTAGGGGTGGACCTCCACAGTACAGGGAACATGTGTAAGGCTATTACACTGCATCACAACAGACTCCTCTCGAGTCTAGTAGGTCTAGGATACACCCAGTCCTGTCTACAGCATCAGCAGGCATCACAAGGAAAAATCAAGAATGACCGTCTTTTCTCATTGAACCACTAGCCCCAAATGAGCTGTGGACAAGTGAATTTTAAGTTGTATTTAATTCAAGTTCACTCGGGATAATAGAAGATTGAAAAAAATGTAAATGCTACTGGAATTGGCCAGAATAGATTCCTGATGGATGTCTGATTTCTACAACCACATCTCAAGAGCCCTTAACCAATTAAAAAAATAATGTTTATAGTTTTGTTTAAACATTACCATTGAACTTAGGCAAAAGAAATGTCAAGGAACTTCTTTAATTTATGTGTAACTTGTAAATCAAATGGAAGGAAAAGTAAAACTTCAAATTATATCCACACTTCCATAAATGTTTCTTCTTCCTTTACATCATCTTTTTGCCAGTGTTCCATCATCCCATATACTGGTGCTGTAGACAAGCTGTGGTGTGGCTGTCATCTATAGTGATTTATACCTACCACAATAATATCTAAAGTACTTGTCTACAAATTTCACACACATGAACAGGGTAAGTCCAGCATGTGCCTCACGTTGTTTGGTGTATGAATGCTACAATGGAGGATGGACAACGTTTTTAATTGAAGTACTTCAGCCCCGTATGACCTTTGAACTAGATACTCTGACCCAAAATATACTTAATGTCAACAGGTTTAGGAAAAACTGTTGGTTTCAAGTGCCTGAGGGTTTGAATTACATGGGTAACAAGAAAGATAATCGATGAAAATATAATTATACATCGATATCAGTTTTAATGAAAATATTTGCCAAGTAATGAATCCAATTAAAAAACACAATTTTTATTTACCAACTCTGACATCACATCTGAAGTGATGCTTAAATCTAAAGAAAAACATAATTAAAACTCTCAAAAATCTGAATTTTATGTAAGCTAAAAATATTTGAAACTTATTCAAATCTCATTTAAATCCAAAATGAACTGTCTCTTCCATGAGAAATCAAACACTCATATCGGCACACTGAGATTTCTTAATAAAGGTAAAATATAGGTTCATATTTCGCAATGAAAGCAATAACATACAACATGACCCATACCCTAAATGACAGATGATGGTTAAACATGACCTGCTATTGACAAGTTACCTACAATTATGACACACTATGTATACACATAACAAACACAGACATCAATATGTTCATTTCTGAAATGTACACAACTTGCAATGTTATTAACATGATAAAACACATTCTCCAGTGTATTAAAGGCTACTCACTGTACATATATGCGGATCAGACCTACACAACTGTGGCTGGTTGTATGGTGAAAACAATGCTGATATCACAAATAGATTTCCTTCAGTGTCGTTAACACTTACATGAAGCTACGGTGCTGGTGATGGATGGTGAACTAGACATGACTACATGAGAATGGAATGCAACCATCAGGGAACAAATCCTTACAATGGGTCTCACATATCTTAATTAGACTGAAATTCACATTATGCTGCATGGAACTGAACCTTACACATGAACAATTCCATAAATTCATTCAAATTGAAAAGATCTTACATAAAGATGGTTTGAAGAAGACTACCATTTTGGGAACAATAAATTTAAACCTGCACAAAATCCATATCTGTACCATAGGGTGCCTGAAATTGATGACAATATTTTTAACGATATACATTACCAAGTATAATTGTTTTAAACATCTCAATGCCACAATATCCTGATGCATGAGAAAATAACAATGGCCACCTTGTCAACATGCATCTCCAATCATCCTTTGCATAGCAAGACCTAGTAACTGATAGCAGGTCAAACGTAATTCAACCTTTCATATCTTAGATCACACTATCAATCATTTACCATCTTGGAAACCACAAAATAGAAAATGCCCCTCATTGTCATACACAAATGAAGCTAATATTGACAGCTCAAGTTGAAAACCCAAACCCATAAACACCTATTTAAGGCTTCTCGGGAAACATTTCTTTCTGAGTGAAAATGTTAAACATTTCTGATACATTTGGTGGTCTTTATTAATATTTTCTCAGTCCTGATTCAGACATGAAGGATGACAAGGCCTTTAATAGAATCATACAAAGAGGCAGCATTGACAAATCAAAATGTACGAAGCACGGACATTGACAACAGGATTAGCTGGTGGAGAATTTGTGCATTAACTTTAAACCAAATCTTTCTAGATGATAATGAGGCCAGTTGTTACTATTGGTTAATCCATTAGTTATAATTCTCTTATATATTATCAGTTATATATATAGTTGCACATGTTAACAAAGAATCTCTTCAACAATGGTGTATTGTTATTTCGTATCCAATGATACACATAAAAAAAAACCCATTGGTTTCCTTTATCTATAGTTGTACTCTTTATGAATTGAAATATAAATAACTCAATCCATGAAATATATAAAATTACAACTCAAAGTTTGGAATCAGGGTCCCAATCCACAAAATGTCTGTAGCTCTACGACATTCTAAAGCTATGATATACTATAGGGTTACGACTGCTTAGTAGATCGGGACCCAGAACTCATCCCACAAGTAATCTCAGCCCTAAAACAATCACATCCAAGATACTTCAACACAGGCCTATGAGTGCTGGTTGCCCTACAATCACTTTCTAACATGAAGCAGTGGAGGTTTAGGTTAAGGCCAGGTCCTTTTTCAAAACTTGGTTTACAAATCCTCCAACTTCAAAACCTTAACTGTGAAAAAAGTAAAATGAAATGCACTGTTATTTCACTGTATTCACCAGAAAAGGGTAGAGAGATTAACAAAGATTATTCTTACTGTTGCAATCTCTATATAATTTATAATGATACAAGTACGACCTGTTGAAGATGTATCTTAAGATGCTCCCAAAAAATCAACAAAACCAAACAACGCATTTTGATGAAAATCTAGATGAAATAAATCTATTTGAAAACGACATTCATTTCTTTTCTTTTTTTACCTTCCAACCTGAGTTTTTCAGCCAAAAATCTGTAATCCAAGAAATAAAGTCTGGCCTTCACCCAATTGCTCAGTATTCCATATCAATTCTTTGATGGGCATTTTAGAAGTTGAGTTGATGAAGAATAATGACAATTATTATGGATATACAACTTGTTTGACAACGACATTAGAATCTATGTCGAAACGTCGCCTCCACAGAATAAAAGAAGTTGTATATCCATAATAATTGTCATTATTCTTTATTCCATATCAGGAATTCTCAATCAGTGAGGGTTAATATGGTGTTGGGTTGGTGTAAATGTAGGACTGGTGATTATTTGACATAAACAACTAAACAACATGAAAGAACTGTGGTAATCTCTTGACTAGGGACTACTACACTAACACAGGCTCTGCAGCACTAAGATGTCTACATACTACCTACTCTACCGCAAAACAAACCAGCAAGTTACACAGTCTTTTCAGATTCAACTTATAATACTCTTTGGTATCTACTTATTTACTTTATTTTCGATCAGATTATCAAAAAGAACTAGAAACATTTTCTTTGTGCCAAGTCCTCTAACTAACGTCTGTAATTAAAAAGTCCAGAAAGTAGGTTAATAGGGGAAGATATCGATTCTACCAAATAAAAGTACACTGACTGACTGACTGAGTTTGGTTTTACGCCGCTTTTAGCAATATTCCAGCAACATCACGGCAGGGGACACCATAAATGGGCTTCACACAATGTAACCATGTGGGGATTTGAACCCGGGTCTTCGGCATGACGAGCCAATGCTTTAACCACTAGGCTACCCCATCGCCCCTTTTAACAGTACACAAATAATGGCCTCTAAGTAACACACATTCTTTAATTTCACCAAATGATTTAATGATTTAAGTGATCACTTTCTAAATCAATTTGCACATTATCTACTGAAATTATTTAGAAAGGTAAAACTGTAAAAGACCTTAAAGACTAATTCATAAATAATTTATGGATAAATAGTTTTATTGGATATTCTACAATTTCATCAAGAAAGACGAAAAATGCCCTTATCAGTATGAGATTAAATGAATCCAGTATATATTACCATAATGGAGTCGCTCCCTATGGCTATTGCAACAACTGAGGTCCAACATAGAGTCCTGAAAGTTGGGAGTATACTGACACTAAGTAAAATAATAAAGTCTTTGGCAACAAACAACACACAGGATAGTAAAGACTACAGTTCCTTTGCATACTTTAAAAAAGGTTTTGAAACAAAAGTGAGTCTTTATGGAATGTCTCCAAATAACTATGTACACACTGATGGCACGCATCAGCTGAATAGTCTTGCCACTACTTCTTACAAATTGGTGATAGGATTGTAATATTAGTCTACTTTCTTGTATGTATTTTCTGAGAACAAATATTCAATTCACTGTATTTCAAACAGTAATGCCACCTGGCAAAACAAACAATAATTATGCCTTAGGATTCTTTACATACAGTGTTTATAGTAAACATATTATGTTGATAAATCTTATGCCTTTAGTAGTGTCAAGAAAACTGACAAGTGCCCCATAAATGACTTAATGTATCGATAAAATTGATACTGATTCCTGAAACTTTAAAGCACACCGTGTTTGTTCTTGGTTTACCAATTATCCACACATGCACTAAGGATCTCGTATAACACACCAAGTAGGTTACCATGGTCAAATACTTCCTGTTAGAATTCTTTTTGTGTTCAACTAAAGAGCTAGTTTGGAGAAAATAAAGCTCAGAAAGTTCAAAAATATTTTATCCACATGGAATGGTATTGTTTTCTGAATGACCTGTACGTGTTCATCTGTGTCTGACCTTGAGCTAATGGCCAAGAAAATACTTAAAACCCAAACAAGATTGGCATGGCCTTACCAACATACGTTTCTTTTCAAACTCTAATCCACAATTCAAACCCTGTAACTCTGATCAAACAAATCAAACTTCAACATTATCTGAACAAGAACTTCTTCAAACACATCAGCTTCAAGCAAACAAGATTTATACATTCAAGAAGATTGAGCACACAATCTACACTAAAATCACAAAAACGCATTAAAAATCTAAACAATGCAACAAGAACAGAATTAATGTAAGTTTCGGCACGAGCAGTACCTGTGTTAAGTGGCACCACGGACATGTTTCACACGACAGTCACACGAGGTAAATAACCTATAAAATGATCCCCAGTTTGGCCCATGAATTATGTTTATAACATATTTTCTCGTATATAACAATTAGCAAGCCTTTTATGTACAAACAAAACGATGCACAGTATATACAGAATGACAGCTAGCATATTGCACATTGCCATTAGGAGTGTGTCAATGATATATTTATATATGCAGTTCATAATACTAATTCCATCCGAAACACACACATGTATCTATATAGATATATGTATGTATATGAGAATTTCACATTGGTTTTTATCTTTCATATATTATATATCTCTCTAAACATTGTTTTCAACTTGGAATGGAAATAAATAAAAATAAATCTGTGCCTCAGGATTTGAGCTCACTTTATTTTACAGTTAAACAGCTTTAAAAAAATATGGCTGACTTGATAGCCATATTGAAAATGTGTTCAAAATCCTTGTAGAAATGAAGGTGTTATCATTGGCAGTAAGATTCATTCAACCTATTTATTTCATCAGCGAATATGTTTCTGATGTTTACAGAAGAAGCATCAACAAAGGCCTCTTACCCTGGATTCAAGTGAACTAATAGCAGCTTATTAGACATTAATAATAAAGAAACTGGCTATAAAATAATTCTGTATTTATCTCCTATCTTAACACTCTGGTTTTCAGGCATTGTGTTTTTAAGAGTGTGGCAAGGCAAGCCCTTTGACTTTTCACACCACTGTGTGGCCCATGGATTTGAATGTTCTCTTAAAACACAAATGAAGGTTTGCTGAGAAGTGTAAACATAGGAAGACATTCAAAACCTGACAGACATACTGATGTGCACCACTCATTTCATCTACCTCATTTCACGAAAACAATCACAATACAGCAATTACCCTTTCTTAAAAAAACAACTGTCCATACCTTTCCCAATACACAGAAGCATTCTTCATGTAAAGATCTACTGGTAATTGCATTCAAAGTTCATTGTAAATGAACATCCGAAATCATCCAAGTCATGAACCGTCATCAAAACCGTTTTGATACACTCCATAATGGTTCATCTTTCAACCAAATATCAATCATGGAACCTTTGACAGATTCAAGGAACATTTTCCCTCAGGTTATATACCCAGAGACATTTTCAACCAATCATTCACTACAAACATTTTGGTTTTTTAACGTTCCACAGAACCATTTTCTTGAATACATTCCATCTCGTGCCAATCAATATCTTTGCCATTTTACGAATGTGATACTTTTTTTTATATACTTCAATAAATAAAATATAATTCAAGTAACATTAGTAAATAAAGAAGACTTTAGGAGAAAAATAATAAAATGATAGCATGCAACATGTCAGCAGCTGACAACACGGAAGCTGCTCATATTATGGAAACAGAAATATGGATTGTGGAATTCAGCCATGGAATGTCTCCTAGTATGTGTAACTGGGGTGGGTTAATTCTTCATCACCCTATGGGGTATACCGAGACGTTCTCAGAGAACCTTCTGGGTTTACTACAGTAAATATTGGTCTAAACTTTCCTCATTCAGGGGTATGACTAGGAAAGGCTTATACTCAGTTTAATGTTAATGCATTAAAACAAATGTGAAATGTAGAAAATCAGGAGTTCCCAATCTATTTTTCCTTCAAAATAACAAATTTCTCTGTCATGGACATTTCATGCAAAACCAAAAATATCCATTTCACATATGCAGGTAAGTAATATTCAAGCATAAAACTTTCAAGTTTCACCAATCATGATTTCATCCTCATAACATCATGAATTCATTTGTTTTAGACGGTCTCCTGACTGAGGAACTCTTCACATACAAATCATACAGAAATCTGAAATTCCCCACTTTGAAATGAGCACTGAGTCAACATTCATTGCATCAAGTTTTGTGGAAACCTCTCCAAAGATAACTAATAAAAGTTCCCCGAAAAACACAAACAAACAAAATGTTTGAGTCAGTCTATCACCCTGGTATAAATTCATTGCACAGAAACAAGTTATCACTACTAACATGACACCCCCCTCATGGAGGAGGTACTGTTAGGACACGCTGACAGTCTATATACTCAGCTATCATGGCAAACAAAACTTATTGACAAAAGGGCAACATGGAACTTCATCATCACATGGCTAACCATGTTCATATTCTATAGCACTAACTGCTGGTGAGCTGCTGGTTGTCTCACCATCTTCCTGAGCAGCTGCTGGTCATCTCACCATCTTCCTGACAAGCTTCTGCTGTCTTACCATCTTTCTCATGAGCTGCTTTCCATCTTTCTCACGAGCTGCTTCCCATCTTACCATCTTTCTCACAAGCTGCTTCCCATCTTACCATCTTCCTCACGAGCTGCTTTCCGTCTTACCATCTTCCTCATGAGCTAATTGATGACTCATCAGCTTCCTCATGAGCTGCTTTCCATCTCACCTTCCTCATGAGCTAATTGACGTTACACCATCTTCCCCATGAGCTGCTTTCCATCTCACCATCCAGACAATGAAGCATTTGTGGCTCACAAGCTTATCATCGGTTGTTTCATAGCTCCCAACACAGCTCCACATATTACTTCATTCCACACAGACTCAACATATGTAAATAGCTTCCAATTGCCATAACAGTTACAATCTCAAACAGGTAGCTGTATTATGTAATGTCAACTTATCAACATTGATACAATGGTGATTATGGCAAGCGTCTGTTAACAAAACTACACTGGTAACCGTGACAGGAACAAGCAATGCAGATTCTGTAACAAATTTAAACACTGAGTGCTGTGTTTGTGAGTGAGATTCTGGGGCTGGACACAGATGCTGGACACAGATGTTGAACAACACATAACACAACGCCTACTTGCTACACTGCGGACAGACAGATAACAGAACTGGCAGGCAAATGCTTGGGATTTCACTTGATCCAGAGATTCTGTGTTGGCAAATACAGATTTTACTGTGCCAAATCTCGGTATCGTTAGGTACTGTCACTTTGAAGATGTTCCAGTTCTGGCTTTCTTAACAGTGACTTGTTTTACCCGTGTAACAATGTTCTCTTTTGATCATGTTGTTCTGTGTTAATATTGTTCTCCTGTGTTCGTGTTGTTGTTTTCTTGTGTTCACGTTGTTCTGCTGTGTATCCAGATGATGCAAGTTAGTTCAAAATAGAGTTCAGACCCTGAACATACTATCGTGTAGTTTAAGAGAACCAGTCTCACACTTTCCACTTCTATACATAATGATATGCTTGGTCAGATAGCATAGTATACTCTTTAACCTATCTGACTTTTGACGTTCAGTTCCTTTTGTCCTCCTTTGGATTATTGAGATAAGATTTGACTAATTTCTTCACAACGATCACTTCCTATCCCTGTTGTCATGAAAACAACTCCAATGCAATAACAGCAACAAAATACCATAAGAAATTTAACCAATACTGACAAACAGTACAGAACATAGGGAGACTGGAAGCAACTGACACAGCAATTCAACAGAAACATAGGTCCCCTTCCTTCAACAATGCAGAACCTGAGCCCTCTCAGCATGTCAGTTCAATTCACAGTAACGCTTCCATAGTGATCAACAAAACAAAAGCTGCGAATGCCATAATGGACCCTCTTCAAAACAGGTTTCAAACAAGCTAAAAAATCAGGCTTCAAATATGACCCATCAGCTTCAAACAGCCTTCTCCCGGCTTGACGTAGGCCACTTGAGGCTAGAAAAATCCCCTTCTGATCTGAAATAAGGTGTCCTTGGTGTATGAGCCCCATGGACTATCCGCCTCATCTTGCCAGTGTACAAAACGAGGCACTCCAAGATGGCAAGGTATGACTGGGACCACTCCCTACCAACACATCACAACATTGGTACAGGTGAAGTCGCAGGTGGAACGTGTACTGTGGTCTACTGTTCACTGACACTAGTCTAATGCACTCAATGGAATGATGGTGTTCACGTCTTCTGGCTGGCAATGGCATCTGCAGCCTGCTGTGCCCGGACTATGTTGTAGCAGGCCTGACACACTCGCACTGGTCGCACAATGCGGAGACGCCGGATCTCCGTCTCATACCGGCTACATCTGAAAACAGGAAACAATTTGCATTCAAATTATAAGCATAAAAATACCATAACTTTTGTAGCGAAGAGGTAATCTCGCAATATGATAAAAAAAGGAAATCTCAAGTGATACAGCCTCAACAAACTTCATACATACATCTTAATTGAAATTTCCTGGAGACATTTTGAGGGTTTCACTACACGCTGACTTAAAAATTCAAATTTACAAAAAATGTCACAACATCAATCTGCCAATATATAACGTGTTATATTTATTACACTCTCTCAGTAAAGTACAGATTCTAGTAAATTTCATTGGGTTATAACACACATCCAGGATTCGGACCCACACCCTCAGAGTCAGGCACCTAAGCGCCAGCACAAAAAGTCAGAAACTAACCCAGTCAGCCACCGCCTCTTCCACAAAACCACTAGAATCTGTACTTTACTGAGAAAGTGTAATCCTAACTATAACATAACATTTGACCACTTTCTAAATGGCATTGTGTAATCTGCCAATATTCTGCCATGACAGAACTGACTGACCTTGAACAGAAAACCTGTCCACAGTTCCTACAATGGTGTCGCCGCCCGGAGAAGGAAAACTTGACAGAGCAGGAAAGACAGCTGTCCACTCCCTCATCCTTCATCCAGTGGTCAGCCACCACACGGCCAGGCTGGTCCGTCACTGTCCAGCTGAATATCCTTCCCTTAGCGTCACCCACATACACAGTCTTGTGGTCCCTGGAACACACACAGCAGTTTGTATACACAAATTACCAACCACTACTCACTGTACACCTGCCCTTATACATGTTTATATGTTTGTTTGGCTGCTGTCGGTTCTGCAATATCATAGCAAACTGAAAATAATGGGATATTTGTTGACCTGTGGGAGGTAAATGAGCTTGTTTGATTGTTTAACAAGCAAACTCATATGGAAATGGATTACTTTCTTTATCTAACTAACAGCTGGTTACGAAACAGTGACACAGCAATTCAACAGAGACGTAGGTCCCATTCCTTCAACAATGCAGAACCTCACTTTATCACTGCAAATAGCTGTAATATTGTCGATGAGGCGTTAAACAATATTCACTCACACAACTCATTTTGAAAGAATATTTATCATCTATAAGCTGGTTATTACAAAATATTTTTGCCTGAAACTTGGAACAGTTCGGTTGCATGAAAATGGCAAATGTAGATTTGAAAGTGAGAATCAAGTTACAATAACCAGGATAACATAGACAGATAACATGAAGGACATTAAACTCACTTGGAAATGGCGATGGCTGTGACAGCAGCAGGGTCCTTGTTGTCCTTCCTCTCGAACGCTGTGTGCATTGTCAACTTGCTGCGGAACACCAGCTGACTCTGCCACTGGAAACCTGGCACAGAGATGAATACTATAGCAGTAACTGGTTTAATGATCAGTATCACTTACATGCTTGACTCGACCCTGCACGTTTTAAGCATATGAAAAACCATGGATATGTACGATAAACACTGTTAATTGCAATCTGCACTGAATTTCACTAGTTTACAACGTGATTAACCAGAGCTCAAGAGCGGATGTGATGATGTGCTATTTTCGATGACGTGAATATGTGTGATCACTGGGCAACTTTTTTTATGGGAGCCACGGATTACCCCGCGGTTTAACCGAATCCGCAGTATTGCGAAGAGCGTTATTGCGAGGGATGACTGTATATCAATATAAAATATGAGCCAAAATGACTGACATGCGTCTTCCCTCACCTTCTCTGAGAGTGTTCTTGTTCTTCGGCTTGTACTTCTTCAACACCTCCTCCATCGACTTCTTCGAGTCTGCCACCTCACCATCCTGAATCACAACAAAGTCTGAACTGTTGGATCGAGATGAGTCGGACTCATGCCCCGACCCCTTCAAGTCAGGATGGCTCTTGCTACGACCATCAACACCAACACTGTTTTCCCCACTAGCAACAGCAGCCAGACACGGTTCGGACTGACTCGGCTGCTGGCTGTTCGGAGATGTCACCTTATCTTCATCGCCTAGTTCCGTGAGAACATCTAGAGCTGTGTCGAGGGAATGTTCCCCTGATTTGATGCTGGAGCTGTCACACTCTCGACTCAAGTCATCTCCATCACCGTTAGTACTTGTGCCATCCTCGCCTCGGTACAAGTCACTTGTGCTACTCGTCGTACTCAGATTGGACTCCAGTCTTTCAAACACATCCTTGTCTGCATCACCCGTGTTTGTTTGTTCTCGCTTCTTGGTGTCGCGGTTCTTCATCCTGTTGATGTAATGATGCTCACTGTCTGCAGATGACCCAAGCTCACATTCCTTTGCTGCCAGATAGTCAGGATCTTTAAAGTCTTTCAACAAGTCCACAGCTGAACGAGCGTCACTGTAGCTATCACAGGACTCTCGGCGAGCTATTTTTGGAATTCCGATTGGTTGAGTATTAACAACAGGGGAGGTAACCACATCCTTCTCCTTGCCTGTTTCAGGCTGGTCCTTGGATTTGGTCTTGTTTTCTATCGGCACTTGGACATACTCAACACTCCACATCTGCGATAAAACATTAAATGTTCTTTTATATAATACATTATAACATATCTTCAACAATTACTCACGTCATAAACATACTTCAATCATTATTCCAAAGTCACTAAACAAGGTAACTGAGACAAAACTGGAGTCTTAACTGAAGCATATAAAGTTTTCCCTCTACAAGCCTTAACTGGACTCTGGTAGCATCATTTTCAGCTGACATACATCTTATTCTATTGACTATTTTTAGCTGAGTCCACTGGACCAAATATTTTACTGACTTTGAGTAGACATTATTGGTTTGTTAAAGTCAATAACCAATTTCTTGCCTGTTCTCTTAAGAGCCATGATAAATTTCAACCAAGCAATATATAGCTACATTAATTACTTAAGACCCTGCCCAATTTCACACTGACAATTTACACCAATCAAGGAGAGCCTAGGCTGATTTACTATCTGTCACAAGTATATTCACCATAAGTGATGACATTATCTCTGAGGGTAAGGTTCTCAAAAGAAGGTAAAACATAAACACAAATCTGGTTGTCCAAAGGACAGTTCTTACCCTGACAACACCATCACTGCTTCCTGTCAAGATGACATTCTGTGGGTCCCACTCCATCATCTGAACACAAAACAATAAGTTGCTCAACTTTTGATGTGTTGGATTGTATTAGCTTCTACAAGTTAGACAAAGCTGATTTGTAAGGCTTGATGGTACTGGAAATGTATCCTGCTGTAGATTCCTTATAAAAGAAAAGCATGAACAACTTGGGACCTAGTCTGATCTGGATTGCCCATGAAAGACAAGCATGAAGTACAGGGACCTCTCTTGCTCTTGATTCCATATAATAAATAAGTATTTGTTACTGGGGTCCTATTCTGATCTGGATTCCCCATGAGAATCAAGTATGAGCTGCTATTTTGCCATGGATTCCCCACAATATTCAAGTATGAGGAATACGGCACCTATTCTGATCTGGATTACCAATAAGAGACAAGCAAGGCCACATTCAGTCTTCATATGGGTGTGATACATTGGCATTGTGTGGGTGAGCCATACTTGCCTGTGACATGGCCACACACAGGATCTGTTGGTTACGCCCTGTGGAGGTGTTCACGCTAGCTATGCCTTCACCATTGGTGTTCCAGATGTGCAGGTAGGTGCCAGAACATGTGGCAATGTCACCCTGTGTGATACATAGCAAATAAGGTCAATACAAGAAAAAGTCCAACTACTGTCTAACATGAGCATTAACATTGACTTTAATAACAGATTTTTATGAAATTATTAAAGGTTGTTTCAGCTTGAATAAATATATTTACATTTTCATCCACATTATTAATATATGAGCATCATTTTTCATATAGTATTCTCTATAAACAATCTGTTGGAGGCATCTATGGACACTAGGGGTGGGTATTGCAGGGAATTTTCATATTGCGATATATTGCCATGCAAAAAGCATGTATTGCGATATGTATTGCAATATATTGCAAGAAGGTTTTTTAAACAAAAAAATACTTATAATCGAGTTAATGCTTGATTTATAAAGCAAAAACACAACAAAATCACAATGCTTGATTAGGCTTTAATAAAATGTTTTAATCATGACAACAACAAAAAGTAAACAATATTTGGCACAAATAAAACAAGGAAAGGAACAATCTAAAAAAACTAAAATATCTGAAGATTTCCGAGTGTTACGAAGTTTTCCGGATGCAGGTCAAAACACCGGTTTTCGATCAGCGTATCGCAATACGTATCCTTTTCATGTCTGAACCGGTAAATACCAGTAAACCAGTTATATTGCGCAGCCCTAATGGACACTGTTGACGCTATGATTAACTGAATCAAGAGTGGTAGGCTTGGACTACTCTTATAAGGTGAATTTCATTAGGTGAAGACAGAAAGCATACACGTCAATTTTCTCCTTATGCAGTGGTAATTTACTGATCAAACACAAAGTCACAGACATAATGAAAACATTAACAGTTCCTGTGTGTTTGTCCGTGACAAGGCAACTCACCGTCAGATCATTGATGGCTACAGCAGCCACAGGTGCTACATGGCCTCTCAGCTGATGTACAAATATCAGCCGGCTCATATCCCAGATAATACAGGTGCGATCACGCGATCCACTGATGATCACATTGTATGCAGGGGAGGCTGCTAGACACGTGACAGGCTCAGTGTGGCCATACAATGGGCGCTTCAGGAGAGCTTTCCGCTCTTTAGGAATGTACTCCCAGACGTTCACAACCTGGAAACAGATACCATGGTATGTAACTTTCCATTCTCAGTAGCTGAAAAACACCACTTGATATAGCTGTTTGATTGGTCTGTTTGATTGGCATTTTAGAAGTTGATGGATAATAGAAAAGTATAATACTTTATGGATAACAACTTCTTTATTTATTATGATGCCATGTTTCAGTATAGCTTCTTATACCGTTGCCAAGCAAGAGTAAAGTGCTGTTCTGTATTACTTTACTCTTGATTGACAATGGTGTAAGAAGCTATACCGAAATGTTGCATCATAATAAAGTTGTTATCCATAAAGTATTATACTTTTCTACCACTTGATATAGATAGTCTTTAAAGGGATCTAACCATTTCTAGGAATGTAAAATAATATGCCGACTATTAAACAGATTTGAGGCCATTAGGAAAGATAAAATCAGTGTTTAAAATTTATTCAGTTGATATTAACAAATCCTCATGTCTGCATACACCAGCTGGTAATAGAACAAGACACAAAGTTGGAATGGCTTTAATCCTTCTTCACAAATAGAGTGATTTTATAGGAACTTACACAGCTGAATCCTCCTGTGATAAAGAGTTTGGAGTTGGGGCAAGCAGCACACAGTATCTCTCCATTGTCCAGACATTCAAACACTGCAGAGGCCTGGCCGAGACAAAACAGATCATTACTTCATCATGGTGACATGGAAATCAATCTGCCTGCTGTCATACTGCTTAAGTGAGTGAGTGAGTGAGTTTGGTTTTACGCTGCTTTTAGCAATATTCCAGCAACATCACGGCGGGGAACACCAGAAATAGGCTTCACACATTGCACCCATGTGGGGATTCGAACCCGGTCTTCGGCGTGACGAGCCAACGCTTTAACCACTAGGCTACCCCACCGCCCCCATACTGCTTAAGGGGTTGCCCAACCATATGTGAATGACTGAGGTTTCAAGCACCCTGTGGCTTTATTCCATTCATGAAATTTTGGGTAGGAGAGGCTTCCACCATGATAACATTTTCAACACTGGAACTTGCATCATTGTCATGTCAGCTCTTAACCTACAAGTCTGCACCTCACCCATTGTTTTGAATATCATAATTGGTGAAGTGAGTGAGGTGAAAAGGGACTTAACACTGTGTTTAAGGCTACTCCATAGCAGCATGCATGGACGTGTGTGTTTGTGTTTGCCCCTGCTTGTACACTTTCAGGATGCCAGGTTTCCAAGTGAGATACAATGGCTGGATACCCAACTCAGACATAGCATACTGACTCTGAGTCGACCAGTCTTTGTTCTATGTCCTTTAGGCCAGTTTAATGCTTTTAGGCATGGCAAAATTGTGAGCAGTGATCAACACCACTGCCTAACCCAACCAAGTGTCATCACTACCGAGCAGCTATGGCTACATGACTTTGAAAATATTCTTCATAAAAAAGATAGGAAAACAAAGAAGGGCAAGCAGTTATAAAATGAAAGTTGATCAGCATAGTCTTTGCAATTATTTTAAAGTTACAAAATTAACTAAGGTTTCCATAAGTCTTTTTTCAGGGCTATAAGATGCGTAAAATATTCACAACTGATCACCATCCCACTTGCTATTTTACATTTTCTAGATTGTCCAGTTGGTGGAAACTCTTGAGCACATTCCAGTGAGCTGGGAGCAGGTCCACCTACCCTATCAGATTCGTAGTTGCCGATGCGGACACTGAGGTCGGAGTATCCCCAGGCCAGGTACTTGTTGCAGCCCGGCGGGATGAGGACTTTGTTCTGCTCCACAGCCATCACATACTTCTCACTGTGGAAGATCTGACCCACGGCACTCTTTAGCTCTGTAACATAGAGGACACATATATATTGTATGGGACACCTCAGCCTTATACTGACTGAGTTTGGTTTTACGCCCGCTTTTAGCAATATTCCAGCAACATCACGGCGGGGGACACCAGAAATGGGCTTCACACATTGTACCCAAGTGGGGATTCGAACCCGGGTCTTCAGCGTGACGAGCCAATGCTTTAACCACTAGGCTACCCCACCGCCCCTCAGCCTTATAACATACAACAAAGATACAATGTTCAGCTCTATAAAAACAGTACAGGTATTTTGTACAACAGAATCAGCCTACCTAAGAAAATCAGTAGAGAAGTACCACACTATGGAACATGTACACACTAAAATAGGAACTGACACACTAATTGCAAAGACAAAATCCCCATAGACTTTGCATCATAATGATAGGAGCCAGCAATTTTGAAAAGAACAAAGCTCAGTAGATCATGCAGAGTGTAACCTTTTGTCTGTGGACTTTACTATGTTCAGTTGAATCTCAGTTTATATATTCTACAGTCATTGTGAGTGGACAACACTTGCACAACACTTGTCTGTGGACTTTACTATGTTCAGTTGAATCTCAGTTGATATATTCTACAGTCATTGTGAGTGGACAACACTTGCACAAAGTGGGGGCATGAGCATCATGTCTAGATACTGTGCAGCCATTTAGTATAGATGCCTCAAGTCAGCTTGGAATGGGAAACACAAAGTTTCAATGTTAATCATTGGATTATTCAAACCTCCAAATCAGCAATTATACTGAAGCATAAACTCCACCTGCTAATCTGTGATCTAAGGCTGAGGCGGTTTACTTGTGTACCTACCTTTGACAGGCTGCATGGAAGGTTTTAGATTGTCAACATTGTGGAAGAAGAGTCTGTCCGCTGAGGTGCTGGTATAGGAGCCCATGGGGAGGGGGTCCAGGGCACGGATGTTCAACTTCTTCTGGGGGGTGGGGCCGCTTGAACAACTAAACACACAACAGCATACATCAAATATACATCAAATATACATTAAACACGCATACATAGAATAAAGTTGTGGTTTTGAAATTAGTCCTGACTAAGTAAGGTTTTATTATGTTTTTAGCAATATTCCAGTAATATCATGGCAGGGGACACCAGAAATGGGATTCCTATATTGTCCCTGGTCTTCAGCAAGAAGCGCCATTGCTTTAGCCACTAGATTAATCAGCGTCAAAACACTCATGTCAGAACATTAAATGAAATCTGTCTCCAAAGAAGAAAGTGAACAGAAACAAATCAATAATTGCTAATCACTTGTATCACCTGTACAGAAAATCATCTACACATTAGCACCTGTTTCTACCAAAGAAATCTCTCCACCAACCTGTTTGGGTATTTGTCCAAAGTTGTTTATGAAACCAATGGTTGCGTTCTTCTTTAGAGGATCATCGATGCTGTAGATGTCCACGTTACCTTCATAGAACAAGTGGTGGAACACATTGACCGACTCCACAGCTGGTGGTCCACGTTGCTTGCAGCCAAAGATCAGGTCTATCCATTCATGGAGGTGAGCGCTGACATAGTCACATTCAAGGGCCTGGCAGTAGGAATAGACAACATTGATCAGTAATCATTTCATGACAATACAGCCTGAAGAAGAACGCTGATGAAATGAGCGAAAGACCTATTATGGTGGTTTGTAAATGTAGGTTTGTCCAAACTAGTTTGAGACTACAGCCTAAAAATAAAAATATACAACCAACTTGTTTACCATAACAGTCATCCCTATGTGAGTCATTTGATGTACATTCAACTCCATATATGGTCAAAGGCCTAGTACAGTGGAGAGTTGTTAATTGGCAGTGGGGGGTACAGAGATTTCTGGGAATATTACCAGTGTGAGGAGCTTCAGTTAACACACTGCATGTTGCAGTGACATACCTCTCTGTGGGCTCGGATGAATTCTCTAGGGTCACCTTTAGCCCACGCTGGCAGTATGACATCACCAAGCTGGACACCACTTTGCTTACAACCTACAACACAAACACACACACTGTAGGAAACAGTACTACCCATTCATAGCATAAATCTATAAACAGTCACGTTCTACAAGTCCTCAGTCTTCAGAATAGTGTTCTGTGATTATGGAGGGGAAGGTGTGCACACCAATATTAATAGAGTACTACAGTTATGACGGAATCATAGGGACCACTAATTTCAGCTTGTAATAATCATAATGAATCAGAAGTGTTTCAATTAAAATACATAGCAAGAGTCCGGGACAACAATACCCAATTTGTTATAACTGTCAGTTCATTTTAAACATGTTCATTATAAATGGAGATGACTGCACATTACTTTCCAGACAATGAACAAAAAAACACAATGAGACCATAAAAATGAACAAGTACTTGAAAGAATTTGCTTTTACATTGTATAACCATGATTCATGCCACATCATGTCACCAAGAATGTGATTAACCCACTGTAACCCAAGTATCAAACTAACACCAGGTGTTCAGCATAATGAGTAAATGCTTTAACAAATTAGCTAACTCTAATGACAAGCTAAGACAGTGTGTCTATACCTAGGTCAAAGTTGTTCTTGTTGATCAAGAAGTCTGGGAGGTAGAAGAACTCTGGAATAAGCTCTTTCACATCGGCCATGTTGTGTTTGGCTGCTGACAACCAGTTCTCTCGGACGCTGTGAAACATTCTGTCAGCCAGGTCAAAATGACCTCCCTTAAAATGAAATGAAGAGATCAAATTCTGATTAAAGTACACATAGTGGCTGAACTCTAAGGACTGGTACCTAGTTTTACATAAATGATTATACAATACAATGGTGGTCATGCTGACTGGAATCCAACATTTAGCCACAGATGCCCTGTTTCTACAAGGCAGTATTAACAAAATGTGGAATATTTTTAAAGTAAAAATCAGTTTCGATGTGATACTAACTAGATTCTCTGAGGTCTGTGACCAGGCATTGGTTGTTTGGGCGAATGTGTGTGTGTGTGTTGGGCTGGGTCTGTGGTGCAGCTGGGTGGTGTGGAGAGGATGGGTTTGTGTGGTGGATGAATGGATGGATGAATACTGGGGAGTGGATGAGAGAGTGGTGTTGAGTAGATACATACAACTGGCTGTAGCATGGGTTCGTTGGATGGGTTTGTGATGTGGGTGGTTTGTGGAGATACTGGTTTTGTTAGTGGTGTGGAGTTAGTGGCTGGATGGCATCATGTAAAGGTCTGTTAAGAGGTTGGGGTGGATGGGTGGATGGGTGGATGGGTGGATGGTGTGGATAAGGTGTCCACATCCACTACACCCCAGAGTGCAAGGTCAAGTCCAAGGCCCCCCTGTCCACCTAATCACAGTCTGAGATATGATGCCACAAGAGTCTCTCACCTGTAGTTTCAGGAAGTGCTGAGTGAAGGGTTCCATCCTGACTAGATAGGAGGCTACGATCATAGCTGATGAGTAGTGAGTGCCGTAGTGGTAGGGAGGGGTTTCACCTGCAAACAACAAACAACAGCATCATTTCCTGTCGCAATCAATGACTCCACAGCCATATACACTAATGTAATGTAGTGAGCGAGTGAATGCTCAAGTCCTCACCTTCATCACAGCTGTTAGTAAGTAATCAGTGAACAATGTTGAAATTGATGGATACAATTAGCCATGTAATGTAACCAGCTAATTCAATCACAGTCCTCTCTTACTACATGTCATACTAATCTCCCTCAGTGTTTCATGACAAATGATGCATCCATTACTTACTTCAACTTTACGCTTTTCTTATGTATGTTGGCCTTTGGCCTTGAATACAATAAACTGAGCTTAATTGACACATGACTTATGTTCACATATCCTAACTAGACAAAGATATTCCCCTAGCATTCATCACTAGTGATCTCCAATGAATGAGTTTGGTTTTACGCCGCTTTAAGTAATATTCCAACAATATCCCGTCAGGAGACACCAGAAATGGGCTTCACACATTGTGCCCATGTGGGGAATCGAACAAGGGTCTACGGCATGACGAGCGAAACTCTGTAACCACTAGGCTACCCCACCAGCCCGAGTGATCTTTAACAATCAGTGCTATCCTCAGCATTCATCCCTTTGATCTCTAACTTACATCACTGACATCGATCGCTGACATTTGTAAGCAGTGATCAGGTAACAATCATCACTAGCCATCAACATGCATCACCCACCTTGAGGATCATCCCACTCATTGTATCTCTTTTGGAACTGTTTGAGTCTGTCTGGGGACTGGGCCCCCATTGGAGCTGACAGGTCTCGGAATGTAGAAGCTTTGTACAGGTCCATCTCCTGCAGGTGGAAACAGACTCTATGTCAATACAACAGGAGTACCAGAATGTACTGCACTATAAACAGCCGAATTGTATGAGATACTTACTTCCATAAATAACCTCATGATTCAGACAGTGCATGTCATCGTTAATAGATGATTAGTATTAATTACTGAAATTAATAGTTTAATTAATTTTCCATCTTGGTCTGGAAAGAACAATGTATATTTTCTCATGAATCTGCAGAAAGAAGCTGTTCGTTGCTGTGTTACCTGCTGGGAAATATGTTAGATAAATTACTAAATACCAAATACCCCATCTAAATGCAATCAACAACCGTCTTCACATTAGGTTAAAATGTCTAATGCACCTATGTATGTTACCATTTTTACTTTTATTGATTACATATTGTATGCAGTATATACTATCGACAAAAAATAAGGGAACTAAGAAATTGAATGCAGCAAACGTAGAGGTGAAAGGGTGCGTTACCGGAGCGTTGCACCCGAACGCAATTTTCAATGCCAATGAAATTCCACATGATGCATTATCAACACGTGATGCACGTGCACACAGAAGTCAACCTCTGTCAACGTATTGGAGAACTCACAATCACTAATGCAAGAGAGTTCAACACATGCTGAAAAATGCCTCCGAGGCAGTATCTCAATGAACAAACAAAATGGAGAATTGTGGGGATGATAGAGGGGGGGACATCATTGTGTCAAGTTGCCCGAATGTTGGGTAAATCAAAAGTGTAATTGCACGCCTGTGGGACAAGTACAGTCAAACAGGTGGGGTTGCAATGAGACCTGGGGCTGGTAGACAAAATCAACGACACCACGACAGGATCGTCTCATTACATTAATGGCCCTCACGCCAATAGGTTCAAATCAGCACCTGCCATCAATAGGGAATTCCGTGACACTCACTGGGCGGAATTTAATTTCACACTCAACCGTTAAAACTGGCTCTATCAAGCACGCCTGAAAGCAAGGCGCCTTTCAAGGGTGTTACCCTTACAGCTCACCATAGGCTTTCAAAGATTGGCATGGGCTAGGCAGCATCAGGGACGGGCTTTGCGCCATTGGCGTTACACCATGTTCTCAGATGAGTCAAGGATTTGCCTCAGATTCACAGATGGCAGAAAACGTTGTTGGCGCCGTAGCGGTGAGCGGTATGCCAGAGCGGCAATTATTGACCATGATCGATATGGGCGTGGTAGTGTCATGGTGTGGGGTGGGGTTACACATGACAGGCGATCAGATCTGGTCATCGTTAATGGATCCTTGACTGGTCAGCGATACGTTGACGAAATTTTGCGTACTGCCGTGGCTCCACTGACTAATTCTGAATTCCAAGATGATAATGCCAGACCACATCAGTCCCAAATTGTCACAGCTTATCTCCGACGAGAGGGCATACAGACATTGGACTGGCCCTCTAAGTCCCCAGACCTGTCCCCAATTGAACATCTATGAGACATTCTCGGTCGAAGGGTGTACGCCAGGGACCCCTCACCCATCAACCTGGCCCAGCTTGGTGCAGCTCTTCAGGAGGAATGGCGGGCAATACCACGGGCAACCATCCGGAAATTAATCAACAGTATGCCATCAAGGTGTCATGAATGTGTTGCCCAACATGGCGGACACACCAGATATTGAACTTTACGCCCACATTTGATTTAGTGGACATTCAGACCAATTTTACATTCACTGTCATTTCATCAGTTCCCTTATTTTTTGTCGGTAGTACATATACACTCTTGTACCAACTTGGTGGTTTTGGGAGATATAAACTGAACATATCAGTTATTTACTTTATTCATTATGGAACTCAAAATGACCAGCTCTTACCTCTGAATCATAGTCATTGATAATCCAGGGAAACACAGGGTACTGCATAAGGTCGTTGTAGCATCTCCCTGCTAGGGTGTTCAGGTGCATAAGGTACTGGAAGTTGTTGATCTCTCCACGCTATAGACAGGCACACAACACACAAAGTCAGCAGGGAAGTCAAAGGGGCCAGGGCCCCTGTTTCACAAAGCTCTTGTAGCGCTACGACTATCCTATGTCAATGTTACAATATAGGAGGTACGGATACTACGAGAAAAGTTATGAGATCTTAGGCTTACGAGAGCTTTGTGAAACGGGGCCCTATAGCTAGTCTCTAGGGCTGCAACAATTTGATTCATCGAAAATCGAATCTGACATCTTAGTTCATCTATTTCAATTGTTTCCACACAGCGAGAACGTAATTTTTAATCCAACTCTAGCCATTTCGAGCGATGAAATAAGGCGAAATATGATTGGTTGACGCCAGGCTAATTATCCAATGAGCATTATTATTTGCAGACATCGCAAAGTTGACGATGGATTTCACGGTAAAAAGCCCACTAACTTGAACTCTGAGAGTTAAATGAAATCTGATGTATTTACTTGCATGAAGAATCGAAACGAAAATGATCGAATCGAGGGTCCTATATTGAAAATCGAATCGAATAGAGGTCTGGATGAATCGTTGTAGCCCTACTGGTCTCATGAGTACTATGATGACCTTAACACCCATACTCTTCTCATTCATAGAGTGCACATGGTAAGATTAATAATAACAAGCATTGTCACTAAGGTGACATAATCCTCCGCCGCAAATTAACAAATCAACCTTATAAAGTAATGAAAGTTTAAGATGAAGTTAAATGTCAACAAAAACATGACCAGTCATCCTCTCTTGATATCTTGCTCTTTAGTTGTTCAAACACACACGTTTTCAAGACTGACTTTGACCTTGACATGAATGTCATAGTTGTATGAAATATGCACAAATAGTACTAAAGAAAATGCTTATTGAAAAACATTCAAGGGAAGTCTTGAAAGTCTATGAAGAAAATCCAGTGAACCGTTTTTTAAATATCTTGCTGACAATTCAAGTTAACAAGCTGAAATCTTCAAAGTGTCGTTGTGACCCTGAAAATTATGTGCAGGTCACCAAAATTGACTGGGCCCTGGGCCTTCCCTAGATGAAGCTTGGTGTCAAATATGAAGAAAATCCAGTGAATATTTTTTGCGATATCTTGATGACTATCTTAACATGCAATTTTAAATGCTGAAATCTTCAAAGTGTCTCTGTGACCTTGAAAATTAAGTGAATCAACTGGGCCATGCGCCTTCCCTAGATAAAGCTTGGTATTGAATATGAAGAAAATCCAGTGAACGGTTCTTGAGATAGCTTAACATGCAGGTAAAACGTTAAAGTCCTCTTGTGACCTTGAAATGAAGGTCAAGGTCACCAAACCTGATTTGGACCTTTCTTATACTGTGATGAACCTAGGTACCAAATATGAAAAGAATCTAGTGAATGGTTCTTAAGATATTCCAATTCGTACGGACGGACGTGCAAATATGAAAAGGATCGAGCCTAATACTATATCCCCCGCTTCATGCTCAACGCACGGCGGGGGATAATAAATTAATCAACTCCTAAAAGAACTTCAAAGGTTATGTTTACATTTAACAAATAAACTCTTACAAATACACTTTGTTTCTTCATGGACTAACTAATTACCACTGTAAGTAGTTGTTATTGTTTTTCAGATTGAGAATGTATCATAAAGGTAAGAAGATGATGTTGAAGGTTTCAGATGACCAAGCAACTCGCTGAACCACCCACTGACACCTACCTCCCATCTCTGCGTCACAGACTTCTCCCCAATCAAGCTGCTGATCAGGCCGCCACTGCAAGGAGATCAACATGTCATTAAGGCCTTAGTTAATGTGAGGCGAGGTGAAAAGGGGTTTTAAGTCATATTCCTAAATGACTGCATTTATCCAATGCCATGCAAGTGTATGTGCAAGAGTTGCTGCTTACCTTGACTTATACAAGTTTTATAGTGCTAGCCTACAAAGGTACCCTACCCCAGTTTAACATAGATACTCCCACTAAAACACAGCAAACAGTCTTCAAACTGACCAGCCCTTGTTTTAGTCCCTCATAGACAAGCATCAGGCCAGACAACACTAATCTATTGAAGTCTTTGGCATGATGTGACCAGGGATCAAACCACCGACCCTCCATTCTCTTAGCAGTCACTCGCTCCACTAGACCACAGAGAATCTGACTGGTTTACGATATCAAAATGATGCCTATTCTCAAACAAGATGGACATGTCAATTATGTCTTTCTCCATACTATGCTGAAAACAGAAAGTGTTCATGAGAAAATAACTAGGAACTAACAGGATTGGCAGATTGTCTCTAATGTTTTATATTTTGCAATATTTTAGAACATGGTAGAGTGACAGGAACCAATTTTAACCAAGGTTACTGAAATACTGTTGCTTAATGAACTGGAAGTGAAAATATTACACCCTTAACTTTTTGCCCTTGCAAGATAAACACTGTGTTTAGATCTTGATTCTCTGTTATTCATAAAGGGATTAAAATGGTTTAACTTAAACATTAACCCCCTTTTCATATAAAGTCAAGAATGACAGATTATTCCAATTAAACCATAAAAAATGTCCAGAAACGTCCAGAACTATTTAGCATATCATTGAAAAGTGCAAAGAAATATAAACATACCCTGACTCTACTTTGGCATTCTGTTTCTGTCCTGACACCGACTGCTGGGCATTGTCAGTAATGGCAGTGGCCACCGACAGAATTCTGAAATCATCATCCATGTTTTAGTAAATAAAGAAGTCAATATTATGTAAAATGCAACCATGTTACAACTAGAAATTCTGACATTACTCGTAAATGGGCTCAGAATGCTCATAAGGCATGCTGGAGTGAGTGAGTTGGATTGTACTGCTGCTTGAGGAAGTCATGTTATATCACAGAAAGACAGTTAAATGAGGGAGTAAAATGATGCAGCTCTCAGTCATTTCATTTGGGTGAACCCACAAGGACAGATGTGGTGCTTACAAACTATAGGAATTGAGTGAGTGAGTAGCTGCAATCAGTGGTGTAAAAAAAGCATCAGTGAGTGAGTGAGTTTAGTTTTACGTCGCACTCAGCAATATTCCAGCTACATGGCGGCGGTCTGTAAATAATCGAGTCTGGACCAGACAATCCAGTGATCAACGGCATGAGCATCGATCTGTGCAATTGGGAACCGATGACGTGTCAACCAAGCCAGCGAGCCTGACCACCCTATCCCGTTAGTCGCCTCTTACGACAAGCATGGGTTACTGAAGATGAATTCTAACCCAGACCTTCACGAATGAGTGAGTGAGCGAGACATACGTGAGTGGATTTTAATGCAGCTTCAATCAGTGATGTAAAAAAGCATAATTTCATGTGAAAAAGAGTAGTGTTCGTACCATGAGGCAGGTTGTTGCTTTGACATTTTTTTCTCATTAGGTCACGACATGAGAGAAACATATAGTCTAACATCCACACATTCCAATAATTTTAGGCCAAATCTATTTTTCATTACACATAAATCGTGGCAGCTTGCATTTCTGTAACATTCGTAATTTGTCTTGGTTCCTGTGTAAACTTACTTTGCATACACTTTGTTCCTGATCTTGCGCGGGAAGGCTAGTAGATAGTTCCTGCCGTCAGCAGAGAAGACCTCAATAGCAATGGGCTGGAGCAGGTAGCGGCGTTTGTGCACCTCTCGCACCTCATCATAGGCAAACTTGCTGCACCTGGACATTACACACACAATCAGCTAGGTTAAAATTAATTGTCTAGTGCTGTTCCCCCTCCCCAAGTACAATATCAAACCATTATGACTACCTGATCCCATCTCCTTGTACCACACGCACTTAGTTCTGAAAAAACAACTGTACCCTGATGCCCACAAGACACCTATGCAATATCACCCAGAGGAACATAGATACCTGTCATTTTATTTTCAATAATTCTCAGTAATTCTCTATGAGTAATGCTTGCTCCTGACAGATTCTATGTTTGATTATAGTTCTCTCCTATTACATTCACAGTCAATGAAAAGAACACAAATGCTATTCTCTGTCCAGTGATACAAACTCACATTCTCTTTAGAGCACCTCCACTGCTCATAGATGACTTGGGAATGATTGGATCGTGATACCTGGAAGATAACAGAGAACTACAATGTTCCAATAACAATTACTATTCAACTTATTTTGGAATTGATTGTATCATAATTCTGTGACATATACCAAGTTTAACATCAGTTTTGTTTATAAAAACACAAAGATTTGATACATTATATTTGAGAATCAAAACATACCATACAAGATATTCATAAAGATAAAAAATTACCCTAAAAATTCATATTCATGTCTGTATTCATATTCAAATATGACATTTTTATCTTCAATGTATTACTAAAACAAAATTCACCAATGAATAATAAGATTATATAACTGACTGACTGAGGTAACAATAATATACCATCTCTGAAATGTATGATACGGTCAGACTGACTGACTGAGTTTGGTTTTACGCCGCTTTTAGCAATATTCCAGCAACATCACGGCTGGGGGACACCAGAAATGGGCTTCACACATTGTACCCATGTGGGGATTCGAACCCGGGACTTCGACGTGACTAAGGTTATAAAAAGTGGACAAGAACACTTATAAGTTTGACAAAGTGACACTCACTCAGGAGGAAGAGTATCAATATCTTTGATCTCCCTTGTCTTGAGTAGCGTGAAGCCGTCAATCACATAGAAGTGTTCCTTGCCGAACAGTAGCAGTCCTTCTGCTGTGTCAAGACCCTGAATCCGTGCACATCGGAACATGTGGGTGATCTGCAGTGGAAGATAACAGAATGGTAATCATTTGTATCACTCGATTTATGCTGCCTATTGCATCCATGCCATTATTTTGCCCGTTTATTATTGTAGGTATAGATTCACATCAATGGAGGTTCACTGACTGACTGAGTATGGCTTTACGCCGTTTTTAGCAATATTCCAGCAATATCACAGCGGGGGACACCAGAAATGGGCTTCACAAGTTGTACCCATGTGGGGAATCGAACCCAGGCCTTCGGCGTGACGAGCGAACGCTTTAACCACTAGGCTACCCCACCGCCCCCCCAATGGAGGTTCAGAAGGGAGCCAAGTGTAAATGGATGAGAGATTATGATGGGTCCAAATTCAGAAAAACTTTTCCTCGAAAAGGTCTGACTGATCTCATCAAATTTATCAAATTAATACTGCACACCAGGCAAGGCAACAATAAATACAATCTCTGAAATGTATGATATGGTCAGAGCATCAATTAATCCATGTTCCACAATCTTGCCCCATACCCAACCAAAAGCCCATATTCACATGCAACAGGTAAGCTAGGCTTTGGCACCAACCTTCTCCTTGTCTCCCAGCAACCTGAGGATAGCCTGGTTGTCTCCCTTGTCCCCTGTGGACTGACCCTCCTGCTGACCCTCCCCTGTGGTTGTGTCTGACCGCTCTCCGTCCGTCGTGTCTGCTGTGTCCGTGCTCTGAAGGTCATCCTGGTCCTCATCCTCCCCGCCAGACCGCTGACTGGTCGACCGAGGTAGAAGCTTTGGCATATTCATGATGTCAGCTGCAGACCAAAGAAACCAATATTGACTGATCTCGGTTGTGACAGTTTTAATGTTAGCTGTTTCATGTCTCCCTCAGAATTATTCCAGCAACATGACAACTGCCAGTAAATTTCCGTGTCTAGACCAAGTCACCAGGCTTGACAAACCAATCCATTTGGTCACTTCTTAAGACCAGAATGGGTTGCTGGAAACCATCCCTAACACAAAATCACCTGAGTGCTAAGATTACTTTGTGGAATTGGGCCCGTGTCTCGTGCATAGAAGTCCCAACATCCTCTCTCGAAATTCCAAGAGTGCAGAAAACTGCTGTACAAGGAGATTCATCTGGTTGAAAAACGTAACAACACATAATGTCCTCACCTTCTAGTGACCTGTCTGCTCCATTCTCAGACTCTGCAGACAAAAGATCAGCATCACCAGTGCGCTGGATGGGCAGAGATTCCATACCCAAGATTGTCTGAGGTCGATACAGCTCACAGTATTCCTTGCTATCAAAACTGATGGCTACCTTGTACCTCAGAGGCTGAAAATATCACCAAGGACACAGACAATAATTACACAGATCATGTCCAAAGCCTTCTTCTCTAATTTTATTTTCTTAAACAGGTCAATTTTATAAACCAACTATAATTTAACATGACTACTTACACTGTCCTCCAGATCAGGCCTGTATGGGTAATGCACATAGAACAACTCATTGCAGTGCATCTTCTTCCTCATTCGACATGGACCTGCAACACAAGCACAATAATGAAACTACTTCCTGCCTTGATGAAACACATACACGCCATGCAAAAGTCATAAATACCATGCCAATGTTATTAATACTATGCCAATGTTATGAATACTTTGAAAATGTTATGAATACTATGTCAAAGTTATGAATACTATGCCAGTGTTATCAATACTATGTCAAAGTTATGAATACTATGCCAATGTTATGAATACTATGCCAATGTTTGAATACAATGCCAATGTTATGAAAACTATGCCAAAGTTATGAATACTATGCCAAAGTTATGAATACTACGCCAATGTTAAGAATACTATGCCAAAGTTATGAATACTATGCCAAAGTTATGAATACTATGCCAAAGTTATGAATACTAAGTTATTAATACTATGCCAAAGTTATGAATACTATGCCAATGTTATGAATACTATGCCAATGTTATGAATACTATGCCAAAGATATGAATACTATGCCAATGTTATGAATACAATGCCAATGTTATGAAAACTATGCCAAAGTTATGAATACTATGCCAATGTTATGAATACTATGCCAAAGTTATGAATACTATGCCAATGTTAAGAATACTATGCCAATGTTATGAATACTATGCCAAAGATATGAATACTATGCCAATGTTATGAATACTATGCCAATGTTATGAATACAATGCCAATGTTATGAAAACTATGCCAAAGTTATGAATACTATGCCAAACTTATGAATACTATGCCAATGTTATGAATACAATGCCAATGTTATGAAAACTATGCCAAAGTTATGAATACTATGCCAAAGTTATGAATACTATGCCAATGTTATGAATACTATGCCAAAGATATGAATACTATGCCAATGTTATGAATACTATGCCAATGTTATGAATACAATGCCAATGTTATGAAAACTATAAGTTATGAATACTATGCCAAAGTTATGAATACTATGCCAAAGTTATGAATACTATGCCAATGTTATGAATACTATGCCAAAGTTATGAATACTATGCCAGTGTTATCAATACTATGCCAATGTTATGAATACTATGCCATCACTCAGTGATACACATGTCAACAGTATGACCATATAACCAATGGTACCTTCTGTCATATCCAGCTGCCACTTGTCCAGTCTGTTGCTGACCTCCGGGCCCCATATTCCCCGAACTCGCAGCAGCTCTCCCTCCATCTGGCTCCACTCCTCGATCAGGTACTTCTCCATGTGCTCCTGGCTCTGTTGTCAGAGGCAACAGAGTTAGCACCAGACATACCATTACAATTACATGCTTGTTACATATACTATTTCCTGCTGATATGTGAGTGAGTATGGTTTTACGCCACTTTTGGCAATATTCCAGCAACATCACAGCGATGGACACCAGAAATGGGCTTCACATGATATTAAATGTAATGATAATTGAGAAAACAAAGATGCATTAAATGGAAAGTAGCATCTTTTTCTGAATACTTGATAAACCTTCAATGGTATTCTTGTAACTTACAATGATTTATTTCCAGAACAGAGCAAGTAGACAACAATTGGGGCAAAAGTGATTTAAACACATTACTGCTTGCCTCAACATGAACAAATTACAACATGAAGATGAAATACTGACATTAATTCAGTGAACAGTCTGCTCGTGAGAAGACATGTTTGACGTCACCAACAGGACACAAGATATTACCTGCAGATACTGCTTGTGCTGAAACTCCACCACATCTTTGACTAAAGTTACATGGGTACTGGTCCACATGTAGAAATCCTGCAACATCATGGCATGAGTAAAGTGAATGGATCTGACCTTACAGGCACTATAAAGGTGCACATTGATGTCTACCAAGGATGAATTGTTGGTCCATAAATGGAGAATATTTACATGAAGATGTTAGTGATGTCTTTGAAGACTTACATGAAAAATACATGGATGCTAAGTACTCATATGAACATGTATACAGACACTGAGTACTTAAATGAACATGTCATTAATACTGAGTATTCACATGTATACACACAGAGATACCAAGTACTTATACTTGGGGGCTTGGTGGGGCGAGCTGGCTAAGGCGCCAGGCTAGTGATCCAGCGGGCGTGAGGTGCCGGGATCAAGCCCACCTGTGACCGGGTGTAAAAACCTTGGAGTCAACTTTGTGTGCAGACTCTTTCAGTGTTGTGACAACCCCTAGTGTACAGTACACAACCCTCTGCACTTAAAAGAACCCACGAACCTGGTATATGACCAGATGGTGGCCACATGAATACATGCAAACACCTAGTTGCGGGTACAGCAACGTGCAGTAAACTTGGAGAAAGTACTGTGACTATGTGTCCCAGTCCACCCAGCTGTGAATGGGTACCTTGTAAGGATGGGAAAGCCGCACTAACTCGGTGCGCCTTATGGCAGCAAGAGTTGTATGATCTCCAGGGAGCTGAGACTGATAATAAGATGTGCCGTTGAGATTGACATCCAATGATCGAGGGGAAAAAAGCATGCACTAGTGCATGGATATGTGCGCTATAAAAATATCCAATAATAAAAGATAATATATAAACAAATATTTAAACATAAACAAGTTTTCTTTGATTGGCATTCTAGAAGTTGAAGAGATCAAGAATGATGACAGTTTTTTTTCTGGATATACAACTTCTTTATTTTGTAAAGGTGACATTTCGACATAGATTCTAATGTTGTCAAGCAAGTGGTGTCTTGACAACAACATTACAATCTATGTCAAAACGTCGCCTATACAGAATACAAAAGTTGTATATCCATGAAAAAAATGTCCTCAGTTTTCATAGATAACAAGTATCCACACAAGAAAAGACAATGACGGAAAGTACTTACATGAATATGAACATTTGACGCCGGTGATGACTTGAGGGGCAGCTCTCTCTTTGCACGGCGGGATGCCAGACGAAGAACGCCACTCCCTACTCTTTGTAGTTTCTGTTAACAAACAATTCCTAGACTGAGATATACAATCCTACCTAAGTTATCCTGTAATATATGTGGATGTTATAGTGGACACAGGTATAACTTATCACTGCTCAGCATTTCATACACATGAGAAATAGGTATCTTGTACATGGAACCTAATGCACAGAATCATTCACAAGAGTGTTAATGAGTAAAATAATAAAACATGGCTACACTTAATACCTAGTTGGGGATAATCATTTGTTATCATAACACCATCTTTTCTAGTCACAAGAATGAACTATCCTAACGAAGCAAAACTAATGGAACAGCATGAGTATACTAATTAAACAAACAAGTAACTCCTTTGTTTGGACAGTGTACACTGTGTTGATAACAAACGAGTATCACTGCTAAGAACCAAACGATGCCATGAGGGTAATTATGCCAGAATGGCCGAAAAGTAGTAAACACCAACTAAGATAAACAAAAAAGGTTAGTTTGGTTTGGATGTTATTTACCAAGGGGAATACAAGTGACTGTGTTGTCCAACAACAAGGTTTGATATTCACAGACCAAAAATACCAACCCATATGTCTTGCACACAATAGAATCCACAAGCCCTGGCTGAACACCACTATATACCGTTCTAGCTCTATTTACCATGATTAGATATTGTCTAAAGAATATACGTAAACACAATTAAGCAGAATTTACTTGATACCACTATTTAGTTAAGCAGACATTTGTGACTGGTGACTGATCAACAACTGGTCAGGTCTTACCTAACAATACATAAAGGCAGTAATCAGATCTGTCTATTTTGCAGCATCTTTGTGATCCTTATGGTAAGATCTGATTGAGTTTGATATCTCAATGTGAAAGGGTGTACAGTTTAACAGAGTTGTGTAGGAGCTCATCAATGCATAAAGTAGGTAACACATTCTCTTCATAGCAGATCACGATAGGACACATCATAGCCGTTGAGACTGACATCCAATGATCGAGGGAAAAAATGCCAGCGCCTTGAGCATGCACTAGTGCGTGGATATGTGCGCTATATAAATATCCTATAATAATAGCTCAGTACAACAGAGCCAGACTACTGACAGGTTTGATAGCAATGGAACTTGAGAATGATAGTTATTTCGAAGAAAGTTTTATGGATGTCAACTTCTTTATTATGAGGAACATTCACCTGATGAAGGAGTAAGGATATACTCCAAAACTTTGTGTTCCTCATAATAAACAAGTTGACATCCATAAAACTCTCTTCCTTATGTGTATCACTTCTAAATGCCATTCAAAGACCTAATAGCTATTTAATTGTCACATTTACATTTCTTTATCTTTTTAGAAAGAGATCCATGTTTAGTTCCCCACATACCCAGTCATAAGGAAATGAAACCTATGTGTACCCAGCGTAACCATGGTAATATCTCTGATGCACCACAATGCACCTGTTGGTATTGATGATGCAGAACATTAATATTCTGGGTCTGATAAGATCACTTTATCTAACTTCATAAAATTCCATGCCATGAACAGTAAGAGTCATTCAATCACTGTCCATGTGGTCATCAATCACAATCATTCTGTTTTCCAGCTGAAGTATCGGAACAATAAAATATTAACTTGCACTGTTGGTATAAATATAAAGCTACAGTTTCAGGTTGCACCAGTGTAAGTTCTAAATGCTAAAATAAAATCCTGATGTCACGTTAGGGGATATTCATATTTAGTTAACTGTTCATATTCCACTGTGTAACAAAGGCAGCACAATATTGTTTTCCTGTTATATTTCCATTTCAAACATAGGTTGTAAGAATTAAACAAAATATGGATAACAACGTCTATATGGATGAAGCATTATCACTTCTTTATTTTAGCTATGAGCGCTATCACTTGCTTGATTTTGGTTTTACGGTTTTAGCAATATTCCAGCACATCGTGGGCTTCACACATTGTACCCATGCTCCTCATTTAACCACTAGCAATAGCAATAAAGAAGTTGTTCATCCATATTGTTATCCTTCCTTACTGTCCCAACTTCTAAATGCCTCTCAAAGAAGTTATAGGTAGTGTTAGAATTGTATTTCGATAGAAAGTCAGTTAGACCAACTACATGTATCAGAAACTGGAAGAGACTGCCTGGATATCTGTTGGAGACAGCTGAATGTGTTGGTGGGTTAAAACAATAAAAGACATCAGCCAAACGTAGTTGTACAAAAAGCTTACTCTTCTGATAGGAAGTCATCATCAACCATCACAGAAAAAGTAAGAGATGTATCGATCAAATGAAAACACTTTTTGTGAAAGCCATTTGATATAATTATGTTGAAGCTTTAGAAGGTATATGTTAAAATGGAAGAAAGTGAGATTGTTAAAAGTTGGAATAAATATCTTGGGAGGATTGAAAACACTTCATCAGTGAGTTTGTGAAGGGATATTTGCAAAGTACATAGGAATCTAAAAGATCTGGAAATGATTCTGTGTACAGTAGAAGGTTACACAGGATATTTATTGAGGGTCAAAGATCCTGAATTGTTCATCAACAAAGTGTTATATCTCAGTGATAATCTCATCCTGCATCTCGGGGACAATCTGAAATAACTGCCCACGAATGTCTGGTCACTGAAGGACAAAATCATGGTCAGATGCATGTTGGTATGACAAAATGCAAACAAAGCCTGATAATTATGCCATAAGGAATGTTATGTCAAAGCAAGTGTCCATACCTGTACTTTCAAGTGACATAAAAACCTATGATAGTTGGAAGGCTGCCTTTATGACTTGCATTGATCAGTCCCCAGCAACACCTGAGTACAAGCTGCTGCAAGTGCGGCATCATCTCTCAGGCAATAAAATCAATTCAGTCTTTAATACACAGCTCAGCAGCTCATGACGTTGCTGTAGAACGTCCCGGAAGAAAGTCAGGACAGATAGAAAACCAAAATGAGGAAATTACTCATTTCCAGCCAAATCATAAGGGATGTGTTCAAGATCTAGAGAAATTCAAGGATATTATAGATGATATAGTTGTCAGGCTTAGAGAAAGTGAACAGGTAAAGTGTGAGGGTTGGCCTGCTTCATGCCACTTGGATGAAAACAAACTAAACCTGTAGTAGCAAAATATCAAAGGTGGGTGTTTGAAACTGACAGGCAGGAGTCAGTAGAGACTCTTAGGGAATGTGTGATGCTAGAATCACAACTTCAGATTGTTGCAAAGAAAGCAGAACACAGATTGACCACGCAGCAAGAGATCACAGCAACAACAGAAAATGTCCGGCACAATTGTTTAATTGTGGTGTATGCTCTGAAGAGAAGGAAATTTAGGTATGCTTGTTCTGAAAGACGTAGTGTTACTTACTTCGGTCACATTGCCTCAGGAGCAATAATTTTGGAAACAGCTGTTGTTAAACTAGGTTACGTGGCATATCAGCATGATCAAAGAACCGCAACGGATTACTACATAACAGAAACTCCTGACAGAATAAGAAAAACTGACATAACTGATCATGACTAGCAACAGAGAGAGAAAGGTAAACAACAAGTTGATGAATCAGTGGTTAAGTCGGGTCATGGTGCAGAAGAGACAAAATCTCAAATCACGCTGAAAGATCTCCTATAACAATGCCGAAATGTGAAATATTTTGATAGCTCTTCACACAGTTCCAGTGGCATTATAAAATGGAATTAGGAGTATTAAATAAACTTAATTAGTCATAATGAGGGTCAGATTGGGAATGATATCTTGTTCATGTGGCATAGTAGAATAAATTAATTCAATAGTTTGTCAAGAGTCAAGTAGGAGCACCAGAGGACCATAGTTATCTGCAATGTAGCTGGAGTATTCATAGGTTTAAAATAAACAGGCTTCAGGCTATCTAGTTTCTTGCCAATATTCTTCTGTGCAACATTCTCTTCGTGGTAAAACTGTTCCATGTAGGTGTGAGATACAGTGTGGGATTTACAATCAGAAAGTGGGAGTGAGTGAGTCAGCATGGTTTTACCCATATTCGGCAATATTACGTGGGCTTCACACATTGTATCCATGTGGGAATCGAACCTGGTCTTCGGGCATGACGAGCCAACACTTTAACCACTAGGCTACCCCACCGCCCCTGTCGTATAGTAGAATAAATCAATTCAATAGCTTGTCAAGAGTCAAGTAGGAGCACCAGAGGACCATAGTTATCTGCAATGTAGCTGAAGTATTGTAAGTCTGTTACACAATATCTTCTGTTACAATTGTCATGGTGGTGAGATTGCTGTGTGGAATGGGGCCCTGGATGATAAGAAATGATCGAGCAGGTGAGACTGTCCAGCTGTCTACTCACCGACTGTATCTGTGTCTGTATTCTGTCAGTGTGCATCAAGACAGACTTGCGCTCATTCTCAGCATAGTTCACCCAGATCTTGGAAGCTGCTTCTTGTATCAGCAATCTACACATTTGTAAAACTTCATCATCTGTCATGTCACAAACAACCAAGGAGCAATGGTTCTCCCAATGCCACATATATCCTTGTCTAATAATATTGACCTTTCAGAGGACTGGACATTTCTATGTCAAATTTTCAGGTCATAAGAACAAACATTATTTGACAAGAATAGCCACATTTTGTATATATTGTGCACTTGCTGACTAATTTTGTCTGGAAATTCTTGTGTGATTTATGCAAAGTTAGGGCATAAAAACTGTGGAGTGAAATAATAATAATAATGCTGATTCTTGTGCGTAGAATCCAACTCGATCCTGGTCTCTGGCGTTACATTATTACCCTGATGGAATTGTACTTTCAAAGCTGCTACTAAGCGCTTCATGCGACCGTATTGGTCCACACATCCGCTTCTCAGGTACCCATTTTGAACAGCTGGGTGGACTGAGTGCAATGTGGACGAAATGCCTTGCCCAGGGACACAGCACAGTATGGGACCCAGGTCACAAATTTTGGTGTCTCCACCGGGATTTGAACTCGGGCCTTTGGCGTGAGAGGCCAGCATGCTTACCACTACACCACTGTGCTCAAAATACTGATTATACAACTATAATACAATGATTTAGGGTTTAAAAAATGTTAGCCATCCCTTTTATCATGCCTTGGATGTATATTTTAAAACCTATGCAAATAACCTTTAGATACTGAATACAGATATAATTCCAGATTACAAGTAGTTAAACCGTGAAGATCTGGGTTGGAATTGGTATTCAGTAACCCATGCTTGTCATAAGAGGCGACTGACGGGATGTCATTGTATCCCAAATGCGTAGATCGATGCTCATCCTGCTGATCACTGGATAGTCTGGTTCAGACTCGATTATTTACAAGCCGCTACCTTATAGCTTGAATATTGCCGAGTGCGACATTAAACAACAAACCAACAAACCAGTAGTGGAGTTATTCTGCAACTTTCTTACATACTATCATACACATGACATGTGTAATGTTACTTCCTTTGCAGCATGATCATAAAGACATCATTTTTGCATGAATTGTCAGCCTCTGCCAGTTGTGAGGCAATCAGAAACACTATTACCCAACACTCCAATAAATAACACATACTATCTCAATGAACTTACCTGACAGTGTTCAGGTCTGGACTGGAGATATTCTTGGTGGAACTGTCAATGTTATTCAGTTGGGTACGGAAAATCTCCTCCAGAGCCTGTTGATAATGATAACAAATTGTGTCAAACTGATGCATGCTTCTTGTAATAAATCAACACAGATCAGCTATTCAAATATCCTCAGTTAAAAAAACCCAAGGTGGTGAAGAAAAATGGCTTAACCAAGCATTCAAAATAGTTGCACTTGTGTGGTGGCATGCATCAGGGCAACATCAGGAGTGTGTACTCCTTAGTTTTTAAATATAGGAGTACTGGAACAACTTAAGAGTACATTTAGAGTACTAAATGCAATTTAATGTAGTATGTGATCTTGTGTTTCATTTCATACATGCACCACAACATTGCTACTCTTTTGTAAACAGGTAAAAAAACCAATAAAACAATACTTTTTCCGATAAATACGTCTGTAAATGATTCTAAGACCGTACACCATTGCTGTGGTGCGTATCTGCTGCTGTATCTAAATTATTTTTATCTGCACATATTTTATCCGGACATACGCCGATACGGCCCTTATCTGGAGGCCTGATGGATGCCTGTACTAGTCTGGGCTAATGCCTGTTTTATAGTGTTAGCATGATAGCAAGTAGCAATTTAACATGAATACCATCCTTAAACACAACATACTGACCGGCTGACCCATTCTTGTTTCATCTCTGTCCATAATGCTGACCACAAGGCAAGGTACCAACAAGTACAATCTTTCAATGTCTTTTGGAATGGCTCAACAAGGGATTAAACCATCAACCTTCTCTAGACACTATCCTCTAGACCACAGAGGCAGTCATACATAATCCAGTAATTGAGTTATGAGCATTGCAGTAAGCAATATTCTAGCCATGTATCTGCAGTCTGAATATACTCGAATTTGTTAACCAGTGGATGACAGCAGGAGCAATGATCAGTCAACCAGGTCACATAATTTAACCAACCAATCATCATTATAGTTTGTATGCACGGAGAGCTGTAGATTGTCTCAAACCTTGAAACGGAGTGAGTAACTTTGATCTTACACAGCTTTTAGCAATAATCCAGCAACATCATGGCAGGGGACCCCGGAAATAGACTTCACACATACCCATGTGGGGAATCAAACTGAGGTCTTCAGCATGACGAGCAAACACTTTCGTCACTAGGCTCCCCTCTGAGCTTCTGCAACATTAAGTAGCAGGAAATGCTGTACTCACTGGCTTCTTGCAGACATAGAGCTCATCCCACACCCTCTTGGCAGCAGCAGCCACCAGGTGCATGCCCTCCTTCAGTACTGAGTTGGTTGGGGCAGTCTGCGGGGTCTCTGTTGGTGGTGTCTGGCCATAGGGGTCAGAGTCCATCGAGTCAGGATCCACGTGCCATGTTGTTTGTCTTGGCTTAGACTCGCTCAGGTTAGCTCCACTGTTCAATAATACAAGGATTGACTTAAGGATTTTTACTTCTTTTAATCTTCCATATGAATTATTTTAATTTAATAATGTAAAGAAATATTTCAAGGCATCAATCTGTGAGCACTGAAAACCCCCATTAATATTTGGACAACTAATCTGCTAATACACTGTATCCAAGCAACATAACAAAATGTATCAACAAAATACTAAAAAAATAGTAAATATCCTGCCTTTGAACCAATATGTAATTTTCTGACTAAAATTGATATTTTATACTTATCCTGACTCATGCTAAATGCTTGTCTCCTTCTTCTTGCAAATGATAGTGGAACACTTGAAATCCCTTGAAGTTCCCTGTCTAAAAAGCGGATGTATAATCATCACTCACCCATGAGTAGTCTCCCTTGCCTCCTTTGGCGCCCTTTTGGTCACATGACCAGCTATGTTTGTCACCCTCTCCGTTTGTACGCCCGACACCCAGATTTACAGGGAAATCCAGAGTGCCCTGAGAGGAGAGGTTGGGAGGGCTGACCTCATGAGTCAGGATAAGTATAAAATATCAATTTTAGTCAGAAAATTACATATTTTTCCTTATCCTGACTCATGCTAAATGCTTGCAGAATCTGTTGGAATCGGTTGTGGGTCAGGCCACTTCCTGGATTCACTGGCTGCTGTTTTACATCCTGTATTACCCCCCATGGGAACTTATGACGGCACTGCTGATGATTCTGTTCTTTCAACTTCCATCTGATGAGTCTTGGGAGAGAGGGAAATAAGAGAAAGACCCCCACAACTTGTCAGATTTCTTCCAGAAACTTCTCCTGACATTTTTGTGTGGATTTTAGATAAGGAAAAATTACTAATGTTCCATTAGTTATCTATTGCAACTCCATCTCTTGATGCGTGCATCAAGTGGAGATGCGACCCTTCTTCATGTACGAGTAAGTCCTATACAAGTACAGGGTCTATCACTCATGCTAGTCTGTCCTAGACGTGTGCATGGACTTATAGCCATTGCTCTCCAGAGTGTTGGTTTTCACCAGTCACGTGATAAAAGGGTGAGATTTTTCTCAGCGCCTTTGTGGAACCGTTAGTTGTTGTGCTACAACAAGTGGCCCAAACTGGTGAATGCCTGAGACGTCTTTGGTGGCAATGTCTCTGAGGTAGTGGTTGGCAAACACCGTGTCCGATTTCCAAAAGCAGCCCTCCATTAATGTTGTAATCGAGCAGTTTCCATGCAGAGCAAGTGTGGACGCCAAGGCTCTGACTTTGTGGGGATTGGAGGCTCATGGAGGCTCAAGTCCTGCTGCTTTGTAGGCCCTTAGTATGACGGCTGTCATCCAAACTGATATAGTTGTCTGTGAGACTTCCGTGTGCGAGTGGATAAGGTGGTTCAAAATTTTCGGATTTTGTCCTTTCTAGGTAGACTCGTGAGGCATCAGAGGTGAGATGTTGATCCTGTGAATCCTGTTGCGTGCAGAGAGTGCTGGGATGTAGGTCTGTCAGGCTGGCCTTAAAGTTGGTTCTTTTGTTGGTCTCTCAGTCCTGAATGAACGAGCGTAGTAGTGCCAGTATCTCTGGTACTTTGGTCAACTTGACATCCGTCTTCATGGTGATAACTGTGCTGAGAGGAGCCAGGTGTGTTGAGAGTGTTGAACCTTTTAAGTGTCTCGTCTGTCGCAATTGACACAAGTATTCTGCCACTTGAGGATGGGTTGCTTTCACCGCCGAAAAGCCGTTCCTCGTTGCATACTGTTCAAATCTCTGCCACTTGTCATCGTACAAGTTGCGAGTTGATCTGCGTAGAAGTAGTGTTACTGCTTTCGCTGCTCTGGCGGTGTACCCTCTTGTCTTCAGGCAAGCTTTGATATGCTCCACGAGTCTAACTGGAACAAAGCCGGATTCCCGTGAGCTTGCTTGGTGTCGGATGGACGAGCAGGTTTGACCACTCTGGTAGTTTCAGGGTTGGACTTCCGAGTTCTACCCTAAGGATGGGAAACCATACCTTGCCAGTAGGACACGCGACCAAAATCAGTTGCAACATTGTCGTCTGTTGATTTTCTGTATTACTTGTGGTAATAGTGCTGGAGGTGGAAACGTGTAAGCGTTTAGTCCTTCCCATGAGATGCTTAAAGCATCTGTTGCCCATGTCTGAGGATCCGGAATCGGTGAGACGAATGTTGGTAGTTGTTTGTTGAACTTTGTTGCAAACAGGTCTATCAGTGGAGATCCTATTGTCTGAATGACGAACCGGAACACTTCTGGATGTAATATCCATTCCGTCGGGGATGGTTGTAGTGGACAAGATAGGGCGTCTGCTATGACATTCTTTGCTCCTGGAATGTGGCATGCCTTCATGTAGATGTTCAGGTCATTGACGATGCTGAACAGAAGAAGCTGAGTTTTAGCAGACTTGTTGATCCTTGTTTGTTGATGTAGAATGCTACTGTGAACACTACCATGCGTTCCTTAGTACGCCGGACCAGTGTTGTAAAGCGTTGATCACTACTTTCATCTCCAACGGGTTGATGTGCAGACTCTGATCCTGACTCGACCACTTCCCTGCTGCCATTTCGTTGTTGAGGTGAGCACCCCATCCTTGTAGTGATGCATCCACGTAGAGATGAGTGTTGCAAACCGGCTCTGACAAAAAGGTTCCTCCGCAAACATTCAACTTCTGAGTCCACCATAGGAGGTATGGTTTCAGGCTGTCCGGTAGTATCAGTGGATCCAGACTGTCGAGATGGGCGTTCACAAATATTTGTAGAGGGCACAACTGTAATCTCCCTCTGCAAGTCATGTCTTGAGCTGAGGTGAGTAGGCCGAGCATGCTTTGCCAAGCACGCAGTGTCAACGGAGAGAGCAATGCTTGAGATATCATATGTTGTATCTTGACCCAAAGATCCTCTGGGACGACCGTGTGATTCTGTGGTGTGATGAGCCATATTCCCAGAAATTGAAGATCCTGTTTTGGTTCCAACTCTGATTAGGAGATTACTAGCCATCTACTGCAATCATGTCCTATGTTGTAGGTAAGTGGATCTAGGAACCCTTGCCATGTCCGTCATGGAAGCGAAGAGATGATCGATTCTGGAATCATGGCTTGAAGCTTGTCTCATCAATCTTCCGGTAATATGTAATGAAGATGTTGTCACCAGAATCTGAACAGCGATGATGCATAATACGTCGTCTCTAGATCAGCAAAATCTATGATGTACTGGGACTGCCATCGATGTGAAGTCTATTTATAGTCGACTTGGCTGCCGCGAGCAGAAACCGTCTAACGCTTGTCGCTGCAAGTCCCCAGATAACCAATATTAAATCTGCTGACAAGGGGAAGTCCTCTATGACCCGTGAAGATAGTCGAACCACGCTGTACCCTGTTAACTGGACTGTTTACAACTGTAGACTGTGACTGTGACGTCACCGGTGTTGCAGGTAAATGATCCTCGTAGAATCTTGTGCAGTCGTTGATTTCTTCACAACACTCGTTCCAGATCCTCTCTGTTCGGCTTGTGCCGGAGTTACACGAGTGAACACATGTCTAGATGGCTGAGTGGAAGTGCACTAAAACTTCGCCACGTAGTACCGATGTAAGCAGACTGTTCCCTGTCTGTTGTGACTGTATTCTTCAACTTTATAATCTTTACTGCAGTCGTCATCTTATACAGATGTTCTGTAAAGTTGACCGTAACCGATGTCTCGCTGAAAAACTGCGACAATGCTGTTAACTGTCCCCTTGATATCTTGTAAGCCAATGTGATGAAAATTCATCTTCAGTGTTTCATCGGATGTTATCTGACATCGTTAGTTCAGGTGTCTATCTCTTCCTTCAGCCACGCGTTGATCCAACATAGCCAACATCTAGTTGTAGTGTCCAGTTGCGTTATCTTCTTATCTTCCATCTTGAAGATCTATTATGGGATTCACTGATGATCTTGTAATCTCAAACCCTGATGTATCATGAAGGGCTCCGTGATGATGAAGGGGAAATCTGCTATCGTTGAACGGGCGGGACATGCTGAAGATCCTTATAATCTGGAAGATCCGTATCTGCGCAGTCTGTAGAATCCTGGAGAACGACTGGATCTACTTCTGTGTTAGAATCCTTCCTGCTGAGACGCTGAAACTGCGTGGAGGCTCCATCGGGACTGCTAACGCTAAGCTGGCGTTCGTTGAATCCTCCAGGCTTCTAACTGCTGATACTTCTGACGGTAAAGATCTTCGCGAACGTAACCGTTCATGCAGGCCTTCATCGGGGAGAGCTTGCATAGCTAATAATCCTTAGCGCAGGGCGACTGTCATCGGAGGGGTCTGCTATGTTGAGCTGACGTTAGTCGAGTTCTCCAGACTTCTAACTTTAGACGGTGAAGTTGGACATTTCCCTATCTGAAGATCCATAATGACGTGAGCTCTGTAGTCTCTGTATGTAGAGCTGCGTGCAGGTGAACGGTCCCGGTGTGACCGTGTATTCCTCCTGGAGTCTTGAGATATCTCTCTAGGCCTTCACGAAGGCTGATTGATGTAATCTCCCCTCTGTGAGATGTGGAGTGCCTGCACGCGCAGGTTCCCGATGTGAGTCTAAGTCCGACGGTGATGACGATCCATATCTGCGCGATCTGTAGGGTTCTGGAGAATGCTTCAATCTGCTTCTGTGTGGAGAATCTTAGAGGCTCCTTTGGGGACGTCTAAGGCTGAGCTGACGTTGGTAGCGTTGTCCAGACTTCTAGCTTCAGAGGTTGAAGATCGTCAGGTGCGTGGGCCTTCGCGAAGGCTTTCCTCTTCATCCAGGTGCGTTGGAGAGGCCGCTGAACCTTCCCGCAGGCCTGTAGTCGTCATAGTGGTCTTCGTAGCAGCTTCCTCCTGCGCGAAGCGACATTCCATCATCGACATCATCTGATCTGTAAACTGTTGCATAAACAGCCCCGGGTTGAAGTTCTGCGACGTATGTTGAGACTGCTGCAGGGTTGATGATGCTTCTGAGAACGTTGAGGCCTCTTCTAAGGTATGCTGCACTTGTGAAGAGTTGACGCTGCTGCTATCTCTGGTACCCGATGTCTGCGTTGATAGAAGGTCTTCTGTCAATGTCTGCGCTGATATAGTTGCCGATGTAGCTGTTGAAGCAGGCTTCATCTTCTTGCTGACGACTGTGACTTCAGGTATGATGATGGGGGGATCATCATACACGTCTGCTTCTTCCGGAGGTACAATATCGGCAGTGAAGGATCTCGTCTTCTGCGTAGAGCTGTGAAGAGACTTCGACGAAGTCTTAGGAGCTGTAGACTTCTTCTTCTGCGCTGAAGAAGATCTCGCCTTCTTCGTCTGCGATGAGGACAGCTCCGTTGACGACGATCTCTACTTATTCCAGACGGAGTTCATCACTGGAACAGCGACCTGCCCTCGTAAAACCGCTCGGCAATTCACTGGAATTATGAACATCGGCAGCAGTAGTTAACACACGGTTATCAGCGCAATCACTCGATTTACCAGACATGACTTGTGAATACCTTCTTACCCAGTCCTTTGCACGTCTATGAAGAGAAAAAGGTAGTTATTAAATTCAAAAGTAGTTAGTTTCTGACAAACTTTACAGCAGGAGCTGGAAGAACATGTAGTAGTGCAATCAGGACATAATATATGCGGGTCAGCCACAGACAGTCGGTACCTACAACAAATACAAGTTTTCATCAATTGTAAACCAGATGAAAAACATGGCAAACAACGTATAATTTAGACATAATATCAAAACATTTGATAATATACAATCCAAAAACCATATACAGCTGCCATTTAGATGTAAAAGGTCCAAAATAGAAAAGGATATGTGCCGTATAGGGACCCAGGTGCTCTCACAACCATCCTCAAGGGCAAAGAAGGAGAGAGTGACAAACATAGCTGGTCATGTGACTAAAAAGGGCACCAAAGGAGGCAAGGGAGACTACTCGTGGGTGAGTGATGATTTTACGTCCGCTTTTTAGAAGGGAACTTCAAGGGATTTCAAGCGTTCCACTATCATTCGCAAGAAGAAGGAGACAAGCATTTAGCATGAGTCAGGATAAGGAAAAATTAGTAGTTGTACAAACACAACACACATATTACACCAAAAAGAACACTGATCTGCACAATTTTTTTATATAGTCTGGTCTCTTTCAGCTTATCAGGTGTAAAAAAAATGTTTCAACACTACAGATTTGATGGTGTGTTTTCTGCAGCTCTACTATGCAAGAACTCAAGGGTTCGCACCTCGACTCTGGGTCCTCTGTAAGCTGCAGCAAGCAGTAGCAGAGACAGCCCAGGAACTCCTGATCATAGTTGCCAGGTCCAAACACCATGCTGCGTGAGTTGGTGAGTCTGTGTAGGGCCTCCAGCACCCCGGCCTGGCTGGCCACACTGTCTATAGGCCGAGACAGCTGGAACAGGATGGTCCTGTTCAGACACTTGTAGATATTGTCCAGGGACACCCCTGATGCTGCAAGGTACAGAGAGGGATTGATTAGTGAATAAGGGAGGTCATAGTACAAGAATATTTCATCCATATCATGCTGTAATGTCTTAATGCTGGAGTGAGTGAGTGAGTTAGTGGGTTTAGTTTTATGCCGCAGTCAGCAATATTCCAGCCATATGGCGGCGGTCTGTAAATAATCGAGTCTGGACCAGACAATCCAGTGATCAACAGCATGAGCATCAATCTGCACAACTGGGAACCGATGACATGTGCCAACCAAGTCAGCGAGCCTGACCATCCGATCCCGTCGCCTCTTACGACAAGCATGGGTTACTGAAGGTACATTCTAACCCGGATCTTCAAGGGGTTTTAATGCTGGAGAAAAATGTCATAAATCATAGTTACAGAGAGGGATCAATTAGTGAGTGAGCGAGGTGATTGTACAAGAATATTTCTGTCATATCATGTTGTGATGTCTTAATCCTGTGAGAAGCAAGGTCATTGTCCAAGAATATTTCTGACATCTCATGTTGTGATGTCTTAATCCTGTAGAAAAAAGGTCATAAGTCATAGTTTTCAAAATCCTTGACAGAGAGAATGGGCAGATGCAGGATTCAAACCCATGACCATTAGATCCTACCACAAGTAAGGAACACAACTATGAACAAGAATATGTAGCACCTATGATTACAGCATCTTTCATTTCTGTACAAATGAACCCTCCCACACCCAATTCAGTTTCCACTGAGTTCCTTCATGTCCAATTTCAGTTGGATCTATCTGTAAATTAAATAGTAACATACATTTCTTATTGCTGACTTTAAATTAAACACTTACATTTTCTTTTGGCTTGTTGAATCAGTTTGCTAACAAAATCATACACTTCTTTGGAACTTCTTGTGAATACACCTGCAAGGACAGATTTCATAGTTATTAGGAGTTAGAAATGAAGAGAAAAGAATTGATACTAACTTGATCCACATGTTAAAATCAAGCAAGGATAATATGGATAGTGCAGCTTAAATCTAGCTTTTTCACACCAGCCAAGCAATAATCAAGTCTGGGGCTGACAGTCCAGTGGTCAAAGGTATGCACAAAGGTCAATTGAGGCAAGATGACACACTGGCAGCAAGGTAACACATAATCACCATTTGATCCTTATCTTAATCAGCTTTTGCAACAAGTCTGAGACCCTTTCTCATAAGACTGACTGACTGACTGAGTTTGGTTTTACGCCGCTTTTAGCAATATTCCAGCAACATCACGGCGGGGGACACCAGAAATGGGCTTCACACATTGTACCCATGTGGGGATTTGAACCCGGGTCTTCGGCGTGACGAGCGAACGCTTTAACCACTAGGCTACCCCACTGCCCCTTTTCTCATAAGAAATCCTCACAGGTGTTAGAGAAGGTAAAATCATATATCTCTTGAGGCAATTATTACAGTAAGCATCATATTTTAATAACCATATTTATATAAAGAACAGTTCTCAGAAACAAAAAAATATTTGTTATGAATGAATGATTAAGAACACATCAATGTAAAACACAATGGACATCTACAAGCTGTATACCTTGCCATAGTTTGTCTACAACCCTGCTAGCAAAGTAGAAGACATTGGCAGCCATGTTGTTGTAGCTGTTGCCGGTGCCGATGGGCAGTGCAGCCTGCTCCCCGAGGAGCACATCAGCAGCCAGCAGGTGCGCCATCAGTATTGTCAACATCTCTGTCTGGAACTCCTTCTGCTGGGCTCGACTTGCATGTTCAGGGGAGGCCTGGAGTGGATCCATGCAACATGTCAACTCACAATAAACTAGCCAGTGTGTTCCATGAGGTCATAAATATTGAAAATTTTAATATAAATTGTATATTTATATACTTATCCTATCTCACGGTATGCACTTCTCTCTCTTGATTCGACACTGAGTGGAATGATGTAAACTTTTTCCCTAGCCCTCTCTTGTCCATCCACCCAAGCACTCCATGCTACACTCATTATAAGACAGCTTCCTAACTCTCATGCAAAGCATGCGGCATGGTCCACTAGCTGCCCACGTGACTATCTCCGAATCATCATTCTCATTCTTGGAGCCACTGGATAATATCCATCTTGGAGAATCTGCATAGCGGGGAGGATGGGCGGGAATCCATCGAATGACATAGGATAAGTATATAAATATACAATTTATATTAAAAATTTTAAATTTTTAAACTTATCCTATCTCACGGTATGCACTTATCCCATGGTCAGACGGCGGGACGCAGATACCCTGTCTCTTGACAGTGCGAACAGCAGGAACTGTGTAGACTGGAAACGACCACAGATAGCGATGCACAAGGGAGGCCTGTTACGCATGCACACAACTCCTATGCTTGTGCTGAGTTCACTTGAACTCCTTGGCTTACTAAGCACAACGTCTCCCAGGAAGATGGGTACTCCCGAGTGATGTGGTGTTCGGCCGCAACCTCCGAAGAAGGACGCAGCTCAGTGAGAAAGTATGTCACTTCGCCACGATTTCCAAGGTACCCCCGTAAATTAAAGTCAGTTGACAATAATCTCCAAGTTTTAACGTTCAGTTCCAGAACAGCATCAAATTGACCCTCACTCCTTTGCTTAAGCTTAGTCAAAGGATGTGCCAGGCAACTTCGGAGTCGGAATGCAACGAAATCCACTGGCGTTCGGGAGTGACACACTTCACTGACGTAACTGCTTCAAAAAGTAGAGGTCAGGAAACGTGAAATGTCGAACCCTTCCACATCGTGATACAGAATCGAGCTCCAGATTCATCCAACCACCGAGGTGTCTTAGTATAAAACTAAGTGTACTAGTTCTTACCCATAAGCAATCAAAACTTAAGGCAGACAGCAAGTTCAGACTTATATTCAAGAAAATACAGGGAAGCAGCAACCGCGAGGGACCGTTCTTTATCTGCGTTGGTGGGCCGTAGACAGCTGTTGTGCGAGCACAAAGGGTCCAAACTGGTGCAGGCCTTGAACATCCTTGACTGAGAGGTCTCGAAGGTAGTGCGAGGAGAAGACCGAGTCAGATCGCCAGAAACATCCTTCCATAATGGCGTGGAAAAAGCAGTTACTATGCAGAGCCATTGTAGACGCTAACGCCCGTGTCTCATGTGGATTGGAAACTGTCGGAGATAGGAACCCAGCGAAGGTGTAAGCCTGTAGGATGGTGGCTCTCATCCAGAAGGATAAAGTGGTGCGAGACACTTCCGCCCTGGATGTTGAGGACAACGGAATGAAGAGGCGCTTGCTGTGACGGCGGTGATCTTTAGAAGCAGCAAGAAAAATCTTCAAAGCCCTAACAGGGCAAAGCTGCAGGTCTTCATTGTCATGCGGCCCAAGGATCGTGGACAACAGTGGGATAGTAAAAAGTACGATCGGGTTGTCCCGGCAACTGATTCTTCGCTACAAAATCCCAACGGAGACCGAGGAAGACTTTGCCATGCTTCTTCCGTTCAAACTGGACTCTGATAACGTCCAAAGCGTGGAGTACAGATATGCGAGCAGCTGTAGCCAAGGCCACAAGGAAGAAGATCTTGAAGGAGATCTTCTCAAGTCCTTCTGAGCATGGGGTTCATAGTCCGTCGAGGCCAAATGACGCAGCACCACAGATAAATCCCAAGCAGGAGGTCTAAGCTTCTTAGACTGATCGGCCAACTTAAAGGACCGAATACTGAAGCTCAGGAACCGTGGAGACCTTAGAGCCTGTGGTGGTAGCCAGAACAGAGTTGATCGCAGCAAGGTAAGTGGCCAAAGTGGAACCCTTGAGCTTCTTAGACGACCGCGAATGCTGCAGAAACTCAGCGACGATTTAAGGCGAAGTAGAAACAGGAGATGTAATGCCTCTGGACGTGCAATATCTCTCAAAACATTTCCACTTCTCATCATAAAGTGAACGGGTAGAAGTCTGATGAGCAGAAGTGATGGCCATAGCCACTCTCCGTGAATACCCCTTGGCGATTAAGGACTTCTGCAGATGCTCAAAACATGCAGAGAGCGGGCCGATCGGAGCGGGACAGCGCATCTGCGATGACATTCCTGACTCTGGGAATGTGTCTGGCTCCTCAACTGAGGAGATGTCTGTCTGAATCAGTAGGGAGGACCGCCGAAGTTCCGTTGCCCAATGTCGAATGGTGAGAAGAACCACCAAGAACTCGAGTTCGTTGATGTGCAAGTCCCGTTCTGCGGACAACCGCAGCGCGGCAGTCTGATGATGAAGAAAGTGAGCCCCCCCAACCTTTGAGCGACGCGTCGACGAACAAGTGGTGCGTTGGAATGAACGGCATCAAATTCTGTTCGACAAGCCACCACTGAAGAAAAGGACGTAAGGGTTCGGGAAGACGAATCAACTCCTGGAGATTCTCTGAGACGAGATACGGACGCAGGAAACGCTGCAACGGATGTAGTTGCAATTGTCCCCGCTGTGTCAATGCCTGTGCCGATGTCAAGAGGCCCAACAGTTCCTGCCACTGTCGTAAGGTCCTGTCCTAGCCGTTGAATCTTCAGCTACCTGTCTTGGGGGACAAAAATCAGGCCCTGTTGTGTGTCGAAAGTTGCTCTGATGCATTGAAGGCTCTGGGTCGTTGAACAACCAACCTAGCTGCCGGAGTAGCTTCGTACTGAACTCCAACTGACGTAGAAGAACGACGGGCCGAGGAAATTCCAAAAGGCAGGACGGTCCATTGATAATGGATCCCTTGGAAGACGAATCGGAGGAATTTCCGCGAATCTGGATGAATGGGCACATGAAGGTAAGCATCTTGCAGGTCTAAGCTGACAAGAAAATCCCCTTTCTTCAGGATGGTGCGAAGGACGATCGATACCATCCGGAAGTGAGGTGGGCTTTGGAGATAGTGGGCATTGAAAAGTTTCATGTTGAAAATGAGTCTTAGTTTGTTGAGTTTTTCTTGGGAACCAGAAAGATGGGGGAATAGAACCCCGGAGTGCTGGGCGCCGCCCCGAGAGACTGGACTGCACATTTCTCTATGAGCGTACCTATGGTGGAGTGAGAAACTTAGAACTGGTCCGCCGGGTAGCTGCGGTGTACTGGATTGCACTGTCAGCGGGGGACGTCCGATGACTGGAAGGTGATAACCTGTGGCGAGGAGGTCGGTCATGAAAGGATCGTCGAGTATGGTCCAGTTGGGAGCAAACCTCCCTAGTCTCCCGCCCACTGGAGAGTCGTAGATGGGGACGGCTGGAGGCGGGAGTTCCCAGTCGTGCCCTTGTTTCGATGAGTCACTGTTTGAGGGCCCCACTCCCAGCTCGGGAGTCGACGGGAAGAAGTGCCACAGGAGGACCTGCTACCTCTAGCTCGGGACGAAAGGCCACGAAAACCCTGATGCAATTCCTGCTGGTAGTGAAAATCTAGGTGAGGACAGGCCATCCTTAATCCGCTTAAGGCTTTTAAAGGCATGATCCAAGGAGGTAGTGAGATGAGCAATACAAGGCCGTGGTGGGAAAGTAATAGATGTCAAGTCTCGTCTCATGGAGAAGGAATGAGATCAATTCTCCGGGTTCTGAGACATAGGGAGGTGGAGATTCTCCACTATCCAAGCTAAAACTTGAGGCTCATCGCCAAAATCCAAACTTCCCTCTGGGGAATCCACAACTGAATGTGCTGGAGACGTAGGATCAGGTGGAACGTACACCAGGACTAGGCGCCGTAACAGATGGTCCAAGGGAAAGAGCATTCCCCAGAGAGTGAGCAGCCTGTTGTTGATTCCAAGCAGTAGTAAGTGCACTTAACATCGCAGCCAGATCTGGAGGAGGAGTAGTTTCCTGCGCAGGAGTCCAGGAATCCGGTACAATCCTCGTAGAAAGACGAGAGGAGGCAGGAGTCCCGTCAGAAGTCATAGCAGGCTGGGATCGCAACTCGGAAAACCGTTGATTAGATCGACGAGCCGTGGAACCATATCTATGTCTGGAGAGGGACAAACCGGGAGAGGATGCACAAATGGAGACCCCCTGAGGAGAATGGGAGCGAGGAGGGGAGATATCACAACGATAACGACGATCCCTGGATCTTGAACGATAGGCAGCAGTCAACCGTGTAGGAGATCTAGGTTGACGGGTCGAGTACGCAGAACCGGAAGTCCCATGATGACGAGAAGACGAATGCCGAGGGGGTGACTTGGAACAAAGAACCGATCTCAACGGAGCAGAGGGAGGTGTGTGCTTAGTTGAATGCGAACGAGTTGAAGAGTGGCGTCTCGGCGGTGAAGTAGACCGATCAGGTCTATCCAGTGAACAAATCCGAATAATAATAGGAGACTGATCCAGACGACTCGGTGACAGCCGCATCCGTGCTGAGGAGGCGTGACTGTAGGACCCAACAGAGTTTGGGGAAGGACTCAGATGATCCGGCAAGAGGCATTCTGCTTAATACCGCTTGGAAGAAGGCCGTTTTGGCGAAAGTCTATTCACCACATGTCGTTTCGGTGAAGTCTTCCGTTTCAGCAAACGTTGATTCGACGAAGTACGATTAGGTGAAGTCCGTTTAGCAGTCAATCGATCCGGAGAATGCTGACTCTTAGACTGGTGTTTTGATGAAGACCGGTTCGGCGAACGCTGTTTCCTAGAGAGCCAGTCTAATTCTGGGGAAGGTGGGCAGTCCGGCGAAACTCGAGGTGGACGGGAGTGGACAGGCGAAGCTTGATCTGACGAACTGTGATTCAATCTGGCAGGCTTCGGCGAAGCAGAAGATCGAGGTAGCTGGACACAAGACACGGTGAAGTTGAGGCATTGAGGCGAGGTAGACTGGTTCCTCTCACTACTGGATGAACAATGAGAGCAAGAACGGCTTCTGCGCAGTCAGGTGTAGAGATCAGCTGATTCTTGTCCGAAACAGATAAGCCAGTTTGCCGAGATAATTGGTCCGGTGAACGAGTGAAAGAGAGCGTAGTTCGAAGGTCCTGCTGTGAAGAGGTATCCTGAGGGGTGGTAGCAGTCTCGACAACCACTACCCGGAACGTGGTCAAAGATGAAGGACTCGGGCTGGAATGTTGAGAGCCCAACAAAAGCCGAACATCTTCCGATAAGTAAGAATCTGACGACGCTCTCATTTGAGTGAGGGGACTGTGACCACCAAGCAGACAAAGTAGGATGCTTAAACTTTCCTTTCTTGGAGGGACTGGGTCCGCCAAGTGAAGCGGCATAACGAGCCCTGTCAGCAATACGACGAGCGCAAACCCGAGTGTAGTCACCAAACGCCTCGAAAGTAAGATCCTTGCATTTATCGCAACGAGAGTCCCATTTACACTGTCCCATACAGTCAACAAAATAACCATGTGCATCACTTGTGGAGAACACTTTATTACATTTTTTCCTCTTCTTTGGTTGGTCAACTTTTCCCATGTTCCCAAAGTTGAAAACGTTGAGCAAAGTAACATACGTCCACACTCGTGTGCGACAAGAAAGAGAATGATGATTTGGATATAGTCACGTGGGCAGCTAGTGGTGCATGCCGCATGCTTTGCATGAGAGTTAGGAAGCTATCTTATAGTGAGGGTAGCATGGAGTGTTTGGGCGGATGGACATGAGAGGAATAGGGAAAAAAGTTTACATCGTTCCACTCAGTGTCGAATCAAGAGAGAGAAGTGCATACCATGAGATAGGATAAGTTTAAAAATTTATGTTTTCAGATTTGTGGGTGTTATTGAGTACTTGATGCACATGAACTGAAAAGATCACTAATACCTGCAAACACAGACAGCTGATCAACATTATTCATACAAAAAGTTGCAGGTACTCCTCTGGAGCACCCTCTTTCTACTTGTAATCAAGGAGCGATGAGACAAACATGATGTTGTCCTCTAATGCAGGATGATGTTATGACAGAATGAAGTATACAAGATAAATTTCAGTCACTGTTATTTGTAAATATCTCCTGAACACAAGCTTAGAAATGAACCACATTCAAACGATCATAATATGTTGTCTTGTCACACAGTCACAGAGTGCTTCTCACTGAAGACATGTGCCATTGACTGAAACATATTTTATTCAATTAATAAACGGATTGGGCACAAGTTATCCAACTTAAATAAGCCCTCTCCACATAGTTACAAGTGTATATTACAAAAAAGTTCAACAAGAGGCAGACAAAGGGTATGGATATGTACAGACTGAGTTATTTAAATCGTTTAGTGTTATGGATGTAGATATGTACAGACTTAAAAAAACATGTGCCATTTAGAAGACCTTTCGCAGCTTATTGTTCCAACAACACTTACATCTAGAAGCAGGTCAATAACAGCATTGGACTTGGATGTTGGTGGTTGTGAGAAGCTGTCGATGACGATGGTGCGGAGGAAGTCAATGATGAACTTTCTAGCGGAATGATTAGTGAGTACACCTGGAATGGGAAGTAGGGTTAGAACAACCAGATTCATTAACAGAACAATACACAACAAGAAGACATGGTCATCAATATCCCCCCGCCACAATGTTCTGCTCCTATTGGGTTTCTGTTTCAACTCCACCACAACATTCATGTCCTGAAAACACATCCCACATTTGGTCTCCCTATCTATGAATGTTACGGAGAAAATCTGTCCCCAATGGGGATACTGTGCACTAAGTCAAGAAAAGGAAGACAAGGGCCATAACTCTGTAACAAATTGTAACACGGTTTCCATTTTCGAACTCCATCAAGGCATTCATGTCCTGAAAACACTTTCCAATTTCATGCATGGTAACCACCCAATCATAATCAGGTGAGTGAGTGAGTGAGTGAGTTTAGTTATACGCCGCACTCAGCAATATTCCAGCTATATGGTGGCGGTCTGTAAATAATTGAGTCTGGACCAGACAATACAGTGATCAACAGCATGAGCATCGATCTGGGCAATTGGGAACCGATGACATGTGTCAACCAAGTCAGCGAGCCTGACCACCCGATCCCGTTAGTTGCCTCTTACGACAAGCATAGTCGCCTTTTGTGGCAAGCATGGGTTGCTGAAGACCTATTCTACCCCGGATCTTCACGGGTCTCATAAACAGGTATTTTGAATTCTCACATGGGCATGAGTTGAACGGAAACATTTTCGGGGAGCAATTTCAAAATAAGAGTTGACACTACTCTGAGCAATGTTGCATCTTTATCACATCACTGAACATAAAGAATGAGATTCATACAAACTCATAAAAGTTAAAGAACACCTGATCATTAATATTACAACAGCTAATCCGTCGGTTCAGTCATATGTGAGACATGTTACAGAAAGCACCTGAATCACACTTACTTCCATTACTTTTCTCTGGCGTTTTGACCAACACAACAGGCTCAGCATCAGGGAATGGTTTGAACTCCTCCTGTGGAGATGTGAGGTCACTGTCTAAATCCATTGGCTGGAAAGGGAACAGGGTAGCAGCCAGCCCCGAGATAAAGTCCGGCATGGTGCACAGTGTCAGGAAGTCGGCCTGGTTGTGGTACAGGAACAACAGGAACTGCATCAGCGTCACAGGGAAGTCCTGCAGCCAAGAGCTGTTGGCGCTAGTGTTGTTCTCCTCTCCAGGCTGGGGATAAGATGGGAACAGCTGATGTCAATGACACTTCATGCTAATGTTCCATGATCAATTTAAAAATCTACTGTAGGAAACAAATAGTAAATATCTGTTTAAGCAGAAAGTACATGCATATATTTATCTTAATGGTGTTGTGCAATTTGTGTTAATGTGATTAAACTTACAAATTTAGAAAGCTACTCCATTGAAACTGAAGTAAATCTCTATTTGTCCAGAAAGTACTGCTCCACAGAGGTGAGGTGAGGTGAAATTGGGTTTTACGTCGTGCTTGAGAATATTTCGCTCATATGACGACGTGCATGCATATGTATGTGTATGTGCGGCTGCTTGTACTAGCCCAGACTTAAGCTGGTTTTATAATGCTAGCCCACTGAGATACCATGCTGTAGTGAAGCATGAATACTGACTGACTTGCTTTTAGCAATATTCCAGCAATATCACGGCGGGGGACACCAGAAATGGGCTTAACACATTGTGCCCCTGTGGGGAATCGAACCCGGGTCTTCGGCATGACGAGCAAACGCTTTAACCACTAGGCTACCCCACCGCCCCGAAGCATGAATACCCCACTCAGACACATTATACTGACTCCGAGCCGACCAGTCCTTGTTGTACCCATTAATGCCGAGCGCCAGACAGGGACCAACAAGTACCATATTTTAACGTCTTTTGGTATGACGCGGTCGGGGATCGAACCCGCGACCTTTCTCTGGGCGGACGCTCTAACCACTACACCACGGAGGCGGTAACTGCTCCACAGACTGGAGTATTTATCTGCTAACAGCTATGTGACAGATGACCAAAGCAAGATACTAACCGTCAAGTTGAGCATTGCTCGGATCATAGACAGGATGACGAAGGCAGCATCAGGTACAAGGTCCACCTTCTCTTTGGCCAACAGAGCCACAGGTTTGCTGGCTGGCACCCCAAATATCACAGTCCACACAGCATCCAGGTTCAGCTGCAAATAACCCTAGTTAATGGACTACTCAACACAGTCACTGGAACATGGCACTAAAACAGCAGAGACGCCAACCCCAAAGTGTTGCAAATGCAAATAGTAGTTTCAAGGATCAAAAATGTAATTTTTAGAGTAAAATTGATATTTTATACTTATCCTGACTCATGCTCTTTTTGCTTGTCTTCTTCTTCTTGCGAACATAGTGGAACACTTGTATCTCCCTAATTGAAGCTCCCTTCAATTTAAAATCACTAATTAGTATTCACCACGAGTTACCTCCTTTCCACAAGCTCGGGAACGAGGGCGCCACCTCTACCCATGTGCCTCACTCTCTCCTCATATACTGAGCCCAACATTTGAATTTACAGGAAATCCAAAGTGTTATTTGGGGAGGATGGGAGGAGCTGACCTCATGAGTCAGGATAAGTATAAAATATCAATTTTACTCTAAAATTACATATTTTTCCTTATCCTGACTCATGCTCTTCTTTGCTTGTAGCATCCTACTGAACGGAGGTGGGAATATCTAATACTTTGGATTTTTAATAATTAGTGATTTGAACTGTGATGATTGTAATAACCCTATGGGAACTTCATAAAGGCACTGAATTGATGAATTCCTGCTGCTAACTTATCAGCTGCCATATAAAAGGTTATTACCATGTACTTATTATGATAAAGTATATATAACATTAATACAATGCTTAAGACTAATAGACTTAAGCTTGTTAATATGCTAGTATAAACTCCTTAGAGTTTGTTAGCTAAAATACTTTAAGATATAACATAGTACTAAGCTTAAGATATGATTAAACTTAAGCTAATTATATAATAGCAAACTCTTTAGAGTTTGTTAGTTAATATACTTATATGATATAGATATAATGCTGAGCTTAAGATATGAATAAGCTTTAGCTACATATATAATAGCAAAACTCTGTAGAGTTTGTTAGCTAATATATTTTTATAATATGAGTATAGTACTGTGCTTAAGCTATAATTAACTTAAGCTACATATATAATAGCCAAACTCTGTAGAGTTTGTTAGCTAATATATTTTTATAATATGAGTATAGTACTGTGCTTAAGCTATAATTAACTTAAGCTACATATATAATAGCCAAACTCTGTAGAGTTTGTTAGCTAATATATATTTATAATATTAGTATAGTACTGAGCTTAAGATATAATTAACTTAAGCTACATATATATATAGCAAAACTCTGTAGGGTTTTGTTAGCTAATATATTTTTACAATATGAGTATAGTAGTGTGCTTAAGATATAATTAACTTAAGCTACATATATAATAGCAAAACTCCGTGAGAGTTTGTTAGCTAATATATTTTACAATATGAGTATAGTAGTGTGCTTAAGATATAATGAACTTAAGCAACATATATAATAGCAGAACTCCGTAGAGTTTGTTAGCTAATATATTTTACAATATGAGTATAGTATTGTGCTTAAGATATTATTAACTTAAGCTACATATATAATAGCCAAAAAACTCTGTAGAGTTTATTAGCTAATATGTTTATAGTGTAACCATAGTACTAAGCTTATAGTACTGAGCTTAAGTTATGATGAAACTTAAGCTATATATATATAACAAAACTCCGTCGAGTTTTGTTAGCTAATACCTTTATAATGTAAATCCATACTGCTTAAGATATGATGAAAACTTAAGCTAATTGTATAATAGCCAAAACAACCCTTTAGAGTTTGTTAGCTATGATATAAACCTAGTATTGAGCTTATGAAGGAAAACTTAAGCTACATATATATAGCAAGAACTCCGTAGAGTTTGTTAGCTAATACATGTTATAATGTAACTATAAAGCTTAAAATATGATGAAACTTAAAGCTTAAATATATAATAGCAAAACCCTCTTTAGAGTTTTGATAGCTAATATACCTATATGATATAAACATAGTACTGCTTTTAAGATATGAATAAGCTTAAGTTACATATATAATAGCTAAAACTCTGTAGAGTTTGTTAGCTAATACATGTTATAATATAACCATATTGCTTAGAAATATGATGATACTTAAGCCAAATAGCAAAAACTCTTTAGAGTTTGTTAGCTAATCTACTTATATGATATAAACATAGTACTAAGCTTAAGATATGAATAAGCTTAAGCTACCTATATAATAGCAAAAAACTCCTTAGAGTTTGTTAGCCAATATATTTTAATAATATGAGTATAGTACTATGCTTAAGGTATAATTAGCTTAAAGTTACCTATATAATAGTAAAACTCCAGAGAGTTTGTTAGCTTAATTAACTTAAGCTATGTATAAAATAGCCAAAAACTCTGTAGAGTTTGTTAGCTGATGCATTTATCATGTAACCATAATATTACTCTTAAGATATGAATAACTTAAGGTAAATATATATAATAACAAACTCTGTAGAGTTGTTAACTTATATATTGTATGATGTAATAATCATAGTACTGTGATGATAAAAGGAACTTAAGTAAATTATATATAGCATGAAGCTATTTAGTATTGTTATAAGATAAGTAAAAATCTGTTAGATTGACTTATCTTCTCGAGAACTGTCAGCTGTTGTGCGAGGACCATGGGATCAATTGGTGTATACCTGGGGGCGTCCTCGGTGGTGATATCTCTCAGATAATGGTTTGCAACCACCATATCGGATCTCCAGAAATAAACCCTCCAATATTTCAATCACATTTGTGTGGGAACAATTGTAGAAGTTAGCTATAATATCATGAGTATTAAGCTCATGGAGGGTCGGAATAGGTCCATCCGCATATGCACGTAGTATGACAGTTCTGATCCAAATGGAGATATAGTACATGAGACTTCTCTCTGCGTAAGTTGATGATAGAGGAAATAATCTGTTGCATTTTTTACTCCTGTTTGGTTTGGTGGAGATAAATTTACAGTGCTCTTGCTGGCCATCTTGATAGAATCATCGTATCATGGGGTCCAAGTATGTCATCCAGGCGTGTTCATAAACCTCACTTGTGAGGTGTTGGAGCACTATATTCATATCCCCAGGTTGGGCTGAAATTTCGTTTATTCTCCAAACAGAAGTTTAGTAGGTTTACTAACCATCTAGTTGTGTTAGTTAAGCTTGATGAAATTCAGCTGTAGTCTGAAACGCTGTGGATTTAGATCCACTTGTATCTTTCGTCTAGGTAATTCGCTAAAGTCCTTGACGATGTAGGTGCACAACCAGGTGTGTCTGTCCTCGTTGAACTTTATGTAAAATCGCCTGACTGCCCGATCCCTCGTCTTAACTTGACAGGGGAGGTCTCTATCTTGAAGAAAGGCAGTCTAATCATGAATGTTCAGGTTAACTGGACTGTAATGAGGCTTGCTCGTTCACTGATATATAGTTGTCACTTGTGACGTAAGTCTTGAACTGTGAATAGAGATCGACCTCTGTGTAGGTCGTTGTCCAACGCGGTCCAATCAGAACAAGGCATTTTGATTCTGTATAATACCCGCGCTGTGATGTCACCGGTGTAGCGGAAAAAACCCACCTTGAATAAATTCTTGTCGTCGTTGATATTAGCATAAACGTCGGTCTTCACCGTAGCTTCGAAGTTATCCGGTGACCACGCGTGTTTGAGGGTTAATGGTAACCGCTGAAACCTCCGGTGAAAATATCTCGCTCTGTAATTTTATGCTGGGTAGGTTATTTTCCTGGTTGTCGTGAAAGTAATTTCAGTTTTGAATATAATTCCGACTTCCTTATATATAAGGGTATAAACAACTTGCAAGCTTGTAGACTGTATACATGAATGTATCGTCATAATTGTAGAATTAACGTTGAACTTGTTGTACATATTTCTTCTCAGAAACTTTGACGATTAAGAGTTATACTCGCTGTAACAAGGCTGCTGTTCAATTTCGATATTGAATTGTCTGCAGATATGCGTAATGGTCACGCATGTAGATAATCGTGATCGTCGTCCGGGATTGTATATTAGCAATTTATACGGAATAGTTGATTTCTGTGAAGATCTATGAAATGTCGTTGACTAATAATACAGCGGCGTTCTGTGTTGTAAATAGCCTGAGCAATTATCTTCGCGTAGGCTTATAGATCGGCATCTGGCATACAGTTGATAATCAACTTATGCGGCGTCTTGAACGGACTGACGAGTAGCTATATATGACGAGTGGCTAGTATATGGAAACCTTGGAGGAGACTTCCTCGGTGAACGCCCGGAGACTTCGCGAAGTTCTCGGTATCCCTTCTAGATCTTCTGGGTGAAGTAGACTTGGAGCCACTTAGCCTTCGCGACCATCGCTGAAGGTAAGTCGAGTCAAAGCCGATTAGTATATATATATATATATATATAAATATATATATGGCTTTGTTTCGCGGAACAGCCTCTGTGTTTAACAGGATGTGGGATCGGGCGGCTTGCCTAAGTATGGCGCATGGATCATCTTATCATATTCAGAAGTCGTGTTTACGAAGTCTGGTGATAAGTGTCTAATTGATCGTTCTAGATCTATTTAGGCCAGCGAACATACGCCTCTGCGTCATGGATTCAACAGAACCAATATACGATTGTAGTTCTTATACTTGATATCGATGATCAACTTGTCTATGGGTTGATCTTCTCGAGACTTGTGAGGGGAACGTTGATAGTTTCGCGAAGCTCTTGTATAGTCCCTCGATGTCCTTCTAGATGATGATGATCTGGATTCAGGTGTCCTTGCGCGTATGCCTTGCTGCTTCCTCTGCGTCGGTCCGGGAACGACGATATGACCTTCGCGAAGGCTTCCGTGATGTCTGATGGTCCGAGTCCACATCTAGGGATGAAACCGCATAAGGTGATGATCTATCCTGCCTTCGCGAAGTCCTTCGCGAAGGCTGTACATCTAGGTTCTTTCACGCCTTCGAAGGCTGTACATCTAGGTCCTTTCCGCCAGCGAAGGCCTTCGCGAAGCTGTACATCTAGGTCCTTCGTCCAAGGTGGTCCGTGACTTCCTTCGCTGAAGGTGACATCTTCCTGGCTGCTACGTTGACGGGGGTGCCTCTGGGGTGCTGTCACGTTGGAGCCTTCGCGGTTAAGCTTCGGACCCTGCTACCGCAGATATTGGTCCTCCATGATGTTCATAATTTGTCGCATCATGTCTTCTGGGATGGTCTGCGACGAGGTCGTCGGTGCTTTATCTGCGGTGTTAATGGAGGGGTCCACCGGAAAATCGTCCGACATCAGTGTAGAGGCATCAGGCTGCATGGTGATCTCTGCTGATGTCGTTGTAGCTGTCCCCGGTCGTTTCTTGTGGCGTACGTCGGGGATGATGATCAGCTGATCATCGTAGAGGTCCAGGTCATCGGCTGGAACAATCTCGGTTGAGAAAGTCCTAGTAGACTTCGTTGATTTTCCCTCAGAGGTCGACGCTGCCCTGGGTGTGCGTCTGAGTGTTGGTAATGATGGGACCCTCAGGACGATCATCGCATATCTGCGTTGGTACATCAGGCTGCATGCTGATCTGTGCCGACATCGGTCAATCTTTGATGTACATCCGGTATGATGACCGGCTGATCATCATACAGGCCCAAACTTCGATGGGAACGGTCTCGGTTGTTGAGATGTAGTAGAAAAACCCTCTAGTCTTCTGCTGCGACGATGGGATGTCTGGGGAAGCAGAATGCTTCTTGGAGATGGCGGACTACGTCCCACACCTCTCCACCACTCTAGCGGAACACCACACGCGGAGAGTCGGCCAACAGCAGTAGACTGGCGAGGGTTCCGTGTATCAGTCATACTAGACTCTGCATCACAGCGACCTATCTGCTGTGCGTGCCAACGCGCATAAAGTAAATATTAATAAAGAGGTAGAATTGGATAAATTAGTACCGCAACTGCAATGTGAATATAATAAACATGGCGCCGTACATCATATTAAAGGTGGATCAGCAGCAGCATAAAAAACGTAATCTGCAATAGTACAGAATTTTCATCAACGTAATCCACTGAAACAAACACGGCGTCCCGTGAATAAACTGTAGAAAAACGACTAAATATCAATATATAATCGTTGAAGGATACTAGCTAAACCTCTATAGATGTCTATACGAGGTAACTAACTAAATATAATCAAAGGATATAGTGTGTCGGGAGACACAGGCGCTCTCACGTCCAGCTCACTGGGCGAAGAAGGAGAGAGTGAGGCACATGGGTAGAGGTGGCGCCCTCGTTCCCGCGCTTGTGGAAAGGAGGTAACTCGTGGTGAATACTAATTAGTGATTTTAAATTGAAGGGAGCTTCAATTAGGGAGATACAAGTGTTCCACTATGTTCGCAAGAAGAAGAAGACAAGCAAAAAGAGCATGAGTCAGGATAAGGAAAAATTTAGTAGTTTGACCATAAAATTAGTAGTCAACTAAATACTTAAAATCATGATGGATTCTGAAAAAGATAATGTCACACTAATCAAGAGTGAAGCTTTAATTTCACATACCTCCAACAGCAAATTTCAAAATTATCAGCATTACATTTATTCTTCGGCGAAAATGTATTTAATCTATGAAAATAAATTTTTGTCTATATATATCCGAATTTTAATGAATTGTATTCAAATTTCGTAGAATATCTAGAGCAATCATATTGGCATAATTTGATGATACAATTTTGTAGCGACTACGATAAAATTGTAGAGGCTGGCATCTCAGTATAGTATCAACATATAAACAAAAGGTCACAGGGATCAATATCCCTCTGCCTTTTCTGCCAAACTATTTAACAGTGTCTGAAAACTATTATAAAACTTATTACCAGTACCTGAATTACTTACCAAAAAAAATTAACCATCATTTCTTAAATTCATATAAGTGTTATATTTGTTATTTTTTACCACTGTTTCTAAGAACTACAGCTACCGACATGAATACACAACACACACACATATTTGTTATTGCTAGGTGGTCATAAGGAACTAATAACATCCTGAATTATTACAAATAACAAAAAGGGCATATCTGAATGACACAAAAAAATATACATAAAAATATTAAGATACTTCTATTTAAGTCAGGGTAACTTAAAAAGGTATTTCTAACAATTAGTGTGAACATATCAAACTGATGGCATACAGTGCACACAATCTAAGATGCATTATACAAACCGATAACTCATGAAAAATACCTTCAGCAATCAATGAAAGAAAATCTACTCTCTAAACATACAAACCAAACTATACAGAGATGGCAAAACGAAACATCCCAATGCCTGATCTTCAAAGGCCACATGGACCAAACAGGACAAAATTCCGCAAAAAAACTGCCATCACTGCTCAACTACCAGTGTGTCAACCAAACACGGTGAGTCTAGTGTGACGACACGGAGAAGTTAATTAGAGAAATATACCCTCCCATGTGATCTGGCTTTGGCGTCTACCTGAACGTCAGCTGGCAGTTCTTTCATGTGCTGGCCAAGCATGAGAGCCATCAGCAGGAAGTAGAGTGCGGACACATCCGTGTGCCGCGGTAACAACCACTGCAGGGCGAGGAACCCTGGCACATGGCAAACCTCAGAGTTGACCTCACGTTCATGGCCTTTGGAGGCAGTTCCTAGATTGAAACCTAAACAAAACAAAGGTCATGAGGCAAAAGGAAATAATTACTATACTGTCATCAATCAACCAAAATACATCAGTATAATATCATATTAACTTGTAGATATTACAAAGTCACATCTATATATTGACTTAACTTGGAGAAAAATTTCTTCTACGTCTGAAACATTTCCAGCCTACAACATACCCAGCATGGTGGCCATCTGGTTCTTGATCACATGTTCTGTATCACCAAGCCAGCCTCCGCCGAAGCTGCCCTCTCGGAAGCGGTTGATGTTGTTGGGGTTGCGGAACATGGTGAGGAGTAGTCTCAAAGCCAGTACTACTGTTGACTGGTGAAGGTGAGGCTGCAGGAACAGCAGCAGCCAATCAAAGCCCAGCACCTTCTGAATCTCCTCACAGGTACTGGAAGCAATGAACAAAGGGACATTACAAAATATGAGTAGAGCTTATGCATTAGGATTCTACAGTCTGATCATTCTATGATGTTGCTTAATGAAGCTTGCCTCCATATGTCCTTATGCTGCCAATCAGCAGTTTTCCAAACTATCTATGGACATTTCAAGTTCAATCCAATCCTTGCTATGAGAGAAAAAAGAATCAGATAAACAATCGGAATACATAGTGACTATGTGGCTGAGTGTCTATAATAACATGCTTACACTTGTTTTATAAAATCAGTATGATACAATCTAATTTTTCAAAGACAAATCCAGTAATATTCAAGTCAATGAGAAAGATCCTGGACCATACAATCCTGTGATTAATATAATAGCAACAATACCCATAGTTTGGTCCAATGACACAAAACCAATCAATACCCTGACGACTAGTAGGGGTTGCTGGGTGCCTATGGTAACAAGGACTACCCACGAGGACAATCTTTGAACATCATGTGACAATAGACTCACAACTGGTCCACTTTGTTGGCTCCCCGTGGAATGATGAGCCTCAGCATCACCTCCAGCAGGATGTTCCTCAATTTGATGGTGTGGATCTGGTTGATCTGGTTACTCTCAGCTGGAAACAAGGAATAACACTGTCTTAAAAAGAAGATTATTTACAAATATTTGCAGCCCAAGTACCACAAAACATGTCCACTTGCCCAATGAGGTTAAAGTCAACATACTTACAGCATATTTTTTTCTCTTTTATATTTAGGAGTAATAACCCTGAACAATATGTTAACAAATCAAATTTTTTTGCCTACCATTACAGCAGTGTACATGGTAACACAAACTGCAGACAATTTTGAGCATTCACAACATATCAGCAATGTCATACAACTGTTTTTGCACACTGTCTCCTTTTAAGAAGAGTAACTTTAGCATTGTGACCAAAGGTTTCAATCACTGCTCCCTATCAAGCATTGTCAACATTTATGACAAGCCTGTCACTTAATACAGTAGCTTGGTATTGCAGTCTCAGCCCTGCTGTCTGAAAGTGCTCTACCTGTAACTTCCTGTTGTGTGGCTGAAGGGGATACATCCTCGTCACTGTTGGACAGTCCAGTACCGTTTGCCTGAAGACTGATCAGCTTCTCATTCACACTAGCTGAGGGAATGGTTGATACGACAAACTGGCCAAATCTGGAACACGTAATTTTTATCAATGCTGGCAGCAATAACACAAAGCGCATTTGTTGAGCAGCAAAATCACTACCGAGTTTGAAAGATGAAAATCGTTTAAAAGTTTAAACCAGAAGTAGAAAATGAAAAGAAACAAGTCCTGTTCACAATACAATTGTCATGTACAACCCAATGAATCCGATTTGGAGAAGTTTGGTAATACGACAATGCAGTTATGAAAAAACAAAATTATGAAGAAATGTCCTTTCTTTACTTCCCTACAAGCCGCTGCCTTGAAAATCAGAAGATGTTGACAGTCTAACCTGAGTAGAGCAGGGGCGTCTGGTGGCCCCTGCAGGAGTTCATTGAGGACGGAGGACACAGTCTGGATGGTCAGCTGGGACAGCCGGACATCGTGCATGACGTGAAGCAGTCTCTCAACCAGACCGATCTGACGCATCATGCTGTGGTTCACCTTCTGATCACTGCGTCACAATCACTTACCATGTCAATATGAACACACTCATGTAAAAATATCTACACAAACACACCTATGTCAAAATATCTACACAAACTCTCCCTTGTCAATATATTAACTCAACACAAAACCTCCCTTGTTAATATATATATAAAATACTCCCATGTCAATATATCAACACACACACACTAGCATGTAAATTTAGTAACACGAACACTATCATGTCTATATATACTGAGAGAAACAAATAAAGGATCAGAGGAAAATGCAAGCTTTCCTTTATTATTTTCCAGTTTCAAAGCTGGTGATGAAAACTGGAAAATATTAAAGGAACGCTTGCATTTTCCTGTGATCCTTTATTTGTTTCTCTCAGTATATTAACACGAAAACATTGAGACAATTGGTACAAACACATTTTCATGATTTATACATTTTTAGTCTGGCTTAAGAAGGAAACGATGACTTTGTCTTACCTAGATTCTGTTAACAGTTCAAAGAAGTGTTCATAGAGAGATCTCTGCAGATCCCCTGGAGCTTCGTGCCACACCTGAACAAAGAAACAGCATAGTGTACACAGCATAGAAACAGCATAGTGTTCACAGCATAGAAACAGTATAGTGTTCACAATATAGAGAGAGCATAGTGTTCACAACATAGAAAGAGCATAGTGTACACAGCATAGAAGGAGCATAGTGTTCACAGCATAGAAACAGTATAGTGTTCACAGCATAGAAGCATAGTGTTTACAGCATAGAAAGAGCAGTGTTCACAGCATAGAAAGAGTATAGTGTTCGCAGCATATAAAGAGCATGGTGTTCACAACATAGAAGAGCATGGTGTTCACAGCATAGAAAGAGCATAGTGTTCACAGCATAGACAGAGTATAGTTTTCAAAGCATATAAAGAGCATAATGTTCACAGCATAGAAGAGCATGGTGTTCACAGCATAGAAGGAGTATAGTGTTCACAGCATAGAAGCAGTAAGCATTAGTGTTCATAGCATAGAAAGAGCAGTGTTCACAGCATAGAAAGAGTATAGTGTTCGCAGCATATAAAAGAGCATAGTGTTCACAGCATAGAAGAGCATGGTGTTCACAGCATAGAAAGAGCATAGTGTTCACAGCATAGACAGAGTATAGTTTTCACAGCATATAACGAGCATAATGTTCACAGCATAGAAGAGCATGGTGTTCACAACAAAGAAACAGCTTAGTGTTCACAACAAAGAAACAGCTTAGTGTTCACAGCATATAAAGAGCATAGTGTTCACAGCATAGAAGCGCATAGTGTTCACAAGAAAGAAACAGCTTAGTGTTCACAGCATAGAAAGAGCATAGTGTTCACAGAATAGAAGAAGCATAGTGTTCACAGCATTGAAAGAGCATAGTGTTCACAACATAGAAAGAGCATAGTGTTCACTGCATAGAAAGATCATATTATTCACAACACTATAGTGTTCACAACCCCACAACATGGATACCTTGAGAAAATGTCAGGTCTCACATGACAAAGAAATCCTGAGTATATTCACATTAATCATCTTTTTATCTAACATTTGAACCAATACATTTATCAGTTATTACTGGGGTTTTTTTTCACAAAATACATCCAACAATGTATCATAAATTGTCTTTATTTGCCATAACATATTTTCAATCAACAGAATGATCACATGAACTGTTCTTGTGCCATATAAACCTGAAGTGTGCTTCTCACTATATATCAAGCATCTCTTCTTTTCCCAGAATAACCGCATTTGAGGGTTTTGCTTGCTCTCAGGTTTTACTTTTTGTAAGTAAGACCTCTTCCCAGGTTTTACTTTTTGTAAGTAAGACCTCTTCCCAGGTTTTACTTTTTGTAAGTAAGACCTCTTCCCGGCTTTTACTTTTAGTAAGTAAGACCTCTTCCCAGGTTTTACTTTTTGTAAGTAAGACCTCTTTCCAGGTTTTACTTTTTGTAAGTAAGACCTCTTCCAAGGTTTAACTTTTTGTAAGTAAGACCTCTTCCCAGGTTTTACTTTTTGTAAGTAAGACCTCTTCCCAGGTTTAACTTTTTGTAAGTAAGACCTCTTCCCAGGTTTAACTTTTTGTAAGTAAGACCTCTTCCCGGCTTTTACTTTTAGTAAGTAAGACCTCTTCCCAGGTTTTACTTTTTGTAAGTAAGACCTCTTTCCAGGTTTTACTTTTTGTAAGTAAGACCTCTTCCCAGGTTTAATTTTTTTTGTAAGTAAAACCTCTTCCCAGGTTTTACTTTTTGTAAAATAAGACCTCTTCCCAGGTTTTACTTTTTTGTAAGTAAGACCTCTTCCCGGCTTTTACTTTTTTTAGTAAGTAAGACCTCTTCCCAGGTTTTACTTTTTTGTAAGTAAGACCTCTTTCCAGGTTTTACTTTTTTGTAAGTAAGACCTCTTCCAAGGTTTAACTTTTTTGTAAGTAAGACCTCTTCCCAGGTTTTACTTTTTTGTAAAGTAAGACCTCTTCCCAGGTTTAACTTTTTTGTAAGTAAGACCTCTTCCCAGGTTTAACTTTTTGTAAGTAAGACCTCTTCCCGGCTTTTACTTTTAGTAAGTAAGACCTCTTCCCAGGTTTTACTTTTTGTAAGTAAGACCTCTTTCCAGGTTTTACTTTTTGTAAGTAAGACCTCTTCCCAGGTTTTACTTTTTGTAAGTAAGACCTCTTCCCAGGTTTAACTTTTTGTAAGTAAGACCTCTTCCCAGGTTTAACTTTTTGTAAGTAAGACCTCTTCCCAGGTTTTACTTTTTGTAAGTAAGACCTCTTCCCGGCTTTTACTTTTTGTAAGTAAGACCTCTTCCCAGGTTTAACTTTTTGTAAGTAAGACCTCGTCCCAGGTTTTGCTTTTTTGTAAGTAAGACCTCTTCCCAGGTTTAACTTTTTGAAAGTAAAACCTCTTCCCGACTTTTTACTTTTTGTGTAAGTAAGACCTCTTCCCAGGTTTAACTTTTTGTAAGTAAGACCTCTTCCCAGGTTTTACTTTTTGTAAGTAAGACCTCTTCCCGGCTTTTACTTTTTGTAAGTAAGACCTCTTCCCAGGTTTAACTTTTTGTAAGTAAGACCTCTTCCCAGGTTTTACTTTTTGTAAGTAAGACCTCTTTCCAGGTTTTACTTTTTGTAAGTAAGACCTCTTCCCAGGTTTTACTTTTTGTAAGTAAGACCTCTTCCCGGCTTTTACTTTTTGTAAGTAAGACCTCTTCCCAGGTTTAACTTTTTGTAAGTAAGACCTCTTCCCAGGTTTTACTTTTTGTAAGTAAGACCTCTTCCCCGGCTTTTACTTTTTTGTAAGTAAGACCTCTTCCCAGGTTTAACTTTTTGTTAGTAAGACCTCTTCCCAGGTTTAACTTTTTGTAAGTAAGACCTCTTCCCAGGTTTTACTTTTTGTAAGTAAGACCTCTTCCCAGGTTTAACTTTTTGAAAGTAAAACCTCTTCCCGGCTTTTACTTTTTGTAAGTAAGACCTCTTCCCAGGTTTAACTTTTTGTAAGTAAGACCTCTTCCCAGGTTTTACTTTTTGTAAGTAAGACCTCTTCCCCGGCTTTTACTTTTTTTGTAAGTAAGACCTCTTCCCAGGTTTAACTTTTTGTAAGTAAGACCTCTTCCCAGGTTTAACTTTTTGTAAGTAAGACCTCTTCCCAGGTTTTACTTTTTGTAAGTAAGACCTCTTCCCAGGTTTAACTTTTTGTAAGTAAGACCTCTTCCCAGGTTTTACTTTTTGTAAGTAAGACCTCTTCCGGCTTTCACTTTTAGTAAGTAAGACCTCTTCCCAGGTTTTACTTTTTTGTAAGTAAGACCTCTTTCAGGTTTTACTTTTTGTAAGTAAGACCTCTTCCCAGGTTTAACTTTTTGAAAGTAAAACCTCTTCCCAGGTTTTACTTTTTGTAAGTAAGACCTCTTCCCGGCTTTTACTTTTTGTAAGTAAGACCTCTTCCCAGGTTTTACTTTTTGTAAGTAAGACCTCTTTCCAGGTTTTACTTTTTGTAAGTAAGACCTCTTCCCAGGTTTTACTTTTTGTAAGTAAGACCTCTTCCCGGCTTTTACTTTTTGTAAGTAAGACCTCTTCCCAGGTTTAACTTTTTGTAAGTAAGACCTCTTCCCAGGTTTTACTTTTTGTAAGTAAGACCTCTTCCCGGCTTTTACTTTTTGTAAGTAAGACCTCTTCCCAGGTTTAACTTTTTGTAAGTAAGACCTCTTCCCAGGTTTAACTTTTTGTAAGTAAGACCTCGTCCCAGGTTTTGCTTTTTGTAAGTAAGACCTCTTCCCAGGTTTTACTTTTTGTAAGTAAGACCTCTTCCCAGGTTTTACTTTTTGTAAGTAAGACCTCTTCCCGGCTTTTACTTTTTGTAAGTAAGACCTCTTCCCAGGTTTTACTTTTTGTAAGTAAGACCTCTTTCCAGGTTTTACTTTTTCCTAACTCTATATGAACATCAACATTCAAACTATATATGAGTGTTTGAAATCAATTGAAAAATATCGTCCAAAATCAATTTCAAAGTGCAAATGTTTTCCCAAGCAGGATTTTACATTCTCTACCAAACCTCGGGGGCGTGTTTTCTCCTATACATAGACTTTTGCGATGAAAATTAACTTTTGTCACCTAAAATCTCATTCACAAATGTGTGCATAGTGCTTATGACTCTTAATCCAATATGCAGTGAGTCAAGACGACGTGTTGACCAGATACACTAAATAGCCAGATGAGCCAATGTAAGAGATGGAATCAATTTGGCACAAACCAACATTCCATTGCTAAGTTGTGAAAGCTGAAACATAATGCTGAACACAGAATTTGAGAACCAGCAATTTCATGCTTTGGTCTAATTCAGAGCCTACTCAGAGCCACACAGAGCCTACTCCTCTGAGTGTAAACAAACAATATTTACTGACCTCGAGATTGCAGAGCAAGTCCTCAAACGACGTCTGGTTTGGTATGGCAGAGCTCTCTCTTCCACTGTCAACAGTACCCACTAACGAGAAGGTGAGATGTAGGATGTGGCTGTTGAGGAGGTGACGCTTCTTCTTGTACAACATAGCCAGCATCTACAGCACAAGTACACAGGTTTATCTCTCAAGACCACCCACGCATGTATTCAATAGACTTTTAATATGGCTTGTCTTTGAAATTTGCAATCAATCCAATACATCCATTTAACCAGGGCCCCGTTTCACAAAGCCCTCATAAGCCCAAGATGTCGTAACTTTTCTTGAGCATTCATACCTCCTATACTGTAACATAGGAGCTACGAATGCTACGAGAAAAGTTATGAGATCTTAGGCTTACGAGAGCTTTGTGAAACGGGGCCCCAGTGTTTCAAATGAACCTGTGACTTCATAGACGTTGAGCATTTAAACATGCTGGTTAAGGCCAAGGTCGTCATATGGCGAACGGGCACGACACAATTCTGTTTGCAATGAATAAATGTACGTAAACTCATTATGACAGTGAGGTGTAAGTGTCTCCGAAAGAATGGCGACTAACGCGCTGACAGTTGCCATCAGTTCAACATTTTTGGTGAATGTCGTTTGTATATACTGTGAAATAATCAAGAAAATGGGTGAGTTACCTCTACAAATTTTGAGCAGGGACTTTGGCTCGGAATCGAGAAATCACGATTTTTCGAGCTTCCAAAGTACTGCTTTGATTTTTGTGCTGTATGTCTCATTTCGTAGGTAAATCTATTGGCTTGAAATGTGTGCATACTTTAAATGGGATAAATACAGTGAGTATTGTTGAATTCGCCCTGAAACGAACTTGGTGTGTTGACCTCGTTACATCCCTTTCCTTTTATATAGTATTAAGACCCCGTCAGTAACAGTACAGTCAGCTCTCGTTAATCCGACACTCATTAATCCGACAATCACGTTAATCCGACAAAAAATTTGGGAACCATTTAAAACAGTGATAATTACTCTCGTTAATCCGACATTCTCGCATTCCGACTCCGACACACCAATCTAGCAACTGATTATTGTAAATACATTGTAAAAACAGACAATCAACACAGCCGGTGGGATGATCCGACCGGTGTCCTCCCATTTGTGAGAACTCCCAGTTGTGAGACACATTAATTAATGGTTCAGTGCACATAGGTTGTGTTTCCACATCCCTACAATGAAAGTGGGACCAGCCCAGTACCCACAGGAGGCATAGTTCGTTGATGAGTTGATTAATGATGTAATTATGATAACACATTTTTATTGACTATTATGAAGTTTGAAAGTCATTTTGGTTTAAACATATTTTATTATTATTTATGAAAAGGAATTGGGATTGGTGAAGTATTACTGCTTATTTTAACACCGCTCCCATGCAACATAAAATTTAAAATGTAATGGAGGATGCGACGTCATCGATATTGACTATTGCATAAATATATTTTTAAGTACATATAAATATATACAGATTACATCAAATACAACTATTCTCTAAGTAGTCATAATTAGAGACTTACAGTTGTGTGTGTCTAACAAGCTATTGTAGGAATATATATCAATCACGAGAAGGTTGTTGAGTTAATTTCAGTATTTCCCTGTGAAAATTGGAAGGTTGTGATGATATAATCGTGGACTTATTCAACTATTTCCTGGTTTACACAAGGAGTAAATACTTTGTTTCCGTTCAAAAAATTATCCAGGTTATAACGGGTAGTTGATATCCACAAGAGCAACATGCACTGTTTATTTAATGTCTGTTATACTTATCGGCGTTTGGGTCGATAGATGCGAGAGCCTGAGGCAGCAATGAACGATTTGACAAAAACAAGAGCCATAATTAAGATCAATATAAATCTTGTTTTTGGTTTTTGTAATTAGGTTTTCAAAATTCTTTGAGACTGCATGACTCTTTGGAATTTGGTAGGGCATTCCATAAATTTATTGTGTCGGGTAGAAAGGGTTTGGCATAAGGGGCATTTCGACTGTAAATTTCAGAGTTATTTCTTAAACTATAGCTTGTAGTTTCGGAGACGGAGTAAATCTGAGTAGGTAAATTAATTTCTCTTTGATCTCTCTCCTTTTGAAGAAAGACAAACCCCAGACAACACAACAAGAAGTCATCACTTTTGCTGAGCAGAAGTTTGATGTGAAGATTGGACGATCAACCGTATCTGACCTCCTGAAGCAGTCTGCTTAGTGGTTGTGCGTCTCTACGACTGATTCCAATGCTTCAAGCTATCTGAGGCCAAAACATCGTTGATCACTTTGCAAACATTTCTGACACACCACTTAGACGTGTTTGATGTTAATGACCATCAAAGACTTTTTCAAGTTATAAATTATATATGTTATGATACACGCTTGATTGTACATTAGACGTCCACATGTTATTATGGAATTAGTTGTATGGAAACTGTAACATATTCAACATCCAGGTCATAATGGCAGCTGATATGCGGTAAAAACAAACGCGAGTTTTGTGCCAATGTGGTCATGAAATAGATATGAAACGGTTCGCTTATGTGATTATATATGTATGTTATGCCATCTACGAATGTTAATAAATGATAACAAGTATGTATTGTTAGTATTTTTTATTTCTGTGAATATTTTTACGTACGATGAAGATAACTAGATCTACATTTCTGATATGCATGCAACAGTATGATGATCATGACATTTAGTAAACATTGATATTTTCACACAAATACATTAATCCGACATTTTCATTAATCCGACATTTCAGTTAATCCGACATATTTCTCTGCAACCACAAGTGTCGGATTAACGAGAGCTGACTGTATATACCTTGACGGCAGTTTTTAGTATTACAAGCCCGTGGTTCCAATACCTGTGAAATAGTCCAGATGACCACTCACCAAAGTCGTCAAGAATGAATCATAGTTACATGTCTTTTGGTGCATATACTACACAAAGTTTGATAGGGATAAGGAGTACCCATGTGAGGGCTAAATGTGACCGAATGCTCAGACATGTTGCTATACAAATAGTATTTGTTCTTGACAAGGAAGTGAAGCATGTCCCACTTCATATCAAGTTGACTTAGCATAAGACATAAGACATGCATTCACACTGCTTCAGTCATGTCCAGGGCAATATGATTCATATTGCTTGCCTGACACTATTGTGGACCATGAAGCATTGAAAGATTGGTTGTCCACCATACATCATCTCTTTCCTCATGAAGTATTTCCTCTCCATACAAACAGAAACACTGTTACTACCTGATAGCCCCGGATCCTGTCCATGTCCCACATGGCCGCCTTGTTGCTCCGGACTACACACACTAGCGCCTTTACAGCAGCATACAGGCCTTCCACATCAGTTGCCATGGCGATCAGGCCAAGCAGGGATGAGGTGCCTCCAACATTGTCCAACATTTTGGCAACAGGACGAGGACAGAATGTGCGGACACCTACAAAAATTATGAAAATCACAGTCATTGGGATTCAAAACAGTGAGTGGGTTTTTGTCACTTTAGTTTTTGACGTGTATGACAGTGGCCTGAATAGAATTGAATCATGACTTGACAACTGATATAGTAGCAACAATCCACATCACTAGGATACAATGGTATGCCTTTAACCAAGTTTTATGTGACATGTGACACTTGTTTGCTGTTTATAAATCTTATGTTTGTTGATAATTTAAATGTCAATTATAAGAAATATTAAATCTGAAATGTGTGTATAATTTTATTCCTGTGCCAATGGGTCAGACAGACATCCCCAATGATCCATCTAAGTTACAAGTCACATGTTATTTGTTGACAGGAACCAGTTCTAACCCACAATCCATTGTCATTACTTCAATCAGGATAATGACATTATTTACAAAACACCAATGGGTTCATAATCTGCCCTGCCATATAACCTGGAAACTACAGTATCAAGTATTCACACATCCTACCAAGATATCCCATGAGAATGGCCCCTAAACTACGAGCTGGTCCCGCCAGGTGTCCAGAAGCATTGTGGAGGATCCTGATAGGTGTTGCATTTTCATGGGCCGACATGGCAAGCTGCAATAATAAAACCACTTTTTAAGAATCTGATAGTTAACACATCATTCTATGAAACACAATTACTCCAATAGTACTGCGAAACTGTCAGGATTACCTATCAAGAAGTGTAGAGCATTTAGGAAAAACGCCTGTAACGTTTAACAGTTTGACATATCGACATTCACCTCAATCTGGCTACTTTAATCATGAAAAAAGCAATCTGACACAGTTAATGTCATGTACCTAATGCAAAAGTTTAAACTGTAAATGTCACTTAACGGGAAATTAAAAAATCTAGCTCACAGGATTAAGAAACACATTGCTGCATACCTGTTTGGCAATGGATTTGCTGTCTACTTTGTTGTAGACTTTCCTGATCTTTGCAATGGTCATTTGTGACATAGCATGGGCGTGAACTTCAAACATCACCTTCTCTTCAGCTATGAATGGTCCAGAAACTTCTCCATCTTCTGAAATAGTCAGAACACACCTACTTTAACACAGATCATACTTCTAATAGAAACATGTTAATTAAAAATATTTTCTAGGTATCTTCGTACTGCATGTATTTGCCATTTGATGTGCATATGAGAACGTCTGACATGCAGTATGCTTGAAGTAAAAGTGATTTTTGGATAGACCGCGCTTGCGCGGAGAGGGGAGATCACGTCACTTCCGTTCCTGTACACTCGTCGATACTTGAGGCAGCCATTCTAGAGAATGGCGAATCAACGACTGTCTGATCTCTTTTAAGCAGAGCTTGAGGTAATATGCATAAGACCTATGGTAAGGTAAGTTAAAAATTATGCTGATATCACCAATGAACAGCTTCCATACATTGAGATTATTCCCCAGCCCATTGTAGGTAAACCTTTTAAATGTTTCACTAGTATCTTTTGATTTCAGTATGAAATAAGGATAATTCAAGACCATTAAAACAATGGAGGACAGCAAACACTTTCACAACAAAATATTTTCTTGTCAGAACAATTGAAATGAACTCAACAACTGGCAAAGTACCCCACATTTACATATATTATGAAACTTCCAAATAAACTGCTTTTCTTGACCCCTATCAGACATCTTCCTGCAAAGACTAACATACCGAGAACAGGAGCCTGGAAGCTGCCAATGTACGTCGGACCAAGGTTGTAGATGTTTTGAACGGTAGATGATGATACAATGTCCTCCAGGAGGTGGCATGGTCCCTGTCTGAATGTCAGACGTGAGTTCCGTCTCAGCTGTGGGGGAGTTCCGATGTAGGCGAACACGGAGGTGAAGGCTGTTGGGCTGGCTGTTCCCCCACCACCCAGGTTGGGCGATATGTAATGAAGCTGAAAGAAATCAGACATTACAGCATGGTCTGTCTGCACCATGTTCTGGCATTCATCAATAAGTGTTAATCTAAAACTGTAAAAAGACGACCAAATGGATATTTTTTCTCTTTTGCATGCTCTAACTGTATCACTCTAGAAGCCTATTAATTACTTTGGACCCATGAAGATCTGGGTTAGAATTGATCTTCAGTACCCCATGCATGTCGTAAGAGGCGACTAACAGGATAGTGTGGTCAGGCTCGCTGACTTGGTGGACACATAATTGCTTGGATCAATGTTCATGCTGTTGATCACTGAATTGTCTGGTACAGGCTCGATTATTTACAGACCGCTGGCTCACAGCTAGAATACTGCTGAGTGTGGCATAATACTAAACTCACTCACTCACTCACTATTAATTACTTTCATAAGTCAATCTATCACTAGAAAGCGATGCAGCTAAGAATCACTCACTCAAATTCAAATCAAAGACATAAATCAATCAGAAAGTGTATTAATTAATTAATGTTCAAAGTACAATATCAAAGCAAGAAAGACTCATTGTCCCTGAACGGGTTCCTGACCTACCTTTTGTGTCTGTACATGTTCTCCATCCACAAACAGGCTGACACTGCTGTTCTTCATGATGCCAGCTCGGTGGAAGATCAACACCAGGTGGTGCCACTGTCCTTCCTGTGTGAGTTCAGGGCACCAGAACCTAACAGTGTTGTCATTCAATGTGGGCTCTTGTTCATGCTCACAGCCACTCACTGAAACCACAACCACACTGTCTGTCAGCAACCCATACACAGCAGTCGTAAGTAGTAGGCCTTGGGAATAAGGCCAGACATATATATGTTGGTTCATAAACAGTTTTATTTAAATGCTATGTCCTCATGTGGGAATAGGTAAAGACCGAGTTATGGGCATATAATGCTGAATGAGCATTGCTGGAAGATCTTGTCTCAGGTCTACAAACAACTTTTCTTTGGTGATCAGAACATGCTGGAACATGCTGGGTATCTATCATAACCCTTGCTACCATGAAGTGACACCCAATTGAGTGATTGGGACATATTCTAAGCAGGGTCACCTTGGAGTGACTACCAGTATTATGCATGGGACCTATTCTGGAGGGTCACCATCCAGTGAAAATATTTTGCTGAACTAGGGTCTCCTTTTAGTGACAAGTAATAGAGTCCTGGACACCTATTCTATAGTGGGTTACAGTGGTGTGGCCAGCAAACTTCTGCTGGCATTGAGAAGTAAAGATGCAATACCAACCAGAGTTAGGCATGTAAGTCTCCTGTGTGGCCACTATGAGAGCTCTGTCCCGAGATGCCAGTGTGACACTCAGACAGATGAGATTCTCGTCCCGCCCCTGCAGGTTGCGGACTACGGTGAGGAGGCGGACTGGGTGGGCATCCTGGGCCACAGTGCTGAACTTGTCCACACAGAACCACGTGGAGTAGGTCAGTCCAGATTGAGGAGGGAACACTCGTTCACCTGCACAGGAAAAATAGACACAGCCTTCATAATGACAGCAAGTTCATACAAATCAGCAACATCAAAACTATACATGAACTGTTCAATGATTTGTACATCATATGCTTGTAAGACAAAAGGCTTGTCTGTTTCTTATTTATTTAAAGATGCACTTCTAAAAGGCATTTACAACTGAAATCAAGATTGTGATAAAAACACACACGCTGATGTCTATTGACATACTGTAGAAAAAGTTATTGCTGAAAGAAGTAGCAGCAAATAATTAAGGGGATAAGTGAAAAAAAATATTTTAAACACCATTTCTTTTTCTGGCAGCACAAAACAAACGGTCACATGCGAATAATGATTTAATTACCTGTGCCCACTCCACCTATGACAACAGGCTCTGAGGTGCCGACCACGCCCCCAACAACTGACGGGGTGGGTGGGCCTTGAGGGGCAATGCTGGGTAGATAGAGGCAGGCAAACCCTTCTGCATTCATGTCAAACTCTACGAAGGCTGGAGTCACCGTCGCCCCATGCATCCTGGCATCTCTGGGTGTTGTCATGGAAACAAGACACTTGACTCGAGTGAGAGGGACAGTCTGACCAGCAGACTTGAGCTTCTTCTCGATCTCCACAGTGGCTTTTTTGTCCTCCATGTTGATGGAATGGGACACAATCTCAGCATCATGCCAAGCACATGTGTCCAGCTGGGCTGTGTCTTCAACTGCTCGGCAGCTGAGAGGGGATCCTAATCTCATGAAGTCTCTGTAATAGAGCACATGTACATGTGTCGGTGAGCCAGCTGGGAACACTTTACCAATCATATCACTGCATGTCAGAGTTGGGAAAACCATACTGATGCCAATTCGAGTCATTAACCATTTAAGCATTGGCTGCTGACAAAACAAGAAACATTATCAGAGTGAATCTGTGATTCTTTTATGATTAAAGCTGTATTCCGCCTCATATATTATATCACTGCGACAGTGTTTTGTTTGTTAGTTTAATGACATATCAACAACATTCAAACAATATGATGGTAGTCTGAACATAATCAAGTCTGATCACATGAGTGAGTGAATGAGTTTACACAAATGGGCTTCACACGGTGTACCCATGTGGGGAATCGAAACTGGGTCTTCAGCACGAAGAGCGAATGCTTTAACCACTAGACTACCCAACCATCCCTCAAATGCATGTGGGACATACAACCAATCAAAAAGTCTAATCTCATCTGCTGCCGTTAATGACAAGCGTTTATTGGGCACTTTGTAGTCTGACAGCAGCAAAACCAGGCCTACCAAAGAACTTAGATGTGTCAACAAAGAAAGAAATGTGTATAATATTTCTCAAAGCATCACAACTAAAGATTAAAAAGCTGAAATACAGAGTTTATTGCTATTTCTGTGATATATTTCACTTTGAATCTACTACAAGCCTGGCATATATGTACTCACCGTAGATCTCTGGGTGTGAGTGACTGTGAGGCCAGTCTCTCGAACATGTACTGTAGGTAGGGGTGGAGAGGGTGGGACTCGTCAGCAAGGGCCACACTGCCATGGCTCAACAACTCGTGGGGAAAGCGCCCATCACACATTACCTGTTGGTTACGCTCAGTGCGAAGAAGTGTCTTCAGGGTGTCACCAACAAACAGCCGCAGGTCAAGGGAAGTCTGCAGAGATGGTGAATATTTGATTCACATAAAAAACCAAAAAACTACGAGCAATTATCAAAACCACTAACAAGCTCTGAATGTTTTCAGGTAAATTCTGTGCTGAAATGTATTCAGCCATACAAAGCGATTTGGTAGTCAGACTTGGTGACATGGTTGCCTGTGAGTCATCTTATCCTAACAGAGGATAATGTGTTTGTACCGAGTGTACCATGGACGTACCACCTGGTTGACAGAGTGTCTGCACGGAAAATATTACGTTCAAACCCTGGCTGTGTCACATCAACAGATCAGCTCCTATTTCTATATCGTGAGTCCAGATTATAACAAGCAGCCAAACATACACACATTTGATGATAGAAGTTTAAGAACCTTGAATGAAAACTAAAACTCAATTTCACACCACTTAAACCTGACTTTATTACTTGGAGGCTGCCATGCCAAACTGGCATGCTGATGACTGGCATAAGAAAAATGTAAGCTGGTTAAGAGAGAGAATAGTGTGATTACCTGACTATCAGAAGACAGCTCAATTGCCGGCAGGAGATGGAACATGGACAGCACTGCCCCTGCATGTACCACAATGAGGTCTGAGGGGCTGGTGAGGTTGAGGGACATACTTCCCGTGCTCCCTCGCTTTGGTTTCAGAGCAGCCTGGTTTATCTGAGACTCATCGGATACTGAAGACGTGTGTTTTCTCATTGAAGGGGAGTCCGCCTTTACTTGGTTGGGCATTGGTCTATAATAAAGATTTAAGCATGAAAAAAATAAAAAAATACCAGTGCCTTGAGCATGTTCTAGTTGCATGGATATGTGCGCTATATAAATATCCTACAATAATAATAAAAAATAACATGAATTCCGGTCATGTTTTAACAGGAAATTAAAGGGGATGCAATATATAATGCAGGATAGGGCAAAAAAATCATTTCCTTATGTTTTGAAACATGACCCTGAATTATTAATTGTGAAAATGTTGACATAATTGTTCTCAAGTATTTTTCAGCACAAAACATTCACAGGCCCTTGTGTTGATGCATAATATTTCTAAATCAATTAACATCACAAGACTCAGTGACAGAAATGAATTATCACATACATCTCTACTATTTCTACAGTAAATTCCCTAATTATGCACAAAAACTTAATGTTAACCATGTCTAGGGTGATTACTCCACATTTAGCTAAACCTGTAGAGGTTTCCAATTCTTTGATGAGAATCGTCCTTGGGGTACATATATGCATTTTCTGCGGCTGAAAATGTCATGTGACAGTTGTATCAATGTTTTAATACAAATATTGTACAATAAATAAAATCTTTTTTATTTATTATACAGCCCCACCACATGGAGTTACCCCCCTGCTACACATGCGCAGCCAACCAGGTAAGCACCTAGGCCCGTATCACCATTCCTCCTGCTGAATAAATCAGTGAACAGAATTGCGGGGAGGTGGGTGGCCCTACCCCAAGGACGATTCTCTTCAAAGAATTGGAAACCTCTACAGGTTTAGCTAATTCTTTTTCATAGAGATCGTCCTTGGGGTACATATATGCATTAACTCAGACTCAGAGGGAATTCTGTCAAAGTACACATAAATAGCGATCGTTAGGAAGAAAGTAACTAACGCCACAACACTCACCTGTCATGTGTCCCGAAGCTTCCGCGAGAGGCATGATAGGAGGGTAACCGACAGGGAGGAAAGTATTGAGACCCGACCTCACAAGTTAAGCAAAACATTTCTCACTCTGTGCAAAAGTAAAAACCCTGCCCACATCGTGAAATCTATATATATAAGAGCACCGTAAGGGGGGAAAACCAACTCACAACCGACTATAATCTCATGAGAGAAATCGAAAGCAGTTAGATATGACAACAGCGGATATATCAATTATACACAATTGAAAACAGCGTCAACTGTCCAGATCACCAAGACTCACTTGGTCATGGTGGCAGGACACTGTCCACTGGAGAGAACAGAAAGGCCAAAATGCGCACAATCACGGGAATGTGTATCGAGCTGATAGTGCCTTATAAAAGTGCTAGTCCGGCACCAAATAGCAGCAGAGCATTCCTCTTCAATAGGCAGTGCCGATGCAAAAGCCTTTGAAGTGGCCACTGCCCTGATCGAGTGAGCCTTCAACCCCTCAGGGGGAGGCTTGCCCTTAGCCTGATAAGCACTACAAATGACCGAAAAAAGCCAGCATGATAGGGTCTTTTTGCTAGCAGGCATCCCGGCCTTCCTGCCACCGTAACAGCAGAACAGATGGGTACCCGTACAGATCCCTTGTGTTCGTTTGATATAGGCCTTGAGGGTCTTACGGGACATCCAACGGGTGAGTGCTCGTTGCAGAGGTCCCCGATGTGGAAGGCTGGGTAAGAGTAGGTAGTTCAATAGGAGCTGTCACATGGAAAGCGTGATCGATCTTCGGACGGTAAGTATCCGGGAGGTGAATACTGACACGATCTTGATGGAACAGTCAGCGCCAGGTCTGTCGATAGTGCATGTAAGTCGCCAACCCTTCACCCAGATGTTACTGCCACCAGAAATACGGCCTTCCATGTTAACAGATGAATGGAAATAGCTGATAGACGTGAGAACGTAGGACCGGACAGCCAATCTAGCACGATTGACAAAACCCAAGGTGGGCTGGTTCGCCTGACAGCAGGTCGAACCGGATCCACGCCAGCTAAGAAGTGCTGCATAAGAGGGATGCTGCATAAGAGGGTGCTGCACCAAAAGAGCACCATTGACAGGGGTGTGGAAAGTGGAAATAGCGGTGGAGTTGATACGAATGGTCGAAGCCGCCAAGCCTTCTTCCAAACGAGCTTTCAGAAACTCCAATACTCGGATTAAATCTGCAGAAAAGGGATCTGCAATCCCCCTATCTGAACACCAGTGCGCATAACAGGACCACCTATCCTCATATTGAACGTTTGTCGAATCCCGCCTCGAAGCCAGAAATGTGTCTGCAACTGCTGCAGGAATTCCGCGTGCTTTGAGGCTAGACCTGAGAGAGGCCAAGCCACCCACTGAATCCTTGGATTGGGGTGTGGCGCGCCATTCTGAGTGAGAATGTCCGGTCGCAAAGGTAATAGAACAGGAGGCTGAGCCAGAAACCTGAGAATTACCGGAAACCAGCTCTGTGACGGCCATAGCGGTGCCAGTGGCTGGGTGAACAGAGGACCCGGGAGAATGAGTGGTAGAGGCGGAAACGCCCACAGCACTTTGCCCGTCCAATCCAGCAGGAAGGCATTGGAAGCCAACGCCCTCTGCTCCGGTATTCGAGAGCAGAACACGGGTATCTGATTCGTCCCACCGGACGCAAACAGATTCACCTGGAATGATCCCTACTACTGGGAGATAACTCCGAATATGTGCCAGTCGATCCCGTCGTGCGGAGCCAGGATCCGGCGGGAGAGAGCGTCTGCTCGCACGTTCTCCAGCCCCGGGAAATAAACAGGAATCACCTGACAGTCGCACTGGTCGCACCAGAGGAGAAATTATCATGTCTCCCGAAGGAGCGCTAGGGACACCGCGCCGCCTTGCTTCAGGATGTACGTCATGGACGTACGGTTGTCCAACAGAAGATGAACCACCTGGCCATGAAAATGCTCCCGGAAGCACTTGAAAACCAACCGCACAGCTCTCAGTTCTCAGACATTGATGTGAAGGTGGGCCTCGGCTTCGGACCAGAGTCCAGACACCAACAGACTGCCGAGAACACACCCCCAGCCCGTGAGGGACGCATCGGTTTTAACTGTAAGAGCTGGCGTCTGGATTTCCAAAGGGACCCCTTGGAGAGATTCCCGACATTGGTCCACCACTGAAGGTGAGGAGACAACCACCCGAGGACTGTGAGACACTACTCCAGATCCTCCGAGTGGGCCCACAGACTCGCCAAAGCTTGCTGTATAGGGCGCATCCTCAACCGCGCCCGCCACACAACATAGACCCAGTAGACAGAGCCAAGTCAACGCTGGTGCGTGGGGCTGGGAGAGGAATGAAGACACCATCTCCCGTACTCTGGTGACCCGGTCGGGCGACAAAGAGACAAGACCCTGTTGAGTTGTGAACCGCGCCCCCAGAAAAACCAACTCCTGGGTGGGTACCAGGTCGGATTTCTTGAGGTTGATAATCCACCCCAGTCGAACTAGAATATCTATCACTGTGTGGGTAGAATCTAGGTTCGCTGGCTGAGTTACATTCTCTTCCCACAGAGGTTACTCCTGTCATATCTTCCTACGTAACCTCTGTTCTAATACGGCCCTTTCATGGTGTGAGCGTTCAAGACTCGTGATTGGAGACAATCAGATTTAGTTGTGCAATCAGCAACGTTGTTTCAAAAGTGATCATTCGCAAGGCCTCGGTAATTTCCGTATGCTTCGAGAAAACTAAACTTCTTCCCCTGCGCGATGCTCAAACGTTTCTTCTAGACAGAACTCAGTTATGTTATGGCGGATCAGTGGCGTCTCCATCGCCCTCGTTGACAACGGACAAGCTAGCCATTAAACGTCTTGTGTGTAACATCAACACAAGTCCCCGGCAGATGGGGGATATTTGTGGCCCCACATTTGCTTGTGTTAGTCAAGTTGAATCTAAGTCGATGTAACAGGTGTTCTGATTGGATAGAAAGAAGGGAGATAATTTGTGTTGCGATCTTTTGCCCTAGGGGGATTTTACGAGAACCGGGAAATATGGCCGTATTAGAACAGAGGTTACGTAGGAAGATATGACAGGAGTAACCTCTGTGGGAAGAGAATGGCTGAGTTAGAGCGCTGAGCAGCCAGTCGTCTAGGAAAGGGTAACAAAGCCTTCCTTGCGACCTTGCGAGGTTAGCCGGCACTAACATGAACTGGTCGAACACCCTGGAGGTAGTGGATATGCCGAAGGGGAGCACCGTGAATTGGTAACCCATCCAGTCGTAAAAGAACCGGAGGTACTGCTTGAAGGATGGATGAATTGGCACATGTAGATACGCATCCTTTAGGTCGATCGACATAAGCCAATCACCAGGCTGAACAGAGGAGATCACCGAGCGAAGTGTCTCATCTTGAAGGATGGAACCTGTAACATGCGAGTCAACCCCTTGAGGTTGAGAATGGGACGGAACCCGCCGTCCTTCTTCGGAACAAGGAAGTACGAGGAATAAAACCCCGCCTGTTCCTCTCCCGGTGGTATACCCTCTATTGCGGACTTGTCCAGCAAAGCCTGAACTTGACCCGCTATTATAAAATTATTTGACCCGCCTTGACCCGCCTTGACCGGACATGACGGCACCGGAGTGTGCCTTATGCCGGTGAACTCTGGCGGGCCTCGCTTCCAGTGGTAGATGGCCGACACTGAGGGTGGATAGCACCCAAGTGTTGCTGGTAGCCTTCTCCCACTCGGGTAGGAATAGAGAGAGGTGGCCTCCCACTGGGACGTGTGGTAAGAGTGCGTGAGTGGTCCCCTGCAGATGAACTGGCTTGGAAGGACCCACAGCGACAGCCTGCAGGTTTAACGGGAGGTCGGGGCAGACCCCCCGCGACTGCAAAAAGGCTGCTGGGAACCAGACGAAGAGGCCTGCTCCTTGCCCTTACCTTTGGCGGGACGGCTCCTCCTCCTACCTCTACCCAGCGGCCGAAGCTAGCCGGCAGACTCGGGCGTAGGCTGCGCCCCGGAGGAAGAACCCACGCGGTTGCTCCAACAAGGCCTTAGAGTCCATGAAGGAGGTCGCTGCTGCAGCAGCCTCCCGAATAACCTGCTGTGCCCCCAGAAACAACGTCGCTCCCAGCCTAAACGGAAGGGCCAGCAAGGTCTGCTGTGTTGCTGCCAAATAACGGGATGTAGACAGCCACAGCTTGCGCATCCCCATGACTGCACACATCAGAGTGGACGCGGTAGACCGTAAAGAGTCTCACGTCAGGTGGGCCTGAACTTCGGATAGTTGGCGGAGCAGAACAACATTTGGGGAAACGCCACCAGTGCTCCCAGAGCCGACCTTTGTATCGAGGAAAGGTATGCCTCGTGGACCACAACCCGCACCTGCTGCATGGCATTCTGGTAGACTTCCTCGTAATTTTTATTAAAACATTGATACAACTGTCACATGACATTTTCAGCCGCAGAAAATGCATTTCCCTAACAACTGTTTGATAAGTTGAAGATGACATCTGTTGAAAACCTTTATAACATTTTCATGGTGTGATGCTCAGTATCAAAAGGCATTTATGGCTAGATAGGGTACTGATTGGAATTATTAAACTTTTGAAGACCACTCAAAGGAACGGTTATGTTGAATGGCCTTATGTCTTCTATGTCATAACAGCAGGATAAATGAGACTCTGATGCCTAAAAATAAAGACAATATTTCTCCACAAACTTACAAACACCTCCAGGAATTATAACGGACAACTAAACTACAGACAGAGTGTCATGATAGATAATGGATGACCCTGTGCTCAGGCAAATATCTAGGGGTTCCTACCTGTCAAAGGCATCGAGGGCCATGTCATACAGGTATCGGATCATCAGGATCGCTGACAGCAGTATGATTGGTACAGGCTTCTGCAGTCTGGAAACATCAGAGTACAAGTATAGGTTTAGTTATAGTTTCACTGATATTTCAACTTACCAAATAACGAACGAACAAACAACCTTACTAAACAAGAGTCATCAGAAGATGACATATCCCCCCGGCCCCCACATCTTTGAAAGAACAAATCATCTGACAGTTACTTAAAGTCCAGCTTGATTTTAGACTAAGTGCAAATCGTTTCCATGGAAATCATGAAAAAAATAAATGACAAAAATCTGCAAATAGCAAAAGGCACCACTTTGGGATCTGCCTCACATATCTGCCAAGTTTTGCTGAAAGATATTAAGAAGTTTTCGCGTTGTGCTCCGGAAACAAAACCCATCCCTTCCTTTTTGAGACTTAGTTCGAATCATTTCCATGGAAACCGAGAAAATAATAAATCACAAATATCTGCAAATAGCAAAAGGCATCACTTCAATATCTGCCTCACATATCTGCCAAGTTTTGCTGAAAGATATAGAGAGGTTTTTGAGTTATGCTCTGGAAACGAAGCCCACCCCTCACTTTTGGGATTAAGTCTGAATCGTTTCCATGGAAACCGGGAAAAATAAAAATGCCAAAAATCTGCAAATAGCAAAAGGCACAACTTTAGGATCTGTTTGATATATCTATCAAGTTTTGTTGAAAAATATTATAACGGTTCTTGAGTTATGCTCTGGAAACGAAGCCCACCCTCACTTTTGGGACTAAGTCTGAATCGTTTCCATGGAAACCGGGAAAAATAAAATGCCAAAAATCTGCAAATAGCAAAAGGCACCAACTTTTGGATCTGTTTGATATATCTACCAAGTTTTGTTGAAAAATATTGAACGGTTCTTGAGTTATGCTCTGCAAATAGCAAACGCACAACTTTAGGATCTTTTGATATACTAAGTCCGTAGAATTTGAATTTCATGGAAACCGAAAAAAATAAAAGACTGACAATTATCTGTAAACCGGAAAATAAAATGCAAAAGGCACCACCTTAGGGTTATGTTTGACATATCTACCAATTTTGGTTTAAAAATATTGAGTTATGCGAGAAACGAAGCCCACCCTCTTTGAAGACTATGGTCCGAAACCGAAAAAAAAAAATGATTATCTGAAATAGCAAAAGGCACGGGTTATGTCGGACGGACGGTCTTTGAGTTATGGTCCGAAACAAAATGATTATCCCACCGACGACTATATCCCACCGCATTATATGCCGGTGGGATAAAAACAATAGTATGCTACAATAATCATCCCTATCCCTGATTCAACTCATTATAGCAGATCACAGATCTTCGTCTGGCATTATCACTAGAGACTCTGAGGTCATGCTTACTATTTTCAACAGGAAATACACCAAAGACATACTACTGTCATAGATATATGGAGTGGGTGAGTTTAGTTTTACGCCATACTCAGCAATATTCCAGCTATATGGCAGAGGTCTGTAAATAGTCTGGAGTCTGGACCAAACTATCCCGTAATCAACAGCATGAGCATCTATCTGCGCAATGTGTCAACCAAGTCAGCGAGCCTGACCACTGATTCCATTAATCGCCTCTTACGACAAGCATGGGTTAGTGAAGATCAATTCTACCCCAGATCTTCACAGGTTGATAGATATAAAGAAGTTACCTAAGATGATTGTCATATATTAACGTACAAATTCTTCTAAATGAGCAAAACATATCATCAACAGTTCAACCAACTGTTAAAGCCATACATATTACAGTGCAAAGTCCTAACTCAAAAGATAATCAAAGAGATATGATAGACATCACAAATTTACTTTAACATTCACTGACAATTGTAACACAATGGCTGCTCCATGAAATGTGGTCCTGCAGATAGAACACCTACTTGTCATCCTTGGTGTGGCAGAAGAAGTCATGGAGATGGTCAAGGTTTTCACTGGGTTTCAGGTCCTCAGGAGCTGGTTGGATGTCTATCGTGTTGGAGAAACAGCCCAACAGCCTGATGGCCTCTGTCAGACTGTCATACCGCACCTACAGACAGAGGCAAACTCAGGTTAGCAAACTGTTCATCAATATTATTATTCACTTGTCCTAAGATAGGTATCTGTAATTTCAAAGTGACATATTCTAAAAGTCGAAATAAAAAGACTCGGTTACTGGGCATTGTATTGAGCAAGATTAGCATAAAACTACTGTGTCATATACATATTTTACTGGAGGTATACTGGGTTCATTTCTGCAAAAATCTAAGCAGTTATAAGTAACCTTTTCAAATATTTAAAACATTTAATCGGGAAAGATATTCTCAAGTTTAGAAAACTTAAAGCAGCAGCCTAAGGAAACGCTATAATCAAATTACTTATTATTTGTAATGATGCTGAAAATAGGTCAGTTCTATGGCAATATTGAATAATAATTGTATGACAAGTCATATTCAGTCCCTGTCTGGAGACTAAAAATATCCCTAGCATAAGTTTAGTGCCCTATGTTAACGACAGAGGGAAGTAATCTTCAACAATAATCACACATCACAACTTCTGTATGATTGTGTGCTAAATGATGCTTAGTTGCAAATGGACTGAACTTTCACTTACATATTTCCCTCAATAAAAGTGCAGCAACAAACTGCTGTGATATCTTCGTACAAGAATGTTGCCTTGGTGCTAGTGTAGTTATTGTTAAGAGCTTTAACACAAATATTTTCATATACCTCTGAGGCAAAGAACTTTGCATTGGCTGGTTCGTATCTCATGGCTACGGTAAGAGTGCTGAATACTGTCCGTAGCATGGTGAGAATGTCCTTCCTTGGTACTGAAAAGGAACATGATAAATGATGACAACAGCAAGATTCAGTAGATTGGAGACTTTGGTGCTATTAGGACATTTGAAACTTTATGAATGAGGACATACATACCCATATCCCATGGTGCCTTGGGTGGATCAGCTAGGCAACCCTCCATGGACACCAGCACAGACATGACGTACACAAAGCCACCTACTTTACGGAACACTGTCCGAGTACGGTGGCTCTCTCGTAGTACATTCAACAGAGACTGAAAACAGATCAATAAACTCCGATGGGTACATGTCCAAGAAATATACAACACAGCACAATACCATCTAGAAACCAAACTTTGTTCAATGACCTGCAAGTTACCAAGGACTATGTATAATAGGAAGGCAGGCATTAATGAAAGTGCAAAAACATACCTTGCTCCAAAAGCATGCCAAATGTATTCAACATATCAGGTAGCATACTGTAAACAGTTATCTATATATCTCAAGCCATTCTTGTGAAATTTTAATGTAGTATCTCTCAAAATCTCAGCATTCCCAACAGACAGACACTCCAGCTTTTACACCCATGAATAATTGACTGTTATTATATGAAAGTTTCAAGATACTAAGCTAATACAATGAGCTACTAAAAGGCAAATATTATGGATGACATCTTCTTCCTTACTGTATGTCACAAAGTTTCTGGGCTATTCCTCACCCCTTCGTCAGGTGAACTGTGCCCCTGACGAAGGGGCAAGGAATAGCCCAGACATACAATAAAGAAGAAGTTGTCTTCCATAATATTTGCCTTTTACTTGAATACCAAATTCTAAATGCCTCTCAAGAACCTCAATGAGCTACTATTCTCCTACCTTGAGAATGTGAGTCTTGAGTTCCAGGTCGGTGACAGGTGCTGTGGGCATGAGACCCAGTAGAGTGCCCATGTCATCATCGCCACCAGGTGACAGTACCAGCTGCTGGACAATGTTGAGCGCCAACTGTCGACAGCCCAGGTATGGCACCATGTTGTGTGCACAACGAGCTCCTCCACACTCTCGGAACACACCTGATGGCACACACACACAACACATAATACAGAACTGGATCTACACAAATATCTCTATAATCTGCCACTAACAATGAATAAGTATACGTTGATTTCTTGAATGCAGCTCTCTTTAACTCAAGAATAAGCCATTTATGCCTGACCAAAAACTAAAACTATACAGCACAGAAGAAGTTAAGGACCATCCAATTCTTTCAGACTGCTAGAGTTAATCTGTTACGATGACAGTAGCTATCAGAACATTGAATAGGATGGTACTTCGATTCTTTCAAATAGTACATTCAGTCTAAATACATTTTGACACTTTTTAGTTATTTTGTTTTCATGAAACAACAGGGTTAGCAAGAGCATACCTTTTCCAATTTAGTTAGTTTCTAATTATACACATATATGAATACAAAACCCATCTTCAGTCTGTGACATCAGTAAACTCTATTCAGAACATAGCAACTTACAGATAGTGGCAGGCACATACACTTTCAACAAATCAAACAAATATCAGCTAAATTAGACACAGGGATTGAGATAGAGAACTTTGACAGTGGGGCATTTTCAGGATTATGAGCCATTTTCTGAATTTAGAATGGGCCTGTGCCCTTGTATCAATAGTAAACTTCAAAATTTTAATGGGCCATTTTTTACTATAATGTGCAAAATGGCCCATGGCCCCTGCCTTTCCCAATCCCTGTTGACATAATATTAATCCCTTGCAATAGTCATAGGACAGTACATGGATTACAATGAAGTGACAGAGGTAAAGTGGTGGTGTTACTGACTGGCATTGCTGGAGTTGCCACACAGCAGCACGGCTAGTGCCTCCATCACGTGGTGCCCCAACTCCTGCTGTTCCTCTGGGATCTTCCCACCCTCACTGCCTGCTGCTGTAACACATATACCATCACAGCTTCAGATTACTGTGACCCATCAGTGTTCAATAAAGGGGGTTCAGGGATTTTCTATGGTACTTAAATAAATTAATCTCCTTCACACAAATCAGCCTATCAGTATGTTGATTCCACTCAATGATACCAACATGAGGGTCATGAAAATGAATTCTTGTCGTTCATTATTCAAAGGAACACTGTAAACCGAGGACATCCAAATCATTGGGATTGGGATTGGGATTTGAAGATGTGACATTTATAAGTTTAAGGCCATCTTTTTTCATGAAGTTTTTAAAGCTACCAGCTTATTAATCTTTGTTTCATCTTGGCTACTTAAAGTTAAATCTGATTAACCTGAAATACTATCAATTTGTATTAGCACAAGTATTGCCACATATGCTATTGCTTGTCAATACATCAAGGTACAGCAACAGTTGCCTGAACAGGTTTCAGGACATAATGTGTTAGTAATGTAAACTGACTGACTGACTGAGTTTGGTTTTACGCCGCTTTTAGCAATATTCCAGCAACATCACGGCGGGGACACCAGAAATGGGCTTCACACATTGTACCCATGTGGGATTTGAACCCGGATCTTCGGCGTGACGAGCCAACGCTTTAACCATTAGGCTACCCCACCACCCTAGTAATGTAAACAGTGACATACTGTATTATAACTAAGGCTTCATGAGGCTATCTGCAGTCTTGAGTAACTACACACGAATATACAAACATCCATTTGTTCTAATTCAAACTCAGCTATGGTTATTGATAACCCATGGAATTCCTCTGTTACCAAAGTCCTACATTATTTACCAATGGAAATAGATGCCTCTAAATAACTGCAATAGGAGAATATACCTGAGTCACTCTGAGGCTCCTTGAGAAGTGCTGCGTATCTGTAGAGACAGGTGACCATCACCTCCAGCATGCCCACCTCTCGGAACACATCCCTGTAGGTGCTGTGGTAGCGCAGGATCTTCAACAGTGTCTTCATGCACAGGATGCTGCACTCTATGGAACTAAATCAGAGCAAATGGAGGTCAGTAATCTAAAGCTGCCTTCACACAGCAAACATGTTGTCAAACTCGAGTTTGAGAGTGTGAACATTTTAACAACTCGCCACCAACACCAATTTCAGAGTTGTCAAACTGTTGTCGAGAAATAGGATCGGTTTCTATTCTCACCAACTTTTCCATCAAACTCTCGGTGTTGTCAAACTCAGTTTGACGTGTGAACTGTTGTCAAACTCGTGTTATTCACAAACAACCAATCGTAGTCAACCAAATTGTCACATGACCACACTGATAGAGACATCGCTCTCATATGACACGAAAGTTTGACAACATGTGCTTGATGTGTGAAAATGTGAGTTTGACAACTTCTAAAATTTCAACAACAGGTGTTGTCAAACTTAAGTTTGCCGCGTGAAGGCTGCTTAAGTTTCAACTGCTGATGGATAATCAAGATTCCAGATCATAATGAAAATAGAAACATGTCTGGGAAACCAAGATGGTCGTCTCCTTATAATTCCTTCAGGTTTTTATACTTTATCCTTAAACCTAATTCAAATATCACTTTTGAAAGAATAAAGTACAGATACCTGAGATAAGCAGTTAAGTTTGTTTGTTGGTTGAAGCTGCTCTCGGCAATATTCCAGCTATATGAAAACACGAGGTCGATGTATGATGCTCGCACACAATTAACCAAGCCACTGTGCCTGACAATCTGACTTATTTCACTGCCTCATACTAATTACGACCTGGACCTGGAAACAGCTACCAGGATGACAGATTCAGAAACTGCAACAGAAACAGCCCTGGAGAGATGTTTACTGCCTCTGAAGTACTCACTGTTGTGATTTGATTAGTATGCTGAGACTGATGAGTTCCTTGCAGGGTACAAAGTTCAGATTAAACACAATGAACTCCATCAACTCAAAGAATTTGTTCTGAAACAGACAATAATTTCACATGTAAACACAAACAATCACAAAATATAACTCAACATTCCACAATAATAAAAGCATAGCAAAAATGTGACTTGTCTGTTAAGATCACAAACACTGGCCTACCTGTATATCGTTGGGTTTGAGATAGATTTTTTCAGCAAACTGAGAGAGTGTGTGCTGTGGTTCTAGGATGAAGTAGTTGGCGTTGTCCTGGTGATAGATGCTGCTGATGACGTCGAGGATGGTGCTGCACAGCTGACTTGTTTGGGCCTGGAACAGCACAAGCACATCATACATAACCTGAGAATACTATTGATAATACACATCATCTTTATCGATAAACGCAACACTGGATGAATACATTTTCCCCCCAATGTCAACATTGTAATTCTATTAAGAGATTACATGATATAAAAACATCTGACAACAACTGCACTTGAACAACTCAATACTAATTTAGAAGGTATCTACAGAGTATTGAAACCTGCTTCATAATTGATTGTCTGGAGGGAGGCTTTAATAAAGCCAGAAAAAGAAGTTAAGTCTGTATTCAGAGAGTGAGCAATAGTGAACATAGAGTTTAAACTCCAATGAGTGAGTGAGTGAGTGAGTGAGTTTAGTTTTACGCCGCTCTTAACAATATTCCAGCAATATTGGCTTCACACATTGTACCCATGTGGGGAATTGAACCCGGGTCTTCGGTGTGATGAGCGAACGCCTTAACCACTAGGCTACCACACCGCCCTTAAACACCAATGAAAGTAATAATGAAAATAATAATAGTTACAAGGTAGGTATACAACCTTACTTCAATCCTGTGCACTGGTTATTTTTATGCTCAATATCTATGCATCAAAAGGCACCAAATGAAACAATGATAACAAGAAGACAAAGTCATCAATATCCCCCGCAATGGCAAAATACTCTTCATCATTATGTCTACGAGTTATGATTATGTCAAATATTTAGGTGTGTATATAGAAAAGTGGAAGGAGAGTATTGAAAGGTTTTTAAAGTTCTGCTCCAGAAAGGAGCACTATCACCAATTTCAGGCTAAGTCAAACTGGTTGCCATGGAAACGCCAAAAATATTTTATTCAGAATTCCAAAACTACCAAAAGGCACCAGTACACCACCAGATCTGTCTTTGTGCCAAGTTTGGTGAAGAAATAGTGAACGGTTTTAGAGTTCAGCACCGGAAAAGAGCACTACCACCAATTTCAGGCTAAGTTGAACTTGTTGCCATGGAAACGCAAAAAATGTTTTATTCAGAATTCCAAAACTACCAAAAGGCACCAGTACTCCACCAGATCTATCTATGTGCCAAGTTTGGTGAAGAAATATTGAACGATTTTAGAGTTCTGCTCCGGAAAAGACAAATGTGCATGGACATACGGACGGACGGATGCACGGACAGAGTCCATTTTAATACCCCCCTCAAAACGCGTTGCGAGGGATAAAAACAAATGCTCAGTTTCTTTTGGTGCCTTGTATGGTATGTCTGATCAGATTCTGCATTACAGTTGTCAAGATTTTTCCTTGTATCTAGCATGTGATGTGCAAACTGAACATGATGAAAATTGCTTGTTACTTAGTGTTTGAATCCTCTCTGAAACATTGCTATAACTGTAAATACAGAACTTGATCAGCTTCTGAAACATTGCTATAACTGTAATACAGAGCTTGATCAGCTTCTGAAACATTGCTATAACTGTAATACAGAACTTGATCAGCTTCTGAAACATTGCTATAACTGTAATACAGAACTTGATCAGCTTCTGAAACATTGCTATAACTGTAATACAGAACTTGATCAGCTTCTGAAACATTGCTATAACTGTAATACAGAGCTTGATCAGCTTCTGAAACATTGCTATAACTGTAATACAGAACTTGATCAGCTTCTGAAACATTGCTATAACTGTAATACAGAGCTTGATCAGCTTCTGAAACATTGCTATAACTGTAATACAGAGCTTGATCAGCTTCTGAAACATTGCTATAACTGTAATACAGAACTTGATCAGCTTCTGAAACATTGCTATAACTGTAATACAGAACTTGATCAGCTTCTGAAACATTGCTATAACTGTAATACAGAGCTTGATCAGCTTCTGAAACATTGCTATAACTGTAATAGCTTGATCAGCTTCTGAAACATTGCTATAACTGTAATACAGAACTTGATCAGCTTCTGAAACATTGCTATAACTGTAATACAGAGCTTGATCAGCTTCTGAAACATTGCTATAACTGTAATACAGAGCTTGATCAGCTTCTGAAACATTGCTATAACTGTAATACAGAGCTTGATCAGCTTCTGAAACATTGCTATAACTGTAATACAGAACTTGATCAGCTTCTGAAACATTGCTATAACTGTAATACAGAGCTTGATCAGCTTCTGAAACATTGCTATAACTGTAATACAGAACTTGATCAGCTTCTGAAACATTGCTATAACTGTAATACAGAGCTTGATCAGCTTCTATAAACTGAAACATTGCTATAACTGTAATACAGAACTTGATCAGCTTCTGAAACATTGCTATAACTGTAATACAGAACTTGATCAGCTTCTGAAACATTGCTATAACTGTAATACAGAACTTGATCAGCTTCTGAAACTATTGCTGTAATAAGAGCTGTGATCAGCTTCTGAAACATTGCTATAACTGTAATACAGAGCTTGATCAGCTTCTGAAACATTGCTATAACTGTAATACAGAACTTGATCAGCTTCTGAAACATTGCTATAACTGTAATACAGAACTTGATCAGCTTCTGAAACATTGCTATAACTGTAATACAGAACTTGATCAGCTTCTGAAACATTGCTATAACTGTAATACAGAGCTTGATCAGCTTCTGAAACATTGCTATAACTGTAATACAGAACTTGATCAGCTTCTGAAACATTGCTATAACTGTAATACAGAGCTTGATCAGCTTCTGAAACATTGCTATAACTGTAATACAGAACTTGATCAGCTTCTGAAACATTGCTATAACTGTAATACAGATCAGCTTCTGAAACATTGCATAACTGTAATACAGAACTTGATCAGCTGAAACATTGCTATAACTGTAATACAGAGCTTGATCAGCTTCTGAAACATTGCTATAACTGTAATACAGAACTTGATCAGCTTCTGAAACATTGCTATAACTGTAATACAGAACTTGATCAGCTTCTGCTATAACATACAGAACTTGATAACTGTAATTGCTACAGAACTTGATCAGCTTCTGAAACATTGCTATAACTGTAATACAGAGCTTGATCAGCTTCTGAAACATTGCTATAACTGTAATACAGAACTTGATCAGCTTCTGAAACATTGCTATAACTGTAATACAGAACTTGATCAGCTTCTGAAACATTGCTATAACTGTAATACAGAGCTTGATCAGCTTCTGAAACATTGCTATAACTGTAATACAGAACTTGATCAGCTTCTGAAACATTGCTATAACTGTAATACAGAGCTTGATCAGCTTCTGAAACATTGCTATAACTGTAATACAGAACTTGATCAGCTTCTGAAACATTGCTATAACTGTAATACAGAGCTTGATCAGCTTCTGAAACATTGCTATAACTGTAATACAGAACTTGATCAGCTTCTGAAACATTGCTATAACTGTAATACAGAACTTGATCAGCTTCTGAAACATTGCTATAACTGTAATACAGAGCTTGATCAGCTTCTGAAACATTGCTATAACTGTAATACAGAACTTGATCAGCTTCTGAAACATTGCTATAACTGTAATACAGAACTTGATCAGCTTCTGAAACATTGCTATAACTGTAATACAGAACTTGATCAGCTATCGAATCAGTAACACATCCAACTTCACTATTTCACTTAAAGAACATTCCATGAATGTCACATTACTCTTTCGAACTTCAGACATGGCGAAATCACTTACCTTCAGGAATACTGACTGTAATACTTGGAAAGCATGTAGGTTGCGGACACTGACGCCTGAAACACAAACCTGCTCTCAGAAAATCGGTCACCCTCAAGCTAATCTTACAGCACCCTGTCATCACCTTACAAACAAAGCCTGAATTCTAAGATACATGCATCAGGAAAAGAAAGCTATATTTACTCTATACCCAACATCTAATGCATACACATCCACACCATTTACATCGACAACATCTGATACAACATGGACAACATCATCTAATACCACTCATGCACTTGTCTGTAGAATGAACTCAAGCAATAAATTTTTATAGCAGATCCGACACACACAGTTAAATCTTAATTAAACAAGACAAATGTAATGGCGTTCATTACTACTACTAGTATTTTCTTGAGGTATAATTTACATGCTCTTGCTGTTAAATGATTACAACATTTATAAAACATGGATTAAACAGATATGCAGATACACAGAAGTAGTAATAGACAGTGACAAATAAATGCACAGAAAGGCTGATATAGTATTACTTGTAGAGAAAGGAAAAGGAAAAAAATAAGTAAACTGCTGACAGTTGTCAAATTAAACACATATATTCAGAATATGCTCAGAAAAAGGAATAAAACTATATTTACATTGTTATACAGTTATTAGTTTCCCAACACATGGTTATGTATTATGCACAATGCTGTGGACAACAACAGATGTTGTGTGGATAACATACATGGGTAACCAACACTGCCACAAGGCATATAAATCAATATTCATATATTTGTTGTTAGATAATGTTACTGGTGACAGTTTATGTAGCATGAGGTTTCCTTGTGTGCATTGTCATGTACTGAGTAAAAATACATGAAACAGGTAGTGAGCGAGTGAGTTGAGGTGAGTTTGAGTGAGTGAGCAGGGCTCCAGATAAATTTTCAACATCATGAGTACGTACTCCTTATTCTTTCAATATAGGAGTTCTGGAAAAAACTTAAGAGTACATTTAGAGTACTGAATGGAATTTAATGGAGTATCAGTAATCTTGTGTTTCATTTCATATGTGCACCACAGCATTGCTAGGCTTGTGTAAACAAGTCAATAAACTATAAAACAATACTGTTTCAGATAAATATGTCTGTAAATGATGCTAAGACCATATGTTATTGCTGTGGAGCGTATCTGCTACGTTTCCTAAACTATTTCCTATCGTATTGTGCATATTTGGTATCCGTACATACGCCCTTTATCTGGAGCCCTGGAGTGAGTGAGTGAGTGAGTGAGTTTGGGTGAATGAGTGAGTTTGGTTCAACACAGCTTTTTTAACATTATTCAAGTTATAACACTGTGTGATATGTCAATGTAGAAATTAAACTTTGGCCTTCAGAATAATAAGCAGAAACCTTTCTACAAGTTAACACAGACAAAGGTGCTTCCTATTTGTTGGTGGGAAGCAAGATACACGAAAGGCTATACAACTATCTATAGCATCTACAGCATCTATCAAGAGTCAAGTAGGACAAGCTCACACAAACATGCAGCATATCATCAGGTAGTACAATGTACCAGCATAAATATTTAATTACTGCAATTAAAAATATCTTTGTTTGGGGCAAACTGACCCAATCATATCAAGACAGGTGGATAGCGTTTTTCTCTTCATCCAAATCAATATACTGGTTATGGACGTAAATAATAAAGCAGTCAAACGCAACCTTAGGGTGGGAGGGGTGGGGAGCTGCCCAAAACAAAGACTTTCTATCTTGTGGTGAAATTGTGAGGGGTAATTGGGTTTAACGTCGTGCTTGAGAATATTTCGCTCATATGACGACGTGCATGCGTGTATATATGTATGTGCGGCTGCTTGTACTAGCCCAGACTAAAGCTGGTTTTATAGTGCTAGCCCACTGAGATACCATGCCGCAGTAAAGCATGAATACCCCACTCAGACACATTATACTGACTCCGAGCCGACCAGTCCTTGTTGTACCCATTAATACCGAACGCCAGGCAGGGACCAACAAGTACCATATTTTAACGTCTTTTGGTATGACGCGGTCGGGGATCGAACCCGCGACCTTCCGCTCTCCGGGCAGACGCTCTAACCACTACGCCACGGAGGCGGTTCATGCAATATAATGTATTGGTACATAATCATACAAAAAATATGGTACTCATATTTTCAGTTTCTGCACAAATGAAAATGAGCAGTTTGGACATTACTTTATCATATTTTAATGGTTATTCAAAGACATAAGGATATAATGTTTCCTTTGCCTGAATACATTCACTGCATGTTTCTACAGTAACACCCTGGCATAGTCCAGACAAGCAATAGGTTAGTTTGGTGTAGTGAGGCCACTGCTTACTGCTAAGTTTCTGTACAGATTAGTCTTTGTCCTTGAGTGGGATGGACTTACACCTCTTTGAACAGTGTCTCAGTTATTTAAATTAAGGAGGAAAGCCTGAACGGATGCACATCTGAGTAAAATCTAAATGTTTTTTATATTTGTCTACTTATCCTTCACTACTTACTTCCTGCACTTCTGGAAACATGGCTGTGCCAAACGATTGATGTTGAAAGTGTAGACTGTGATCACTTCCATGGTCCACACATGGGATGAAGGTCTAAAACCTGTACCTGCCGGATTCCGAATGAGGATCCTGTCTGCTTGAAAGAGGCTTCAAATGTACGTCAGTGTGTGTGATTGTACAAGGTCCGAAACGTCCCGGTTGATAAGTCAACCCAGCTAATTAGCCCAGCTATTATATAGACGTATGGTGAAAAACGGCTGCTGTCCGTATGCAAATTATGCCATATGGTGGAGAGCAAAATTATCACTGTTGCTGCATTATGATATGAGTTAATAACCATGGAGCTGTTGAAGTAAAAGTGCAGGTACTCCCGGTCGAAAGTAAACCTCGGAACCAGGCACATCGTTGAGGCAGAGCTATGAGGAGCGGGAACACATGTTTCCAGATGTCGTGACGTATGGACCCCCAAAAATAACCAATTACATCAGAAACGCAGTAGTCACCAATGTACGGGTGTTTGGATAATACAAGGGCCTCTGGAAGAGGGGGTGTCCAGTTGTGTGGATCTTGAGCTTCATTTGCCCCTGCTTCCGTCACCTTTGAAGGGGTCGCAGCTACGCTCACATCCTCCCTTGTCGATATGAGACTTGTCACCCTGTCTCCAACCATGGATCGGAGCCTGGTTCCAAGCCCGCCTAACAGTGTGGCGCCCAGGCAAGAGTAGGTACTGGATTCATGTGATGAGGGATGTTGGACTTGCTGGAAGGCCGTCAACGCTATCTCCCTCTGAGGAAAGTCGCACACTGTTCGATAGACGTCCTTGAACTCGTTATTAAATATGGTAGTCAAGGACTAGGGTTGGCCAGATAGATTCCACTGAAACTTTGAATCACAACCGGAAAAGGGGAGAGAAAGCCTTGACCTCAAATAACACATGCATTGGCGAGATCTGCCCATAAGTGTTCACCAAGGACAGTGGGGACCATCCACTACCAAGCCATCATAGAAGAGAGGTGACGATCCTGTTCGGATACATCTCAGGTCAGGTCTGGAGAGACAGTGTTAATAGCCGAAGCTAAGTTTGAGAACTGTAACGCGCTTAATTTCTAGACAAGGGACTGCGTAAACGCCACGTCCGGCCTTATGCGCCATAATAGTTTAAGTCTCCGAGGGCAAGATGTGTTTGTCTCCCGACGTAGGGGCCATCGGATCTAGTAGAGGCGCCATACAGCTGGTATCGCCGTACAGGCGCTAGATCTTGTAGAGGCGCCATACAGCTGGTAGCGCCATACAGGCTCTAGATCTAGTAGAGGCGCCATACAGCTGGTAGCGCCATACAGGCACTATATCTGGTAGAACCGCCGGACAGGCGCTGGAGTGAGCAAGTGAGTATGGTGTTATAGGCGCCATACAAGCGCTGGATCTGGTGGAAACGCCATACAGGCTCTGGAGTGAGTAAGTATGGTTTACGGGCACCGTACAGGCGCTGGATCAGGTAGACCATACATTTGCTGTAGTCAGGAACGAAGCTGGAACAGGTAGGTATGGCAACGGAGATGCTGACACCAACTGCTGAACGCTGAGGTCGTAGTTGATATGGTAGATGTGCCGTACAGGCGCTGCAGTCCCTGCTAACTATGTCAAGTGTGGAATGGATGTCGAAACAGCCAGTGACTGCTGAACGTGGGGCGCATGATCACAGTCTACGCTTTCAACATCAATCCTCTTGCACAGCCAGTCGTAAGCAATAAGTGCAGGAAGTAAGTAGTTCAGGATTAGTTAAAAATATTAAAACTTTACTAATCTGGTGAAACCATCACTCACGGTGCTCACAAACCATGAACCACAATCAGATATATATGGAAATTCAAACCCAGGACTTTAGGATTCAGGCATGCATAAGAGAATGCATGGTGAATTTCAATGCCTTAAATGACCAAACCAGATGTATCCCCTTGCTTTATTCAAAGTGTGCACATTAGAATCATGTGGAAAACAATTCTGACACTTGCATGCCACACTATTACACACCTAGGTTGGAAAGAGTTAAATGCTAAGAATACACATAACAATATGCAGTATAGTGAGAGTGACCTGGGTTTACTATCATGTCAGCAATTGTATTATCACTATCATGACAGCCTCTGTATTTTCTAACAGTAATGGTTGTGAGAAGTGATGTAACAGTATTTCAGTTACATCCAGTGGTTGGAAACCTTTCAGCACACAGAACCCATTGTGTCGAGTTTGGTGCTGACAAATCAACATTCAAAGCTATGAAGAATCTGGGATTTACACAGACAATGATAAGATTTGGGAATTCCTAAGGGGAGTAACTCTGCAGAATGAATTGTAGGATCATGGACAAGACAACAGTCATGAGGCTGTGCCAGACAAACCAACAGCTGATCAACTCAGATACAGCCACCTAATGGTCTTCACATGTGTCCAAGTACATGAACTGTTGATACATTGCTGCCATTTGGGACATCTAATCCCCATGTTAGTCATTTTAGTGACTAAAACTTAAAAACACCTTTAACTTGTTATAACACTATTTCAAAAACTTAAATACATTAAAAAGCAAATTCAACAAAAGATCAATGTGAAAATTGATAAAACCTGAAGACCATCCAACAACAAGAAGCAAGAATACATGGAAACTGTTAGTGGCAAGCCATGCTAGTATTACAGATATTAGAAGAACTCCAGTCCTCTGTCCCCATGACAAGACAGTGTTTTGGGTACTCAACTGTTACTACCACTGGAAAATAGCTGAACCTCTGTCAAAATACCAAACAAAACATAATAAACTCAATGTCAACAAAATTCATGAAAAAACACAAAATCAACCTTTTTGAAAACAAAATAATGCCATGAACAAAATCTGAAACAAAATGGAAGTCACATTGAACAAAAGAAACTGCATAGAACTGAAAAGGTAAGTTCATGAACAAAGACAGAATTCCTGCAACAAACAATGTTGTATGACTTCAGTTAGGCCTGTCTTTTTTAAGAACTTGGTTTATGAATTTGTCAACACCCAAAACTATATAGGTGGTTATTTTATCCCACGAGCAAGTGGTAATCTAACACTGAAAAACAAACTCATTAAGTGGCGCTATCGTTATAGCTAAATTAAGATGAATTACGAAAGAAAATGAGAATGTACGTGTGAAACTGAAATTAATTTGTTTGTACTATTTTCAAACCATGAACCTTAAATTTGGCCAAGAATCCATAACTTAAACAAAAATAGTCTGGCTTTGGTAATGTTTAATAAATTTAATCAATAAAAAGACCAACGATTTCATCCACTTTCAAACATACACACTGATAACCATTCATCAAAGAAATTTTCTGTAACTTTACAAAAACAAATAGATATTATTTGAATAATGTATTACTTACTGACTGAAAATCATAAAAGTAGTTTCATCAAACACATCAAAACTGAAAACATCTGAGCAGAAAATATGTAAGATTCAAGCATATTCGCTTTGTATCATGCAAGCTTAAATATAGACGATGCTTTTCTCTACACATGATCATGTAAACATGAAAGCTGTTGTGCAATCATGAAAACATATCACCATGTTATCTCTACTTTAAAAATGCAGCATATCTAACAAATACAAACACATTCCCATGCACTCAAAATTCATTCCATCTTAAATTAACTTCATGTGTAACTAAAAAAACAGTCATTTCCTGAACATCTTTTCAAACTCTCAAAATCTTACATTTATTACTGCTTGAATTTGATTAACATTGAGAAAAGAAGAATATATCTGCATTTAGTTTGTTTGGTTTGAGTTTTACGCCGCTTTTAGCATTATTCCAGCAATATCATGGCGGGGACACCAGAAACAGGCTTCACACATTGTACCCATGTGGGAATCGAACTTGAGACTTCGGCATGACAAGTGAATGCTTTAACCACTAGGCTATCCCACCGCTCCATTCGTTCAATAAACAGTTCATATGTCTGTTTTCTAAGTAACATAAACATTCAGTGCCATAACGTTTCAACTGATGACCATGCTCAAACAATCTTGAAAAGCCAATAGTCCATGAAAGTTTACCATTTAACGTAATATGATTATCTAAATGTTTAGAATATTTAAAAAATGAAATATATGTGAAACACGTAATCTTGAATGAACTGTGTAAGTTATCATGAATCGTCTCATGGCAGAGGTACTAGGTTGAACGCAAGTAACTGGGCGTAAGAATGAATGAACACGGAACAAAACAGAAATAGTATTACCGGAAAAAATGCAACGGCAACAAGCAGAAAGTGGCCACATACCTTTCCCGGCTGGCTGTGGTGTTATGAAGCCTGGCATCTGGAAGAGTGATCCCGAGCTGGCCTGGCTAGGCTTGAGCTCCAGGTAGCCACACGTGGTCAGTGACCCCACCAGGAGAACCAGGTTACGAAGGGCTTGCTGGGACTCCTCTGCAGGGTCTTGCTCAAGTCTGATGTCATGAGACCACAGAATGAAATAACAAATATCGACTAACATAATAAATTTGATAAAAATAACAATATTCATGGATGGTCTTCGGTACTGGGAGTTGTAAGGTCGTCTAAAGGTGTGTGTTCAATGTTCTCTTTTTCAGCAATAAGTGTTTTTAAATCAGGACTGGTGAAAAGAACTGGGAGTGTTTTATCAACAGTGATACAGTGTGAGTACTTCCATAGATTTCCTGCTTACGCATTTAGTTTTCTATAGGGTAACCTGTATAGGTACTTTCAGCGCCAGTCACACAACGCACCTGAGGAGGAACTCGGAGAGATAGACATATCCCTGGCAGGACCTGAAGTCATCAAGCAGCGTCTGTGACACCTCACTGGAATCTTTCAGGAAGCAGAACACGGTCACAAACATCTCGACTAGCTCCAGGGGAGATAACTCTTGCACCCTCTGCATATTTTCTATACAGTGACGAACACAACCCTTGTCTGAAACAAGAAACAAAATTAAGAAAATGAATCTGGTAAATGAGATCAGAAACAATAAATGGTATGAGGGATATTCTCACAAGTACCAGTACATTTCAATAGCCATGACAGTGTATGGTGAATCATTCTTCTAATTAGTACAGCCTCCCAAAATATAATGACAGAAACAAACAAAGAAACACTGGAAAAATTCAAGCGTTAATATGTTTAATATTTGTTAATATTTTCCAGGTTTTCATCACCAACTTTGAATAGCACTTTGGGAGGAAATCTGAGAATAAATAAAGGAACAGTGCCATGAACTGGTGTTCCCTGTGTAAACTACATTGACTATCTGATCCATACCATGAATGTACTTGACGACAGCGTGAGAAAGTCCATGGCGCGACAGCGTGACAAGCACCTCGGCAGCACTCTTCCTCCAGGGAACATTAGACAAGGGGCACCAGCTGGTGATGGCACTGAACAGAAGACTCAGGTCGTCCTTCCGTGCCAGCTCCTCCGCCGGGGAGATGTGGTTACACAAGCGCACCAGCACCTACACAGCAACAATATTCATGCAGATATATAGTTTATCAGGGGTTCAAAAATCCCATCGCCTGACGCCCGGGACAAGTCAGTATTCGTTTCGGGCAATCAAATAATGGTATCTTACTTGTCCGTGGGCTACTAGATAATTTCCACTTATGGTTTCAAACTGCAAACAGCAATATTCCTGCTGTATCGTGACAGTTTGCGAATATTCAAATCCTGGCCTGACAAACCTGGGGTTGATGTTATGAGCATCAGAATGTTTGACATACAATGTCCGACATAATAATTCATGAATTTATATCGCGCATCATTCACACTGACATGCCTTGCTACCCAATTGAAAATAGTGCCCTCTTAATATTACTAGAGAGCAGAGGACGTATTCTAACCCCAATCCCAGTGGGTTTGTAGGCATATACACACAAATCAGTGTTCTCAACACTTCTTCTCACACTCACAGTCATGAATAAACAACTTACGCAAAATGCAAAGTAAAATCAGTTCACAGTATATGTCAAGATAAAGATTTTTAATGATAATCTACTAAAGTGTCTGCCAAAATATTTTGAGGCTACTTGCCTATGATCAATTAAATAACACATTTGGCTCTTTGCATCATTTTCAGATGACTTTCACGCTATATCTTGGCTAAGATGTCTAAGGATACCTAATTAAACACAATTTTACCAGACTCAGACTACAAACTTGTGGTTAAAGTTAACAACTGCTATTATCATTTCTATTCAATATCCCATTAAATACAAATATTCCCTTTCTAATACATTTGCCTCCATACAATTATTAATATGCAATGCAAAGTTATCATTCAAAAGAAACTGGCATACAAATATTGTTGAAACACAAGTTATGCTACAAAATGGAATGAGTGAGTGAGTTTAGTTTTAAGCTGCACTCAGCAATATTCCAGCTATATGGCGGCGGTCTGTAAATAATCGAGTCTGGACCAGACGATACAGTAATCAACAGCATGAGCATCGATCTGCACAAATGGGAACCGATGACATGTGTCAAACAAGTCAGCGGGCCTGACCACCCGATCCCGTTAGTCACCTCTTATGACAAGCATGGGTTACTGAAGATCAATATTCTAACCCGGACCTTCACGGGTTGATACAAATGGAAGGAGAAACAAACACAGAAATATGATAACTATTTCATAATTCAACATATCGTTTGGCAAAGAATAAAACATTGTCAGTTAAAGGCCCTGAGCATGTTCCTTAATAATTCACTTTCACACTTTCTTCAACATTGTCAAGCCTTGCAGGGTTTGGTTCGCATGAAGCCAAACTGTCGTAAAATGTTTTCTGAAGTCCTAGGTGTCATTGAAAAGAAAGTTCAGAATTGTGATACACTTCACCAACTGAAATGATTCAAAACCTATTTTGACACCCCATCAAACTGTTTATTGGTGGCACTGTCAATCTCACAGCCTAACTTGGGCGTGGCCATTTTGAATGCCAGTGTGCATAATGGGAAATCATAACAGTTTGTGGGTTAGTTGATGGGTCCAGGACAAATGAAGCTGAACCATTCTTGCAGTCATGGTAGTGTTCAGGAAATCCAGCTCTTAAGTTGACAGGTTTACATGATGCTTACTGACTTAGTGAACAATAAATTGAAATTACATATTTGTTGTGACGTTTAAAGTTAAACTGGATCAGCAAAAGGTATGGGCACACTTATTTTCACAAAGGCACACCTAAATCATCTGTCTGGTGACCTATATGGCACCTTTCAAAAAATATGCATTCTCATCCCTGGTGATATACTACATCCCTATCTGAAGCTTTTGCAAGCCATTGTTAGTCTGACGTTTACCTGCACAAAGACTTTCTGTAAAAGTATCCGTCTCTCCTTGGGACTGAATTCACAACCAGATTCTAGTGTGTCGCTAATGGTGTCAGCAGGAAGGTCGAAGAACAGATACAGACATTTGACGAGTGTGGAAGGGAGGGAGGCAGCTGTCATGCAGTCGATCAAAGCCTGGTCGCCAATGGACAGCAGGTTGATGGCACTAAGTAGGGTCCAGCCATTGCTGTTAGGTTCACCTGACTCGATCTCCAGAAACTTGACGATTGCACAACTGGCGGCCTCTGAAGTCACATTACATGAACAGAAATTAGTTCAAAGACGTTAGTACGAGTCTTCATGATCTTCATGTTACATGAACACAATTTAGTGCACATCTTGAAGATATTCAGTATATGTTACATGAACACAATTTAGTATACATCTTGAAGATATTCAGTATATGTTACATGAACACAATTTAGTACACATCTTGAAGATATTCAGTATATGTTACATGAACACATCTTAGTACACATCTTGAAGATATTCAGTATATGTTACATGAACTCATCTTAGTACAAATCTTTGTAATCTTAGTATGTTACATGAACACAATTTAGTAGACATCTTGAAGATATTCAGTATATGTTACATGAACACATCTTAGTACACATCTTGAAGATATTCAGTATATGTTACATGAACACATCTTAGTACAAATCTTTGTAATCTTAGTATGTTACATGAACACAATTTAGTACACATCTTGAAGATATTCAGTATATGTTACATGAACACATCTTAGTACACATCTTGAAGATATTCAGTATATGTTACATGAACACATCTTAGTACAAATCTTGAAGATATTCACATGTACACATTTAGTACACATCTTGAAGATATTCAGTATATGTTACATGAACACAGTTTAGTACACATCTTGAAGATATTCAGTATATGTTACATGAACACATCTTAGTACAAATCTTTGTAATCTTAGTATGTTACATACAAGCCTTAATGCCAATCTTTACACATGACACATCATCATGTCCAAGTACAAATCATAGTACAAATGATACCTGAACATATTTTAGTACAAGTTTTCATAGTCTTAGTACATAGTCCAACAACATCACAGCAGGGGACACCTCCTTTCTGGAGAACTGAACCCTGGTCTTCAGTGTGACGAACAAATGCTTTTACCACTCCGCTCCCTCACTGTCCCTGTACAAGCAGTTTAACACCCCACCCAATGTATCAGTGATAACACTGTGAGGAGCTTGATGGACAGAACTCCATACAGTCTCATGTAAGAATGTGTCCCTACCTGTTGACTGGTTAGATGCCCTGCGTCGAATCTCAGTGACCATCAGCTTGGACACATGGCTACAAAACTGTAGGATGTCACCCCACTTTTCTGTCATTTCACAAGATGGAGCATTCTCAAACACCTGTAACAAGAACATTAATTATCATAAATTTCCAAGTATTGGAAGGTTAAATCCATAGTGTTTTAATCCCACAACATCTTCAGAATAGATATTTCATCACACATCAGTCAAGTAGGTTTTTCCAACCAACCCTATTCTTCCTGCAAGAATCATACACAACATGCATTAATGGTGAGGTGAAATGGGGTTTAACGTCACACTAGAGAATATTTAGCTCATATGATGATGTGCATGCGTGTGTATGTGTGGCTGCTTGTACTAGTCCAGACTCCAAGCCGACCAGTCCTTGTTGTACCCATTAGTGACGAGCGCTAGGCAGGGACCAACAAGTACCATATTTTAACGTCTTTTGGTATGACGCTACCGGGGATCGAACCCGCAACCTTCCAGTCTCTGAATGGATGCTCTAACCACCACACCATGGAGGTGGTCACATGTATTAATGTACGGCCCTGTTTTTTTGTGAAGAACATGAAAATACACATATTTTACTTCCTTATGATATGTCTCTGTCAGTCTGTGTACAATTTGAGGACATTCCATAGATGGTTAGTTACAACACTGAACAGACTTTGACTGCTAAAACCAAAAGAAGGCTCCATGGGTTTAGCCAATCAGCTGTCAGCTTTCTAAGAATATTTAACTTCATTTTCCACCACCTTGATTTAGAAAATTTCATTCAGAATCAACAGGATCTATAAAATAGCCACAACAATACAAGGGTGCCAGTACTCTTTCTTGGTTCCAAAATCAATGTTAGTTACCTTATAGATAAAAAGTAAAATATTTTGGTTTAATTGCCTTGTTCAATAATTATAAAATTTAGAATCAACACTGACTGGCTGATTACAAAGTTTACCAAACACCAAATGAGGTGACCTTAGGCAAAAATCAAGCAGAGAGGTAACAAGATCTGACTAAAACGACATGAATGATGTTAAACTTCAGAAAATTAAAGACACTATGATTTACATCAACACGATGAAGCTCTTGTGGTCTTTCAAAACCATTATTTTCATGATGAGTATCAAAATAACTGTTAAAATATTTAAATCAACAAATGTAATCAGTAGTCTGTGAGTAAATAACACAGGAAGTGCTGATGATCAGATTAATAAGTCATAGTGACAGTATATCCTGGAGCCAAGGTACATTATATTTTCTGTCATGTATCTTGTTTCGCTTCACACACTAGGTCAACCTGCAGCTTTATTATCACTTTAGCACAGAGATCAGGTTGGAACTTAAATTGTAGCATTTAGAGGCGTTACATGAGTAAGAATAAAATATTTATGATTACCTTTTGCTAAATGTGTCATTGAAAAGTTGATGAATTTTAGCCTATTGTGTATTACTGTTTTTGCTGAAATTTTAGTTTCAAGCTGGTTCTTATTCGAGGAACCATTTAGCATCCCATTCATCATTGCTCATCAAAAGGTCAATGAGGAAAATACACCATATGATCTATACATATAACAACATTCCTCAAACCTGACAACATAAAATGGCTTGTAAATATAAAACTTTAGTACACTAAAAGTTATACACAAAAATTTAACAAAAAAACATACGTATTTGATGCATGTCACGATATGCTATCTTTAGTTATTTTCCTTAATAATGTATATTTTCATAGCAAGTAACAGTGTAAATTTTGACGTGTGAATATAATAACATGACATTGGATGTAAAAGGGAAGAACTCATGTTATTGTAAGTTCTCACAGATATAGATATAGATGTATGTGCTGGTCTACACAACCACAAAATCCTTCAACTGGATATATAAAAAAAAAAACCATTTCATAAAGGTAACGACAGTAACAGTAACACTAACAGCAACATCAATCCATTCTGATTTCACTTACAATAATTTTGAGTGGTTCATCATATTATTTGAACAATACCACCCCTCCACAAATGCTGCTAACTGTACTCTACCTATTTATCACAGTCCATGCTAGTTATATTGTTTATTGACTGTCAGAAACCTTAAACCTTAGACATACTGATGTAATAAAACATTTCCCTAATGACCATATTCCTATTGGCATTTAAATGCAATTTATTCAAATCTTCCAACATAACAAAGTTAGAGTCACAAGTGAATAATAATCGAACTACATTTGTACTTCAATTTCCGTAGAAACAAAAATGAGCAAATGAAAAGGTCATCATTTCTCTCACAGCAATATTCCAACTATAGCACTGCTCCTGTATGTAACCAAGCCAGGCCACACAAGTGATGGCCAGAACAAGCAGCCATTAAGGTACAATGACACACAATCAGCCAGATTACTCATGGTAAGCTCTCATGTGTCGCAACTTGTGACTTGCATGTGACCAATATTTAGGGATGCTCAATATAACCGGTTTACCGGTATTTACCGGTTCAGACATGAAAACGATACGTATTGCAATACGCTGATCGAAAACCAGTATTTAGACTTGCATTCGGAAAACTTCATAACACTCGGAAGTCTTCGGATATTTCCTTGTTTCATTTGTGCCAAATATTATTTACATTTTCAGTGTTTCCGCTGACTTCATTATTTATCGGACACTGTGTCTGGTGACCTAAAATTTTACCGGTCATGAATGAAATTTGCCAGTCATATCCTATTACCATACTGTAAGTACTTGTTTTAAAGTTATTTTTAGCCTGGGTATTTCCCAAACATAACAGTTTTTGTGACCATGAAAGCACAGCCAAGACTTGTCATTTCGCTTACCCATGATGTTTCTAGTTTAATACATGATTATTTACCGGACACGGTGTCCTGCTGGCTTTCAATTTACCGGGCCCCAACAAATTTTACCGGCAATTTTCAGGTATATACCGGAGAATGGAAACACTGATTTTTATTTTGTCATGTTTAAAAGTTTTTATTAAAGCTTAAGCAAGCAAGTGATAATGTTGTTTTTATGTTTTAAAAATCAAGCATCAACTCGATTATAAGTAGTTTCTTGTTTAAAAATACATCTTGCAATATATTGCAAAACATATCGCAACATATACTTTCGCATCACAATATATCACAATATGAAAATTCTCTGCAATACCCACCCCTACCCATATTACTATGGAACAGAGTGACGTAAGAACCACGGACAATGATGCATGATTTTACCTGCTGAAAATATTGCATCAAACAGGATAAGAAAATGAGAATGGATGCATATGCTTAGACTTGCTCAAGTTTCTGAGGTCATGATTAATAGCTAAAATGAAAATTTATCAAAAAAATATAAATAACAGACTGGCATCCTTGTACTGTCCACTTATCTAGGCCTGCCTCTTTAAAGGATAGAATTACTATACATTCACGGGCTTAGCATTCAGTACAGCCTTGGAGCAAGGCTAGCAAATATTAGGCAATGCTAGTTCCACCAAACGTCTGGACTAAAAACGTGTGGCTGATTCAATAAAGACAATTATGATAATAACTAATTCGATCACAGCATTCACATGAAATTTAACTGACATTTCTATTCTATTCTGGTTACAAATACTATAATTTTGACATTTCCATATAAAGTGTGCCACCTGTTGCCAGCCTGTCAATGTCAAGCAGGTCAACGTGATCAACTATAGGCTTAGGACCCCTAAATGATTCCTGAAAATCCCCCGTCACGTGGACTAAAAAAAATTGAAAAAAGCACCCCAATGACGATAATTTGCCAGTCCAAAAAAATATGTTTCTTATTTAAATTTTTTTCTATGATCCAATTACGACATTAACAATAATACTACAGATCAGAAATACGGATCGGGATAAGATGCCATTGGTCAAATCGTACTAGTTGTGAATACAAACTTGTGGCTTGCCTAAAGTAACTGGATTTGGGGAGAAAACAACTGGTCTCTCTAGATTGTCACAGGCATCTGAGACAATCTAGAAGGTGGCATTGTACAACAGCCAGGGAATTTAGTCATTAACTAAAGCCAGATTCTAGTAAATGTTCGCCTAGTAAACCCAGCTTACAGTAGTCATATGATAATACTAAACTCTAAGGAAAATGGCCATGCAAGTACCGATAGGCAAGTTTCTGGAACCAAGCTATATCACTTTTTATACAGACAATTAAGCAAGGAGGAAATATGTTTGTTTCTTTCATAATTATGGTAACTGTATTACAAATTCCTTCTTACTGAGAGAATTTGAGATTGACCCATTTGAGGGCAACAATGCATCAATAGCTAGCTGAGCTGATCGGTATCCAGAGGAAGAGACCAGTAGACCCTGTTCTGTCTGAAGTTCAAGTTGGTGACAACGTACAGTTCCAGAGCTGAACCCCAACCCCCCAACCCCTGATTGGTGTGATTACTGACATTTTACTGGCGTTTTATCTGGAAAATATTCACGGAATCAATTTGATGCATGCGCCACAGCTCTCTACACCTTAGAGGATAGGTCTACTGAAAAACTGGCCTCCTTACGCTAAGCAGTCCAGTTTGGGTCAACCTGTGGTGGACAAGGCTTTGTTAAGTGCAATGTGTGCTGGTGTCAAGAGGTGCCAGACAATTAGATGCAAGTGCTGCAAGGTTGGTGTTAAGTGTATTTCAAGGTGCCACTCATCATTATCCTGTCAAAATGAAAACTGAATTGATGTACTCCAAACATGTCCATCATACATTTCTTTATTTACATCAAATATGCATAAATCTATTATGTTGAATAAAGAATACCATTGTAGCAAAGAAACGTCACTATCCTGCTTAATACAAATTATAAGGTCTAATTCCACACCCTTTTGGAAGAAATATACCTCAAACTACACAAGTAGTGAGTTCAAAGAATATGTCTGAAATTCTAGTCTAATTTTCAGTGATTATGTATAATTCCTGAAAATTTCACTGATTACATGTAATCCCTGAGTGAATCAGACATTATACATAATCACTGAAAATCTCAAGGTTATACATAATCCCTGGTCTTACATATTCACTGTAACATATATGTCAGGGTAGAGACTGCGATCTGGTAGAATCGCAGATTCTACCAGAAGAGATTGCTATCGGAGTCTCTACTAGTAGAGATTGCGATCGGAGTCTCTACTAGTAGAGATTGCAATCCTACTAGTAGAGATTGCAATCGTAGTCTCTACTGGTAGAGACTACGATTATATGGAATAACCTATGCAAGCAAGTGCAAGCTTATGCAAGCAAGTATAATAAGTGGGGATAATGTTTTCCTATTATTTGCCAGTGCTGATTAAATACCTGACCTGCCTTACTTGGACCTGTTGTTATTAAACAATAACAGTTGATCTCTTGATGAAAGAAGTTGACTCCCAAAAACATGTCAATGACTCCCTCTCATGACACCAGGGAGTCATGATGACTCCTAAATTTTTATGCCTAGGGCAAACACTGATTATGCAATTGATCTTGCTTGTAATCAGTTTTGTAATATATGTATATGTCAGGGTAGAGACTGCGATCTGGTAGAATCTCCGATGCATATATGTATATGTCAGGGTAGAGACTGCGATCTGGTAGAATCTCCGATCCTACTAGTAGAGATTGCGATCGTAGTCTCTACTGGTAGAGACTACGATTATATGGAATAACCTATGCGATCGGAGTCTCTACTGGTAGAATCTCCGATCCTACTAGTAGAGATTGCGATCGTAGTCTCTACTGGTAGAGACTACAATTATATGGAATAACCTATGCAAGCAAGTGCAAGCTTATGCAAGCAAGTATAATAAGTGGGGATAATGTTTTCCTATTATTTTCCAGTTATAATTGAACTTATTCATTGTTATCTTGTTAACTTTATTTGTTAAGTCTGTTTTGGAGTAAGGTATTTTGTTATTGTTTTTTGAGTGGAGTCCAAATTTGGCAGCTTGGTCTCATGATGTAAATACAGTGATATTGTTTACAGTGAGGTGTTAAATGTTTGTTATCAAAGTCTCAGTTAAAAGTAGGAAGTTCATTCAGATGTATTTCAAAACTTATGATCAGTAATTGTTATAAAAACACTGCTTTCCAAAGAGGTGGGGAAATGACCAGGTGGGGATATGGCAGATGGGGTAATGACCTGGTGGGGAATTGCCCTACACCTATCCTCCCAAAATGCCGACATGCCAATACACCTATAGCTTATAACAACAAACCAATTCTGTATTTCCTGGAGCAGTGTTACAATAAGCAAACATGCTTGTTTAATGATCATTTGAAATTTGTTAAATAAAGAAATGGGTTTATAAGCATTCACATATGTATGGTATTATTTAATTTGGAAAAAAAATAATTGTTTTGGGGATTAAATGACTAAATGTGAGTTATGTCTCTGAAAAATCAGGCGTGTGAAAAGGGCACCGAGAACATTTTTTAGCCGTGCCATTTCAATAATCACCGTGCCATGGCACACTAATAAATGGGGTATTTCGACCCTGATACCAGTTGATCTCTTGATGAAAGAAGTTGACTCCCAAAAACATGTCCATGACTCCCTCTCATGATGACTTCTAAATGTTTATGCCTAGGGCAAACACTGATTATGCAATTGATCTTGCTTGTAATCAGTTTTGTAATATATGTATATATTGTAATATGATCTCTCAAGTCACATTTGTATTTTTAGTCCTTAATATATCTGTAGAAGTGGAAACAGTCTCGTGTTATATCTGAATAAAATGCATAGTACTGTTCAGAAAAAGTGTCTTTGTTGTTTACCCACAGATCACTCGGAGTTTCTACCAGTTGAAGATGATTGCAGCCTCTACTAGTAGGATCGGAGTTTCTACCAGTTGAATTGGAAAATGTACTGGTAGAATCTCCGATTCAACCAGTAGAGACTACGATTGCAATCGGAGGATCGGAGATTGTAGGATCGGAGATTCTACCAGTAGAGACTCCGATCGCAGTTTCTACTGGTAGAGACTCCGATCGCAGTCTCTACCCTGACATATATATTGTAATATGATCTCTCAAGTCACATTTGTATTTTTAGTCCTTAATATATCTGTAGAAGTGGAAACAGTCTAGTGTTATATCTGAATAAAATGCATAGTACTGTTCAGAAAAAGTGTCTTTGTTGTTTACCCACAGATCACTCGGAGTTTCTATCAGTTGAAGACGATTGCAGCCTCTACTAGTAGGATCGGAGTTTCTACCAGTTGAATTGGAAAATGTACTGGTAGAATCTCCGATTCAACCAGTAGAGACTACGATTACAATCTCTACTAGTAGGATCGAGATTCTACCAGTAGAGACTCCGATCGAAGTCTCTACTGGTAGAAACTCCGATCGCCATCTCTACTGGTAGAAACTCCGATCGCCATCTCTACTGGTAGAATCTCCGATTCTACCAGATCGCAGTCTCTACCTTGACATATACATGTTATACAACGAACATTAGGGCTGTAACAATGCAAACTATCGATGGATTGCAATTGTTGAGTCTCCGATTACAATTAATCCAAGGTAATACAAGACACTTGATATGGATGTGCAACTTCTTTATTATTTACACACGACGTTTCTGGGCTAATACTTGCCCCTTCACCTGATGAAGGGGCAAGTATTAGACCAGAAACGTTATGTGTAAATGATAAAGAAGTTGCACATCCATATCAAGTGTCTTGTATTACCTTACCAACTTCTAAATACCTATCAAACATCTAATCCAGGGGTGGAAATAACTTTAAAATTGCTAGTGTACTCCGGTACAGTGGCACATGTAAAATCACTTGCCCTGATAATTTTTCCACTATACCAGCAGTTTTCTTGTTGATTTTGAAAATAAACAACATAATTAACATTGGAAAGTCAAGTGGACATCGGTACAGTGTGATATACTAATTTGCTTGCCCGACAGAAAAAAACACTGGACTCAGACGTCTGGCAATGGGTTATTTCCACCCCTGTAATCCATGGTAGAAACGAAAAACTATCAATGCATCGATAGTATGTGTGACTATTGATAGATTAGTAATTGACTTCTGTTGATAAATGCGTAGCGCAAAATACAGGAAGTACCAGCTTCGTTCACTTTGATTTAGAGTTATCCGCCCCTGTTACCTCATAAAAACAAACATGGTGGCAAACATGTCATGCGACTCAGAGTTTGAAATTGTTAATAACAATATGTTTATGTTTTGAACTGTTTATTTATATTTATCTGGATTTCAAGTTTCTTGTCAGTTATTAAAAGAGACTGAAACTACTTCAACTTGTTTTTATTTCACATAAACTATACATTCATTTGGGAAATGACTTCAAATGAGAAAATTCAAGGAGAAAAAAACCCTATTGCAATAGAAGTGCAATAGTTGGTCTCAATAGACTATGGCTATTGCAATAGTTGTTTCCCCTTCAATAGTCACCCCTAACGAACATAGTCTCTGACTCAAGTCCTTACTCCAAAGAATCATCTACTCAGTTTTGCAAGATGAAGTTATTCCAAGACACATACATGGCATCCTAAGACTAAAATCTTGTGAAAATAAATCCACAATACGTGTATTTGTCACAAAACACTACAGGCTGTGTGTGTATTTATCAATATTTGATGAAACCATCTGGTTTGACAACATAACCAAATGTCATGTGCCGTCTCCATGACTGGTTTGGTGTCAATTGCAATGAGTATAATTAGCGAAAAATTAGAATAAAAGCAATTCAATGGATAAATATGCATTTTTGGGTGTTACCTTTCCACATACCGAAAAAATAACATAAGACTTAACTACTGTTTTGTGATTGGGTGATCATGATCTTGTACTGTTGTCTAAAGACTCTTTCTGCATTTATGACAAAATATACAGTCTTTGATTCAATATGTTCTTGGGTTTATGGAGGTATAGAACCCTTAGCACCCTCGACAGATTTACACACATGCACACTAAGGTTGTTAAAACACACTTGTGTATTAGCTGAATCAAATTGTATCCCTTCGTGAATTCAATTCAGTATTTGTCAATTAATTTTTTTAAAGAAAGAGAGTTTTTACTTGAACATGTCTCTTATCTATCGAAGCGAGATGTGCAAGTAGGGAAAAAACCAAGCCATGAAGTGGCATAACTTGTGCCACTTGCCAAGGCCAGTTGAGCTCCGGTCAACCAAACCATTAGATTATTAGCTGTTATGTTGTAGTGAAAAATAAACACTGACTATATGGTCACACCATGACAAATAATTTATTTGTTATTGTTTTGTTGGATAAGATAAATAATACATCTACTGCTGACTCGATATTGTATTCATGAATATATATTCATATTCATTACCCATTATTTGTGATACATATCCTATTGCATCCGTTGATGTCCTAATGTACACCATCTGTTTATGTTTATATTAACACAAATAATAAATTGAACTCTGTTTTTAACTATAATAAACTATAACAACATCCAGGAAGGAAGAAAAGTTGAACAATATATAATTCCTCCCAAAATAGAAGCATGACCAAACAATGGCTGTGTTTCAAGAAGCTAAATGAGCATGGAACACCCAACAACATTGTGTTGCAAGCATTCTGCACATTCTAACACTAACTTTGATCTTTGGAGCATGGTGCTTCAACATAGTCACATCATTACACTCACTGTGCAAGAAATATCTCCTATGTGCATCAACAGGTCTATTTAGAATTTTAACAGCAACTCCTGTCATAAATGTAATATGTACTTATAACATTAACTTTAGACGTGATCAATTTGCTGGTATGATTCCATCCGAAAAAGATCAATGTGTATGCATGTCACCATGGTTACAAGACAATCTTCATGCTAATGAATGATGACTTCAAGTTAGAGTGCAATGAACATAGAGTCTTAAAATCTAAAAACATTTTCCTTTTCAAAAAGAAATTACAGGAAAAGAAAGCAATATGACAAATCATGCACTTTGTTGAATACCTCATTGAAATCATGACACATGAATGGCAGTGAGATGATGACAGCTATGCTTTCACTATAACCTAGCATTGTATCAGATTTATTGCTTATCCCAAAGAGTGAGTGAGTAAGTGAGTTTGGTTATCCGCTGCTTTTAGCAATTTTCCAGCAATATCACAGCAGGGGACACCAGAAATGGGCTTCATATATGTTTATTCCAAGAAGTAAACTACGTTTCCAGTCACTAGACTGAACACTACATTAGGACAGGACAAGGATTCATTCCATACTGAGTCTTGTATCTCACCTTGCAGAATAGAGGCAGCATGTTATACAGTTTGTCCTCTTGGTCCTTCTGAGTAGCTTTGGCCGTAGGATGACGGAATTCCGCAAACAATTTGCGTAAATGCATGAGTCCAAGAGCATTGTCCTGAACATGAGATTGCCGGGCAGAGTCCGACATCAACTTCTGCCCCACAAGCTTCTTCATAAAACTCATGGTTCAATTTCTTCTGCAAAGAAGAAAATTACAATATTAAATAGAAAGTTACACTAACAACACACCTATAAAATAATGAGCTGAACATAAAATAACAAATAATATACTGCCTACTTATATTAAATAACAACGAAAACAATTGGCTATTGATTATGACAAAAACATCTCTAACTAGTCTAGTGGTTCTGACTGCCTATCTTGAAAACAGTGTTCAGCTGAGGAAGAGGAATTTCTTTTCACACAACAATTTCTTTCTCCACAGTGAAAATAAGTAACAGTTTAACAGGAAGGTCAATAAATTTCTGAATAGTGCCACCCAAACGAGGCATTACATGTCACAAACACTACAAATAGTCTGACACTCCATAGCAACTGTTACATCCATACTAGTGTTGGGAATCGGTTGAAATCTCACAGTTGATGACTGCTTCATCACCATCGAGCAATCATCGAAAATATTTAGTTAACGTCATTTTTTCAGATTTTCTTATTCAGGTTGTTAAAGCAGATAAGTATAACATGATGCAACTTGCTACTTTAAAGTGATGACTAATATATCATGAATATAAACTTCCTCGAGTCTTCAAGAAATATTCAGTCATTACTTTTCAGTCAGTGAAGTGAGTTTTCTAAGAATTAAACACGTTTTCAGGCCCTGACAACTTCGAAAATATGTTCCATCGTCAAGTGTTTCAAAGATTGAAACAGTAGTTCCAAAATCGTTTGTGTTCAATTATGAGGAAATGTGATCGATTGCTTGGTCGTTTGATCAATTCGACCAATCTTCGATTATTTCAATTAATCGGAACACCACTAATCCATACTCTGACAAGTCTAATATAATACAGTCTCGAAACGTCGCCTATACCGAATAAAGAAGTTGCATATCCATAAAACTGTCCTCATTTTTCATCTCCTCAACTTCTAGAATGCCAATCAAAGAAGACAATACAATCTAAGCTTTCAGCCTCAGGAACTGGAATTAGTCCTATAAAGAAAATCAAATCATTGAACTTAATCAAATGAAACAATAACTTCCAACAGAAAACATCGCAACTCCCCCTCCCTCATGGCGGTTTTGTTTACAGACTATTGTTACAAACCTGGAATACTGCTGAGGAAGGCATTAAACAAGTTAAAAACAAACAAACAATAAAACTTCATAAAAACTCTAAAATATACTGAGAAAAAAATAAGGGATCCGTAAAATTTCAGATTTCAATCACGTCAAACATAACAGACTTGATTGACTGTTTTCAGTTTAAATAAAGAAAGTCAGTATTGAGTATGTCCCCCATATGCTCTCACAACTGTCTGGCAACGTTAGGGCATACTTCCAATCAAGTTAAGTCATTTAGATATCATTCTCAAAGATAGATGAGATCCTTTATTTTTTTCCTTCAGTTATTTGCTGAACACCTATGTACTTGACAAATTGCTGGAACCTAAAATATTACTTTGAAAACGCAGAACATCTGACTTTTAATCTACAATTTTCCACCACTTCAGATGGGAGCTACAAGTACATAAAGTTGTTACATCTCACCCACGTAAGACATTTCAAGCTGTGTAGTGATTAGCAAATGAAACCAACAGATCTCCTTAAGGAGCTGTTCAAAACTTTGATCTATGATAAAAATCTCATCGGTAATACTATATATATTTGGGGGGTGAGGAGTTTAACACAAACAGGTAGGCAAACTGAACATTCAGCAAAATCAACTTTTCAAGGGTTTACAGTTCAAGACAATAAACAACAGCTCTAACTGTTACATATTTACTCAGAATGAACACCATCACTTCCCGGACACAAGATTCAAAAAAACAAAACAAGACTGTTCTAGTTTTAATAATCAAATTATTTGAGTGTGGGTGTTCGTCTGTTTTCGTGTACTGTAAGACTGACACTTAGTCCCAGAAATAAAGGTATCATATTTGAAAACATATTTCTCAAAACATATACATAAAAATAATATCAAAAGGACCCCAAACAATTCTATATTTCAGAAAACAGAGCTGAAGCAATCTACACTTGCCAAATCATTCTAAACTTAAGATAATAATAATAATTATAATTCATTTATATAGTGCCTAGTATCCATCTGACTAGTTGCTCAATGGATGCTGTTATCAGAATCTGATTATTATTACTTAGGATAGCCCAAGCTGCCTGTGAGGCACTAGAAAGTTGACTTATCTCATCGGGTAGATGGATACCCATTTTCTGCTGGGTGAACAGAGGCAATTTTGAACAAATTCACTTGCCTGAAATTAGTTTTCTGTCTAATACTGGACTTTTTAACTAAAAGAAAATACATCCTAAACTACAAACCTGACTAACAACACTGTGCAGTACTATGATACTAATATAGTGAAATACATGCAAGAGGACAAAATCACATTGCTTGTGTTATAGCCAGGAGGTATTTTCATCAGTATCTAAATGTCAATCATGTCAATGAGTGAGTTGGTGTTAATGCTACTTTAAAGGGTTTAGCTGTTACATCACTACACGTCAGCTATTAGTATTATGGAAAGAACGCCATGGTGGTGCAGGTCCCACACATTTACCACTTTGGTGGCACCCATGAAGACAAATTGTTCTGACAAACTAAGAATCATAACCAAGAGAATCTGGAATTATAATCCATGATCCACATATTTTGTTGTGACTGAGGAATAACAAATCAACACAGTGAATTGTGGATTCTTCAGTGTCAAAACTTCTATCAATAACAAAACTTCCTAAAAAATACAATACATACAATTACATGCAGTATTGTGTACATGCAGTATTGTTTAACAGATAATAGATAATAAAGGGTACATCCAACTCTCATTACATGGCAATTCAAGCAGCCCAGCCAAAGAATATACTATTTCAAAATTATCCATTCCAAACTGTGTCATTCCAGTCTATTCCCTTCAAATAACCATATATAACTGCACAGGTAAACAGCCATGGAAAGAAATCTTTTAAAAGGATTGATGAATATTTAAAAGGATTAATTTATTGTTTAATGTACATTGCATGAAATTCTGGAATATTCAGATCTGTGTGAGTATGTACAGGAGCTTATCACTTGCAGCCGTCAGAGCTCAATGACAGAGATGGATTTTGTAATATCCAGGCTGCACCAGTGCAGGTAAGTTTTATTGTCAGGTTACACCCAGTGCTGGTAACATTTTCCAATACAAGTATATGGCAGCATTTCAATTGGTACAAAAATGCTGTATTAAATAAGTCTTATTCTTTTAAGTGTATCATAAAAATCAATTATCAGAAGGACAAAATGTAAACAAGTTTGTTTTCATGCTCACACATCAGTAGACCATAGACTTGGTAACACAATCTAGTGATACTTCATGGAAAGCCAGAGGAAACTCTGTTATACATCACTTGTAATGTGTTTACATAGCAGTGCACTTCCTATCAAACAGATCAGATTGTCTGTATAAAGGGATTCAGCTGACCAATAAATTGTAGCTTGATTCCAAACATTTATTCCAAACTGATTAACAGTATTACGAATAATGACTACAAAAGACAGCATCAGTTGGAAGCAGGCAGCTTTAGTTTACCATTTTAACCTTTGTTTAAGTTACAAGAGTTGACTATGTGGTTAGAGTCAATTCGACAAGTGATTTTCAATACAAGGAAATACAGCAAGCCCACACCGACTGAATTCAATCCATTATTAGTAATTTTATACCTCTTAAGAACAAAATGCATATATGGACAATTCACTTTAATATCATAAGTGTATCGCAAATCGTTTCAATCCTGTTGTGTAAAGACTGCCATAGATGATGCATGATGCATTTACCAATTTGGCACTCTCAGTCTCACTCTCAGAAGCAGGAAATTGGTTTGTCGGAATGTACTCATTACAAACCCATTCCCTCATTTGGTTTGAACGATAAAATGAATTCGTGTCGATATATTATTTCTGGTTTCAATTTTGACGAAGTATGATGAAGTAAGGTGAAATATTTAATGAAATGACCCCGCCTCCTCACCTCAGAAAACAAAACACGAATGATTGAATCAGACGATGACACTTGCTGTCAAACTCTGAACCAAGATTATCCACATTATGAACAGATATTAAGAAACAGTCTTACCTAGTGTTCATTTGTGGAATCCCATGTAAGGTTATTACAAACTCTACATTGCAAATTATCATTATAAAGCATATTTCAAGACATTTTTCCTGTGGGTTTCAGTACGATATCCATTTCTCACTTCCGCGCATGTTCAGTTTACTTCCGCTAGGTGGCGCTTTAGAAATCACATCCGCCGGCCTTCCTCAAAGCCAGAATGTTATGGCAATCATTTATTTTGCGGCACATTTCGTTTACCCAAAGATATACGGCCATTTGAAGACTGTTTTGTTTAATTCTTCAGATATTTCACAGCAATCAAATTTAGACGGACCATAAGTCCCAATCTCCACTGCATCTAATCGATCTTGAGGCCCTTGGCAGAGTGACAAGGTCACATGTCGTAGATTGTCAGACGGATCGAAACCTACTGACGCAAACAGGCTCAGCATTCTTCTGGTTGCTTTGCTGAGATCCAGATTACCGTTATATTATAAACATTAGCTTTCCCTTGGTGACTGAATTTATTCGGTATAATGAGTTACCTCTCTCGTCCATGAATCGTCAATGTGAGAAATGTACTGTAGAGTTGATTTTTGTGACAAAGGTTTGATGATAAAGGTATTTTTCTCTACATCACCAACGTGTAATTACATCACCAACAAGTAATTTTTAAATATTTAATCAGATAACAAATGCATAGCAAGAATACGTGTCAGTCTTTCAAGATTTACTAGAAAAGGACAACTAATTATTATTTCTTAATGACGTATCATATGCGAAACAATGATTCACTTTGTAAATATGACACATACAGTACATGTATGTATTTGTAGCTATCATTAAACCTCGAAGGTGAAGAGTGCATCTCAATTATAATTATGATGAACTTTATTGTGATAACTTAAAATATTTTAATTCGCTATAATTTAATTAAACGTAGTCGTTAAATTAAGCCACATTAATTTTTCCTCCGTTTCAGCTGGTTTCAGTGAAGGTGCGGTAAACGTGTACAACAATACTTGGATTGACAGACAATTTTTTATAGTATAAGTATTAAATTGGTAATGGGTTTTTATTGAGTATAACAAAGACTACTAATTACGCTGTTTTAACGTGAGTTCCCATATCTAGCGCTGGATGGTGTAAGCATAGTTTCCTGTGCATGTTCAATTTAATCATTGTCCTTCATTTCCTTTCAGTTGGACTGATCAGGTATATATGAGGAGAATAAATTGGATATATCACAATGGTGAAAGCAGCTTGATTGGAAATGAATAAGAATAATTAGTATTCATATTTGCGCCATAGTTGACACGATTCACGAATAGATTTCTGGCCTGTGAGAGGCTGTCCTTAGTCTTAAACTGGTAACACCTTTAGCCTCCGCAACCACAAATTGTTGATTGAGACTGCTGCCAAGTCAGTTGCACAGGGAATTTTCGGAAAATTCATGCGAATAGTATACAAGCTGAAACTTATTTTGGTTCATAAAAGAACTAGACTTCATATATATGTCTTGCAATTTTTAAGTGTTAGGTTTACGGCCTTCATTTTCAGCCAAGGCATGTTGCGTTGACTGGGCTCCTTCACACCGTCATCGAAACGCCTATTTAACCGCGCATATCAACAGTACAACCAGTTAGCAGTGTACTTCTCTTACATTACGGAAGTTCCGAGTGCTTACGAATAATGACAACCGAATGGTTTTTACACAACGCACAGACCCGAGTCCTGAGTTTAACGCGACACAACGTGTTGCGAAAATACCCGAGGGGTTCCAAATGGGCGAATATAGCTCGGACTTGTTTAACCAGTCCTGCGTACTCGTGGGTGCTGCTAATTTAATGGATTATTTCCCTCTCGTATAACATGAGCTGCGATGGCCGAGTGGTTAAGGCGTTGGACTTGAAATCCAATGGGTTATTCCCGCGCAGGTTCGAATCCTGTTCGCAGCGTATGTTTTTGTTGTTTTTTTCCCTCAAGTTAGCATACCCCGACAAAATGTTATGGAAACTAGGTACAGTATAACGATAACAAATTTATTATAATAATACAAACTTTGAAAAAACATGGGATTCTACTGTATAGTGTTCATAGCATTAGTTAAGTTTCAGGTTTACGATACTAAACTCTAATTTTGTTCTATTTCTTCTTTTTTTTGCTGGGGGGGCCATGAGGTGGTGAGCTGAGATTGGGTTTAACGTCGTGCTTGAGACATTTTCAAAAGCATTTACACCGTTACCAGTCGTAGTATTGATTTCAGTCTCCCTTCATGTCTTCTGGGTGACCCCAATGAAAGCATTCTTGTCAACAACCTATGCACTATCATGAAAAAATACATCTACAAATGTAAATGCATGCTTAAACAATTAAAATTTTAACCATCTCCTAAAAATGTTAAAACTTCATAATAATGTTGAAAAGTATATATTCGGTGAAGATAATGAAAACTTTTTGAGAAAATGGTCTGGCTGTTTTACAGTTTAAAAACACGTCTACCTCTTCTTGTCCTCTCTCCAACCCTTCTCTCTCTCCGTCCTCTCTCTCTCTCAACTCCTCTCTCTCTCTCTCTCTCTCTCTCTCTCTCTCTCTCTCTCTCTCTCTCTCTGCTTTTTTGCGTGTATATTAAAAAATGAATTATCTTCCCAACTGCCTTAGCGACCCCATGACATCCCAGATCGGTGTCTAGATCTCCCAGGGACACATTCCCAGCACGCGGGTGTATAAAATGAGTTCCATGATCGGTGTCTAGATTGCTCCCAGGGACATCATTTCAATCGTTTACACCGTTACAAATGCAGCACGCGGGTGTATAAATGAGTTCCATGTCAAATGGTTGCAGCAGTCAGGTGTTGAAATCACCTTTAGCTTGCTTTGTTATTATCAATGTATATATTGCTGTGTTTGTGTTATAGATTGCAAGTATCATTTCAATATGACTAAGAAAATTTACACCGTTACCAAATACAACTATAATTACCATAATAGAACAGGTTTTCAATAGTGACATTGAATCTCTGAACCAAAAAGGAGTTTTAACAAAAGTCGAAGGGATCTCGTATTTCCAGAACCAAATAAATATTCGGATACAACCCCCGCAGACGCACTCACGCACGCGCGCGCGCCCACACAAAAACACACACAATCAATAACCATTAACCAGGGTATGAAGCTTCCCAAAAATTCAGCCAGACCACAGGGCTGGTTAGATGTAAAACTCGCCAGCCCTGACCAAACCGTACCTGCCCACAAAATATCTTCATATACATGTACATATCTAAATCATATACATGTACATTTCTAAATTTTAACCCGACCGTCGAGCAGGTGAATTTGAGAATCTGGCAGTCCGTGTTGAAAATAACCCGTCCCGGGCGGTCGGGCAGGCAGGTATTTCAAACGATGCATTAATATCAACTCACTAACAACATACACAAACACTAATATTAAATTGGGTTGCATGTCACTGAATCCCCGCCGAAAGACCAGCAGCCGATAATAACGGTACACATTTCAGCAGTCTAAATGTGGATTCGCCCGCTGAAGAAATAACTGACCCATTGTCGTGGATCAAACGCTTTACGTTAGCGGGGGTTTAGGAGGGGCCAAACTAACAACTTGTCTCTGAAATGAACATAGTCTCCAGAAAAAAACAAGTTCATAATTAAAAGAAATAATGAACACCAACCCCGATACTTTCTTCATTTTCAGAAAATGTGGAAATCTAGACTTGCCACATAATCTAGACTTGCATGGGCTTTCTTGGATATGTTGGTTTCAGGGTCTATATGAAGGGGCGCATGCACAGTTTAAAGTCAAGCTTGCAAAACTTCGCTGGACATGTTGCTGTGCAGTAATGTACATTTCTTTTACACATTTCAGTTGAACACATTATAGTTTGGTGCTGTAACGGTAGTATCATTTGAATTTGGGGTTGAATTGGAACCCTGAGGTCCATTTTCAGGACTATTATCCCCAAGTTATTAACAGGCAGACAAAATAGTTTATTTTGTGTCAAATGAATGTACATATCAAATGACAGTGGTAAATTAACACAGAATATACAAACACCAGGCCAGATGGCCAATGTGACACACTAGACAATATGTGCATAACATGTATAAAATATAAGATTAAGACATTAAAGGAGTACCACACATTTGAAAAAACTAGGAGAAAAAAATATGTTTGATCAATGTTTTTGGGATGATAGTTTACTCCGATACATACAGCTAACTAAAGCGGCCAGTGGATTAACAATATTTTCGGTTTGTTATAAGAGGAATGCAGCTTGTTCAGTGTTTGATAACTGAGCTAAGTTTGGGTGTAAAATACTAGCTTTTTGAAACAAATCATACCGAAGATCGGAATAATAAGGACAGTTTACTAAGAAATGGACTTCGCGTGCCCTCAGAACCACGTTGTTCTATCTCCAATTTTGGTCAAAAATGAGTTAGGTTCATATTCTCTTTTTGGACCATTTGTTCTAATATGTCCTTGTGCAGTTATACAGTAATACCATTACGAGAAACACGTTTTTGCCATTCATCATTGTCTTATCTCCAAATTTAATATTTAATCTCAGTTCCAAACTATTCTTAATCCATAGCCAATCATATAGCTTCCTTTGGTCACGTGATAAGGAGTTAGAACATTCTGGAAATCGCACGTAGATGGAAGTCACATGTTAAAAGTGAGTACATTTTGAATAATTTCATCAAATAGAATAATCCCATATCCCTTTTGGTAATGTATATTAGCAGTCAAGCCTTAACTTGGGCCAGATTCCCAGTTTTACTTGGCCAAATACATTTTCCTGCAAAGTAGATGCTTTTTAATGTCAGTTGGGAGATAGTACATTTTGGTTCTTAATTTCTATGGAACTTTTGTTGGTAATAACTGTGACATAGAACAATACCATGCACTATTGCAAAACTAATTTTGTGTACTTATATTTTAGACTGAGTGATCTTCCTAATGAAGTTCTTGTAAAAATTCTACTCCTTGTAAATTTACATATTCAAGATCTTTTGCAAAATGTAGCTAGAACATCAAAATCGTTGCATACGGTAGGACATTCAGTTCGGCAGCTTTGGAAACATATTGATCTGTCTTTTCAAGAACTTTCTGTTGTGGAATTCCATCGAATTCTTGAGAGATCAAAGTATTTTGAAACTTTGCCATACGTCATTCCATGACAGCGTCTCGGTGGTAGACTACTCCATGACAATAGGAGTAGTGAGGGCGGAACATCTCACCAAGTTGGACCTATCCTATGTGAAAATATCTACTCTTGCCTTCCTAGTCAGTGTATACAACCTCGAAACCTTGAACTTGGAGCACTGACAAGTTGTATACAAATCCGTAGCTGGGTATCTGTGACGTAACAGTTACACTGACAAGATGACAATGTCTCTTTTGAATATCTTCTAAACAAGAACAGTTTTAACAATAGGTTATTCAGTGATCGAAACACTACTTGTTGTGTGTAAATTCGATTCTACGGGTCGAGCAG